GGCCAAGCCATGGTCAACTGGCCCAGTGCACCAGTTTAAACCCCTAAGAAGAAGCGCTCGGGCGGTACTGCGTTTGGTTGATGGAGGTTGGCGGGAGAAACCAACAGTGCCTACAAGCTGGAGTCATTCGCTTAGTCTAGCAAGCAGCCATGCTACAAATTCCGTAGTCAATTCTAGTTTCTTTTCTTTTAAACCATAAAGTTTCATTTGATTTTGACAAGCCAGATTTCGACAAAAAGTGGCAAAAGATGTCACTATTCTGCTGGCGCGCCTGGCAGATGTTAGCTAGCTTGCACCACCAGTTGACGAGTCTGCATGTTGCCTGTTCTATAAAACTTTGCATGAAAGAATTTGGATATTGAAACCAATATTGTAAGCGCCCCATGTAAGTGAAAGGTGCACAAGGAGCAAACATACAGTACAAGGGGTAAGCGGCGGCTGTGTACCGTCATCTTGTGCGTGAGCCCCGCGGCTACCTGACCGACAACAATGGACGGATGAAACCCAGCGAAACCGCAACCCGTTGGCGCTTAAATTCACCAGAAACAAAAGCAAAGTTAGGTGAGACAGGACACAGAATAAATCGTACACCAATCTTTGAGAAATATTCTTGGAGTATCATTGGCTACAATGAGGTCTGCGCGAGGTCAGCTGCAATACCAGGTCCTCCCTCTCCTCAAGTATAAATGCCTAGCCCCCAATCCACCACAGCAGATGAAAGTACTCATTCAAGTCACCATGGATCTTTCGCGGGGGATAAATGATGACTTCACTAGGGCTCTGGTCAGCCAAGCCACGGCACTGGAGATCTACGAAGGGTCCCCGAGCCTGCTTGACGAAAGACTAGAAGAGCGCCTCAACAATCCGCCAAGTCCAAAACATTGCGATTATCAGTTCTCAGCCCTAAATCTGGGGATCATTGAGCATTTTGGAGTTTTGCATGAAGAAGTAATCGACGTCGAGAAAGAGATATATCGGCAGCACGAGGCTACACTGCGACGGCAAATCACAATCAACGACGTGATAGAATATGACAAAAGACTAAAGACAAACGCAAACCCGAACATAGAGTGCTCGTCGGTTGGCAGACCCGAAGCAAGGATTCTCACTGAAGCAGGGCTTGAATGGAAGAGGATGATGCTGTTTCTGGGGAACGCTGATCAATGCAACAACGGGACGGCGCAGGAACTACATGCCCTGGATATTGTAGACCGAAAGTCAATGGCAAGATATTTTGTGTGGGAACGCTGGAGGAACATTGGAGCTTGGAATAGAGATTGGATGGTGACAGCGACACCAAAGGCAAACTGGCGATGGCCGTGGCAGAAAAGGCGGCCCGAGGAGGATGGCGAGGGCAATCTCAGACTTCTCCGCGATGCTATCGAGGCCTGTGGTGATATGAGGCCCGGCCAGTACGGAAAGCTGAGCAAGGAAACAGCCCGTCATCAATGTCCAAAAGAAGGCTGGACTTCCTATCAAGGTGACGAATTCATCCGTTCTCGGCCGTGGTTTGCCTTTGAGGTTGAGTGCATGGTGGAATCGACAAGGAGAGGCGGGGTAGAACTAGAGGGCGAACAGTGCTGGCCGACGGCACCGGGGGACTTCATACGCAGGCAGTGGATGGACGAGGGAATATGGAACAACGACTGGGATCATCTGGAAGTAGTACGCATCGAACCCAATGTCGGGTGGCGGTGGGCGGAGGAAGGACAGGAGCCGGGGTATGCTGACTTGGGAGTGCTCAAGTACATGCACGTCATACTGCCTATGCTCAAAAGGAGACGCAGCCGGCGAAACGAGATGCGTCAGGCGGCAGAGGCGGCGCGAGCCGTGCAGGAGAGCCGGCCTGTTCCTCCAGCGCCGGCGCGTCGGCGCCGACGACGGCTTCCGGCGCCGCGACGTGAGCAACCGCGACCTGAACGACGGCCTGTGGCGCCGCGACGTGAGCGAGAGCGACGTGAGCCAACACGTATCCAACCGGCGAGACCAGCAAAACAGAAAAATAGTCTTGAGCAACCGCAACCAGAGCAGCCGCAACCAGAGCAACCGCGACCTGAGCAACCACAACCTGAACGACGGCCTATGCCGCCGCGACGTGAGCGAGAGCGACGTGAGCCAACACGTATCCAACCGGCGAGACCAGCAAAGCAGAAAAATCGTCTTGAGCAACCGCAACCTGAGCAACTGCAACCTGAACAACCGCAACCAGAGTAACCGCGACCTGAGCCAACAGCAAGTGAGAGAAGACGTCCTAACAATACAGAAGACAACGGTGCAAGCAAGGAGGAGTAAGAGAAGGCGGCAACGCTGAGAGAAGGGGAATACGGATGACGTGTCTATGGTGGTTGTGTGGCTGTCGGAGGGAGTTGGACTAACAGTGTTTTTAGTTGATTTAGGTTGTTTGAGTTTTTGGATTGAGTTAATGGAACATGTATCTTGGCACATTTTGATCTGTGATCTGTGATTGAGATGAGGAATGTGAACCACGCCGTCATGTCGTGGTGTTGGGGCGCGTGCAGATAATTGTGCAGATTGTCCCCGTGCGAAGCAAGGGAACCCCTGTCGGAAATTGTCCAGCCGAAATCCGACCAAGGTGGTTTCCGAGGGGTTCAGGATCATGGGAGTTGATGGGCCTTAGCGGCAGCGGCAACTGGGGGATCCGGGGGACGGCCTGTGGAGCGAGGGGACGGTTGTGGTATTGATGGACGGGGCGGTAGGCTGAGATGCCGTCGGCGCTAACGAGATTTGATGAAATAATCAAAGGAATGAAGTTGCGCCGATGCGGGTTGATGGACAGGGAGAGGAGTTGACGAAGTCGAGGAACGAACGAATGGTGATGTTTGTACCGAGTATAGTAGGTGGTTATTTCGGGAAGCTCCGCGGAGGCTGGGTGGTTACAGGTGACTACAGGGGATTTGAATGTGGGAGGAGCGCTATAAGTGATGCGGCGGAGTGATGTCGGGAGGATGCTATAGGTACATAGAGGTACCTTAGTACCTGGAGGCAGTCGTAGTCTCAGGTTGTTGATGTGCTGTGAGCCTGCGAGTCGGCTATAACGCTACAACTACTTGCGCCGTAACGAAGAGGATTAGTTTACCCGCCATCTCGGCGCAGATGAACGACGGCTATGTAAACACAGATTAGAAACGAGGGAGATTCTATTCATAGTAGCACAGCCTCGATGCGAGAGGAAACATGCACAGGCAAACAGGTACCTACATACCTAGTTGGAAAAGACCAGTTGTTGTTCGGATCCATCTCGCGCCGCGCTCTGTGGCAGCTCCGAACGTTAGTAGGCTACGTGAGGTACCTAGGTACTTCCTCTCAGTGGTCCCGCAGCGGGGCTCCCCGTCCCGGCTCCAAACTGTTCCGGGCTCGCGTTTGCAACCTCAATCACGGCCCTTTGCGTCTTCAGTTGTTCACCCAACAGCCCCAACTCAACTCCCGTTTGCGATTCTGCGACGATGACAACCCCGCCCATCTAATCAAAGACACGCACCATCTTATTTCATCGCGCCTCACACCAACGCCATGCTACTAGTAACCCACTCCCTACCTAGCCGTCGGCGGCGCGATAATTTACGGGGCTTGGGCTTGCCCGCAACTACTGCTGGTGCTGGCTTCTTGGTTTCTCGCCCTCGGCCGTGAGATGCGCTGGCCCCCGGTGGCGGCTCGTCCGACAGGTTTTATTATAATACCACCCGTCCCCCCCTCTTTGCTTTATTAGCCCGCGCGTGCTCAACCCGCCTCCAAACAATGTTTCCTCCTCGTTGCCGTCTTCGCTGAAAATCCGTCCTACGCCGGCCTCCGCCCAACCTCGTCAGCTCAAACGTCAAGAGTAGCAGCCGCGTCCTTCGTCTCATCTCTCCCTATGGCCCGAGGCCGCCGTCTCCAGGTGTTACCAACCCGCTAGGCCACGTTCGACCAGCAGCCGCCGCTACACCTGAGCTTTGTTTCGGAACACGCAAGCCATTTCACGCTTCCTCGCCTCGCGCGCTCTCTTCTGCTGCCGTCTTGCTCCCGCTGCTCCCCTCGTCTGTGTGCATTGTGTGCCGCCACCCCTCCCAACACTTCTGCTCTTATCAATACACACAATGAATGCCGCCGCCGACTCGTCTCGCCTCGGAGGCGTCTTTGCCACCCTCGGCCTGCTCACGGCCGTCCTTGCCGTCACCAGGGCCATCCAGTTTGTGAGCGTCTACCTGCTACCTTCCCGCATGGCTCGGTACGCCCATGCCACCAACGGCCAGCCGCCCTGGGCCCTCGTAACCGGCGCCTCGGACGGTATCGGCCGTGGCTTTGCCGCTGAGCTCGCCAAGCAAGGCTTCAACGTGGTGCTTCACGGTCGCAACCGTGCCAAGCTCTCTTTCGTCATGACTCAACTGCAGGAACGCCATCCTGACCGGTCCTTTCGCATTCTCATTGCCGACGCTAGTAAGGTAGCCTGCCTCAACTGTATCCGTCCTGTCCACGGCCAGTCGCACCTGCATGACCAGGACGACGAGTCGGCTGCGTCTCTCCCTACCGACTTTGACGCTCTGCGTACTGCCATTGAAGGCCTCAACCTCACCGTCCTCGTCAACAACGCCGGCGGCGGTGCCGTCAACCCTACCTTCCTGTCTCTTGGTGAATCTTCTGAGGCTCGCATCACCGGCAACGTGAGCCTCAACGCCCTCTTTCCTCTACATCTCACCCGCGCCCTGCTCCCGACCCTGCGTCGCAACTCTCCTTCACTCGTCGTCAATGTCAGCTCGCTCGCCGACAACGGCCTGCCCCTGCTCGTGTCGTATTGTGCTAGCAAGCGCTTCTTGCTGACCATGACGGAAGCTGTCGTCCGAGAAATGAAGCTCCTCGGCAAAGGCGGCGACGTTGAGCTGTTGGGTGTCCGTGTGGGCAAGACCACAAATACGGCTTACTTTACGGAAAAGCCATCCTTCTTCACCCCAGACTCCCAGACTATGGCCCGTGCCGCCCTTGAAAAAGCCGGCTACGGCCATGGCGTCGTTGTTGGCTACTGGGCTCATGCCCTGCAACATATCCTCATAAAGGCCATGCCCCTCTGGGTCAAGGACAGAGCCTTCATCGCTGCTGTGCAAATGGAGGCGGCAAATGATCGTAAATCTACCTAGTACACTCATTGATATCATAGCATCTTTCGGCGTTGGTAGGAGGCTTACCTGTCAGATCAGGAACCATTTCATGTTTGCATTCATCCTCTGTATATTTGAGCATTATAGCACGCCATCGGATACCAAAAAATTGCATAAATAGGCAATAATAATGCACTTCAATTTATTCACCAGTCGTCTGTTGAGATTGAAGGCTTCTTCAACTACTAAATATGTGTCGTCATCCAGCTTCTATCACAGTGGTGGGGCAAATCAATCTTGCAGAACGTGGGGCAGAGAGCGGCGGTATGACTCCTACCTTACCAGGCTCGCCGACACGTCGACACAGGATGCTAGCCATCAGTGACTATAAAACGGGAAATTGGGGTGGTGATATCCAGTGAATTGGATATACGAAGCCGTGAATCATAGTACAAACACTACGACACCCGAATCGACCGACACAAGCGTACTCCCCTGCGACGAGACAAGACGACACCATGGCTCAACAAACAGAAGCAGAATGGCGGCAGCAGCTCGAGGCAATGCAGGCTGCCATTGCTGGCCTAAATCTACCAGACTCCCTTCCCGGGCCAATCGATTCCGACTTCGACGACGCCGATTTCGAGGACTATTCATCCGGCAACGCTGGCCAGGACATTTGGGATTTTATTTCCGCTGAAGACGCCGACGACTACAGCAGCGACTTCGTCGAAGCAGATACTGAACCACCAGCCACTGGCGGCTACGACACTATGTGGCTTTCAAGCAAATGCGCCGCCATTACGTCTAAGAATGGGCTCTCAGAGGACGTCTTTGAGACCCAGATCCTCAGCGCCATTGGCTCTGGCAAGTCGGACGAGGAGCTGCAGATAGAGCTGACAGACCTCATCGGATTCGACGATCTTGACTTTATCATCGAGCTCCTTGCGAACAAAGATGAAATCAGCGCATCTAGTGCGATTGCCATCGCGGCTGGCGGCCAAGCCACTGGCCGTCTGTTGTCCAAGGCCGAGCGCAACGAGCAGCTGCGTCGCCAAGACTTTGAGCACAAGAACGCCGCGCTCGCACCGAGCTTCTCGCGCGAGACGCAATACCCGCACGTCTACAAGGCGTATTCTGCCGGCAACACGCTCAGCTACGCTGGCAAGAAGTATGGCCTCCCGGCAGGCAGCGAGCGGAAGCAGTTTGACAAGTACGAAGAGTATTCCATTCCCGCGGGTGCCAAGGGAAAGCTTGGTCCCGGGGAGAAGCTGATCAAGATTGAAGACTTGGACGGCCTCTGCCGCAACACCTTCAAGGGCTACTCGGCGCTCAATCGCATGCAGAGTCTCGTTTATCCCATTGGATACAAGACCAGCGAGAACATGCTCATCTGCGCCCCTACTGGTGCGGGTAAAACTGATGCTGCGATGCTTACGATCCTTCACACGATTGGGCAGCACCTCTTCCCTAACCCCATAGAAGACACTTCTGCTACCGAATTTGCCGTCAATCTGGAAGACTTCAAGATTGTCTACGTTGCCCCCATGAAGGCCCTTGCTGCTGAAGTCACAGATAAGCTTGGCAAGCGTCTTGCATGGCTCGGTATCAAGTGCCGAGAATACACGGGTGATATGCAATTAACAAAATCCGAAATTATTCAAACCCAAATCATAGTCACGACCCCAGAGAAGTGGGATGTCGTTACCAGAAAGGGCACTGGAGACACTGAGTTGGTTCAAAAGGTCCGCTTGCTGATTATCGACGAAGTTCATATGCTCCATGATGAGCGCGGTGCTGTCTTGGAATCGCTTGTCGCCCGTACCGAGCGCCAAGTCGAAAGTACCCAGTCGCTTATCCGTATCGTTGGACTGAGTGCCACCTTGCCCAACTATATCGACGTCGCAGACTTCCTCAGAGTCAACAAATATGCTGGTCTCTTCTACTTTGATGCGTCTTTCAGACCTGTCCCTCTTGAACAGCATTTCATCGGCGTCAAGGGCAAAGCGGGCAGCAAGCAATCAAAGGACAACTTGGACACTGTCGCCTTTGACAAGACCAAAGATATGCTCGAGGTTGATCACCAAGTCATGGTGTTTGTCCACTCTCGACGAGACACCATGGTGACTGCACGTATGCTGCACGAGAAGGCAGTCGAGTCATTCTGCGTCGATCTTTTTGACCCTACAGGCCGCCCCAGATACGAGCAGGCAGTGCGAGATATGAAGTCTTCTCGATCCAAAGATATTCGTGAGCTCTTATCCAAGGGTATTGGTGTTCACCATGCTGGTATGGCGCGAGCGGACCGAAATTTGATGGAGAGACTTTTTGGCGAAGGTGTGCTCAGAGTTCTCTGCTGTACCGCAACCCTCGCGTGGGGTGTCAACTTGCCAGCCGCCGCCGTTGTTATCAAGGGCACACAGGTCTACAGTGCCCAAGAGGGTAAATTCGTCGATCTTGGCATCCTTGATGTTCTGCAAATCTTCGGTCGCGCTGGTCGTCCTCAATTTGAGGACACTGGTATTGGCATGATTTGCACGACCCAGGATAAGCTGCAGCACTACCTCACTGCTGTAACGGAACAACAGCCCATCGAGTCCAAGTTTTCGGCAAAGCTGGTAGATAATCTCAATGCTGAAGTCGCCCTGGGTACAGTCACATCGATTCCTGATGCTGTGCAGTGGATCGGCTACTCCTACTTGTTCGTTCGCATGCAGCGGAGTCCCATCACTTACGGCATCGAATGGGCTGAGATTCGCGAAGACCCGACTCTCGTACAGAGACGTCGCCAACTGGCTATCCAGGCTGCGCGCACACTACAGCAGTGCCAGATGATTATCTTCAACGAGACGACGGAAGAGCTACGAAGCAAGGACATTGGTAGAATCGCCAGTCAATACTACATTCTGCATGGCAGTATCCAGGTCTTCAACGCCATGATGCGGGACCAAGCAACTGAAGCGGATATTCTCAAGATGATTAGCATGAGTGGAGAGTTTGACAATGTGCAGTCCCGAGACAGTGAAGCCAAAGAGCTCACCAACCTCAAAAATGAAGTCATCCCCTGTGATGTGGACGGTGGCATCGACACGCCCCAGGCAAAGACCAATATTCTTCTTCAGTCTTACATTTCACGTGCACAGCCCGAGGACTTCGCTCTGTCAAATGACATGAACTACGTCGCCCAACAATCTGGCCGCATCTGCAGAGCACTCTTCATGCTTGCGCTGAATCGCCGTTGGGGTCATCAGTGCTTGGTGCTTCTGACTTTGTCAAAGTCCATTGAGAAGCGTATATGGCCATTCCAGCACCCCTTGCATCAGTTCGACCTGGCCAAGCCCATCTTGAATCAGCTTGACTCGAAGGAGCACCTGACGATCGAAGCCCTGAAGGAAATGGACTCCAACGAGATTGGAGCACTTGTCCATAATCACGGCGCCGGCAAGACCATTGCCAACATACTCCGGAACTTCCCTACGGTTCATGTCGAGGCTGAAATTGCACCTCTGAACCGAGATGTTTTGCGAATCAAGCTCTTTGTCTTTCCCGACTTTCAGTGGAAAGACCACATCCACGGCACGTCTGAGTCCTTCTACATTTGGGTTGAAAACTCTGAGACATCTGAAATTTACCATCATGAATATTTTATCCTCAACCGTAGGAAGCTACATGATGACCACGAGCTCAACTTTACGATCCCATTGTCTGATCCCTTGCCGACTCAAATCTACGTCAGAGCCGTCTCTGATAGATGGCTTGGGGCTGAGACGGTCACACCTGTGTCGTTCCAGCATCTTATTCGCCCTGATACGGAAAGCGTTTACACAGACTTGCTAGACCTGCAGCCTCTGCCACTTTCTGCCCTCAAGAACCCGCCGCTGGAAGAACTGTACGCGAAGCGCTTCCAATTCTTCAACCCCATGCAGACGCAGATCTTCCACACTCTCTACCACACAGCAGCAAACGTGCTCCTAGGCTCGCCCACCGGTTCCGGAAAGACGGTCGCCGCAGAGCTGGCCATGTGGTGGGCGTTCCGCGAGCGTCCGGGCTCCAAGGTTGTGTACATTGCACCGATGAAGGCCCTCGTGCGTGAGCGTGTCAAGGATTGGGGTGCTCGCCTTGCTGGACCACTTGGTCTGAAGCTGGTTGAGCTGACGGGCGACAACACACCGGATACTCGCACTATTAAGGATGCTGACATTATCATCACCACTCCAGAGAAATGGGACGGTATATCTCGTTCGTGGCAGACGAGAGGCTATGTCAGAAAGGTCAGCCTGGTCATCATTGATGAGATTCATTTGCTTGCAGGTGATCGTGGCCCTATTCTGGAGATTATCGTTTCGCGAATGAATTATATCGCCGAGATGACCAAGAGCGCGGTGCGGCTTCTAGGAATGTCTACGGCATGTGCCAATGCTAGCGATCTGGCCAACTGGTTGGGTGTCAAGGAGGGTCTCTTCAATTTCAGGCACTCTGTGCGCCCAGTTCCCTTGGAACTGTATATTGACGGGTTCCCCGAGGTTCGAGGATTCTGTCCACTGATGCAGTCAATGAACCGACCAACATACCTCGCCATCAAGAACCACAGCCCAGAAAAGCCCGTGATTGTCTTTGTCGCCTCGCGTCGACAGACTCGGCTCACGGCCAAGGATCTGATCAACTTTTGTGGAATGGAAGATAACCCCCGCCGTTTCCTGCACATGGACGAGGAGGACCTACAACTCAACCTCTCTCGTGTCAAGGATGATGCCTTGAAGGAGGCTATTAACTTTGGTATCGGACTGCATCACGCTGGTCTTGTCGAATCCGATCGCCAGCTGTCGGAAGAACTTTTCCTTAACAACAAGATCCAGATTCTCGTTGCCACCAGTACTCTCGCGTGGGGTGTCAACCTGCCTGCCCATCTTGTCGTCGTCAAGGGCACACAATTCTACGATGCAAAGATTGAAGGCTACAGAGACATGGACCTCACCGATGTCCTGCAGATGCTTGGTCGTGCGGGCCGTCCGCAATTCGACACCTCGGGCGTGGCGCGTATTTTTACGCAAGACGCCAAGAAGGACTTTTACAAGCACTTTTTACACACTGGCTTTCCTGTCGAGTCGTCGCTGCACACGGTGCTCGACAACCATTTGTGCGCTGAAGTCTCGGCAGAGACCATCTTGACCAAGCAGGATGCGCTGGACTACCTGACGTGGACATTCTTCTTCCGGCGTCTGCACAAGAATCCGTCCTACTACGGACTGGAGATCTCGGCCGAAGAGCACAACACGGTCGTCGCGCAGCAGGTGGCCAACGAATACATGGTGGAAATGGTCAACAACTCGTTGGATGAGCTCGCCAAGTCCAAGTGTGTGGAAGTCTTTCCCAATGGCGATGTCGACTCTACACCACTGGGCAAAATCATGAGCTACTATTACCTCTCTCACAAGACGATTCGCCATCTGAGCCGTCACGCCAAGGCAAATGGTACCTTTTTAGACGTGCTGTCGTGGATGTCGCGAGCCAGCGAGTACGACGAGCTTCCTGTGCGCCACAATGAGGACCTGATCAACGAAACACTTTCTGACAACTTGCCGTTTCCGGGTCACTCGTTCGGCCTGCCCATGTGGGATCCGCATGTGAAGGCATTCCTGTTACTGCAAGCCCACATGTCGCGAATCGACTTGCCCATTACGGATTACGTGGGTGATCAGACCAGTGTACTGGACCAGGCTATTCGTATCATGCAGGCTTCCATCGACGTGCTCACTGAGATGGGACACCTGTCGAGCTGTCTGCAGATGATGAGCCTGCTCCAGTCGATAAAGTGCGCTCGCTGGCCGACTGACCCACCAGTGTGTATCCTCCCCGGCTTGGAGCCCGAGTCGATCGGGAAGGAGTCGCTCTCTCTCAAGGAACTGAGCGCCTATAGCCCGCAACAGGTGTCGCAGCTTGCGAAGCGGCTTCGAGTATCCGCGCACCTGCAGCCTCGTTTTGCTAGAGCGGCATCTATCCTTCCCAATGTGGAAGTTTCCATTGAAGACAAGACAGCGCTGTCCGTCACGGTGAGCTTGAAGCGTCTAAATGCGCTCGTGGAGCGGGAAGCGCGCATCTATGCGCCTAAGCTGCCGAAGCCGCAGTCGGAGGGGTGGTTTGTCATAGTAGCCGACGCCGCCAAGGACGAAATAGTTGCTGTCAAACGCGTGGGATGGTCGGCGCCGGCTTCCCGATCAGGCGGCCCGCGCAAGCTCGAGGCCAGGACAAGGCCCACGGCGCGCAGCACGATGAAGCTGCCACAGGCGGCCGGGGCCCGGAAGCTGGACGTGATTGTGGTCAGCGACGCCTACATTGGACTGGAATACCGGATCGAGGGAGTCGAGATTCCGGCTGCGCCAGTGGTGGACGACGATGTTGACTCGAAGAAGGCGGCCGCTGCTGGAGGCGCGTCAGGGAGGGAAGGGGCGGAGCGATCTAGGTAGGGTGAATAAGACACTGGGAAGCAATTCCGGTGTCGCCTCTCTGAAATGTCATCGAATCCAAGACGCATGGGACTTTTGAGCCGTTGGTGAAGCAAAAGTGCCCTGTTCTGCTCCTGGGCTGTGAAAATGTGGAAATGGAACCCTGCATCCACGCAATCGGCAAGACCATGCCGAAGGCGTAGCGTTAGCGGAGGGGAGAGAGCAGGGCAATAGCGCCGGCGCAAACTAGCCTGGACGTTAAAGCATTGACTCGAAACTAACTTTGAACGACTTGGCCTCGCCCAAGACGTGGTCGTGGCGGCTTTGGGCTATCCAGCTGAGAATTGTGAGAGGCATGCCCCGATGGGAGAAGCGGAGACGATGTGCTTCATTGCCTGATCTGTTCGTCTCGGGATTTGCGGCCATGGGGAATCTCCCCCTCTCTCGCGGTGAGCTGTTGGCGGGCCGCAGCAAAGATAGACCCCTAGCAACAAATGGCGCAATCCAGCCCTATCCAGAAGGACAAGCAATGACTACTGCTAGTCAGCCCAGGTCCAGACACACAAAGTCTAAACGCCACTGCCCTCGTGCCCTTGACTGGACGGAGTAACTACAGGGCTGTGCTGAGCTAGCCTCGCCTGTACCGACCGACCGTGGGCAAAGACGCACACCAATGACCATGACCAACCAGAGACGATGGCGTCTACCCGTGCAGTGCCCCAGCCGGGGCCAGAGCCGACAAGTCCAGACTCGCAAAGGCGGGTAGATGGGCTGCATACGTTTGCGTTCCTGACAAGTGTGTAAATACAATGCGTGCCCCCTCCGTTACGACCGCCAGCGCCTCCCCGTTGGATCTTCTACTCTTCCCTTTTCTCATGTCGTAGATTGACGTTGTATACCTCGAGGGAATCGGCGCAATCCGATTCGGCGCAACCCGATAACTAGAGCAACATGCTCGCCGAGACACTACTAGTGGCTGCCATGGCCGGCGCCGCCGTCGAAGCAGCACCAGCGTTCAAGCCGCCGCTGCAGTTCACCACCGACGGCAATTTTCACATTTCCGTCTTCAACGATATCCATTTCGGCGAAAGTGAGCAATTCTCGTCTTGCCATTTCCCAATTCGCGCAATTTTTTTGTTAATTTTTAGTTTGTTTTTGATTCACTAACCGACCCGCCTCCAGACGCCGCCGGCCAGGGTCCAGCATGGGACAGCAAGACCTCACAGCTCATGGGCACCATCATGGACGCCGAGAAGCCCCAGCTGGTCGTACTCAACGGCGACCTCCTATCCGGCGACCAGTACCAGGGCAGGGATATTCTCGATCACGTCGACCGCATCGTCAAGCCCATTGCTGCCCGGCGTCTCCCGTGGGCCTCCACCTACGGCAACCACGACTCCAACTACAACCTCTCGCGCGACCAGATGCTGCAGCGCGAAAAGACGTACAACGGCTCGTACACGGAGCGCATGGTGAGCGGCCAGGACGCCGGCGTGACCAACTACTACCTCCCGGTGTATGCCGACGCCGGCTGCAACGCCTCCTCCACCACGAGCGCCGCTGCCTGCGTGCCGGAGCTCCTGCTCTGGTTCTTTGATAGCCGCGGTGGCAAGTACTACCGCACCCACAGCCGCCAGCCCGACTGGGTGGACACGAGTGTCGTGGACTGGTTCAAGGCCACGAGCGCCCAGCTCGCGGCCGCCTACGGCCGCGTCGTCCCCTCGATTGCCTTTGTGCACATCCCCATCCACGTCACCACGCTGCTGCAGAAGCAGGGGCCCGGCGGGCACCTCGACCTCCGGCGGCACCCGGGCATCAACGACGACAAAATCAACGGTCAGAGCGTTGGGTGGCCGCCCGCCAGTAACAGCAGCACCCAGCCGAGTGGCCCGGGCGGGTACAGCGGGCGTGACGTGCCATTTATGCAGGCGCTCGCGGCCGCCAAGGGACTTGTCGGGCTGTTTTACGGGCATGACCACGGCAACACCTGGTGCTATCGGTGGGCCGGCCACGTCGATGGGCTGGACGCCGGCGGGGCGGCGCCGGCGGGTACCGGCTTGTACCTGTGCTACGGGCAGCACACGGGCTACGGTGGCTACGGTAACTGGATCCGCGGTGGCCGCCAGATTGTGGTGACGCGAGCGGGCCTGCGACGCGGGACGCTGGACACGCACACGCGGCTCGAGACGGGCGCTGTCGTGGGCGCCGTGACCCTTAATAGCACGTTTAATGACGATGTCTATGACCTGGTGCCGGATACCAAGACGATGATGCCGCTCCCGGGCAAAGCGGCGACGGCGAGTACGGCGGCCGGTACGCGGTCGGGCTGGGCAGCGGCATGGACGGCCTTGATGCCGTTGGGGTTCTCGCTCTTTTGGTGCTGAGAACTTGGAAGTCGTGACGTGGGAGGCGTTGGAGGGGCCTTTTTCTCTTCTTTGTCAAGCATGCATGGATTGCGGCGTTTTGCATTTACAGGCGGGTATACCCAATCACGTACAATGTAAGATGATGACTACATATCATTTTCTGAAACTGCGAGTCTTGGAAAACTCTGGCTACGATTTCTACCAATTAGCGCAGTCGTAGTTGAAGACAGAATCTCATCTTCCATTTTCTCCTATGAATTGAAAATATACAACTCATATTTCCTCGTGAATGAGACAAACAAAAAAAAGTCCTTGCTCGCGGGCAGCTAACCCCCTTCACAAGCGGGGCAGAAGTCGTTTTTCGTGAACAAACTCGATTGGAGGTGGGTTTTTGTTGTTGTTTTTCCAGTCTTACGCAGAGCGGGTGACGAGCTCGAAATTGCCTCCAACTCCAGAGTCGCCAATGATGGAAACACGGGTGTGGCCTTCACGCACTGTTGAAAGTTCATCAATACCGCGGTTTCAAGAGAAGGGGAGGGAGAAGAAAAGAGAGCAAAAACGTACTGGTTGCCTTGGACGCAACATGCTCCTTGAAGGTGTAGTCGTTCATGGCGTTGTAGCGGCGCAAAGTCCCGTTTAGGAAGGTGACGAGGATTTCGTAGCATTCGCCCTTGACCGTGCCGGTGGCGTCCTGGGGAATCATGATGGGTTCGCCCTCTTTGAACTCGAGCGTCATTTCCTTGACGTCGGGGCCGAGCTCGTTGGTGAGCACGTTGCTGCCGATAAATCTGGTCTGGAAACTCATAGTCACAAGGGTGAGTGTTTTGGGGGGTAGTTGTGTGTGTGTGTGTGTTTCTGGGTGTGTTTTGTTTGAAACTGAAATTGGATCGAAGGCTTGGGTTTCTTGTCAGTCCTTATATAACCTTGGTTTCTGGCGTTCTCAGGACGTTGTGTTGTGTCTCAATCTATTACATACGGCAATGATGGCTAGGACATGCATGCTTTCATCATCTGGCAGCAGAGAGGTATTGTGGCTTGTGAATCCGCAAGACATGCTATTGATCCTCTGGAGAGCGATTTAATGGCCTCTGTTATTTTGAAATGTCGATAGAGTAGGAAAGTATCATCAAATTTTCCACCTTTGACAGAGTGTGGTGGTTGACTGACATAATTGGCCGCCTTTCAACCTCATGCAGTAGCATTGCTGTCGTCTGACCGGATCAGATGCACGTGTTGACAAGTTGCGTCGCATCTCCCACTCTCCTTTCATTGGTGCCACGTATGACCCATGGTAGAATGGAAGGGGTGCGTTTCTCTTTGCGGCAATCCGTCCGCCAAGCCGGGCGGGCGGGTTCACGTGCAATCTACAGATGTAGCCAAACAACGTGAGCAGAAACGATTGGGAATGAACACCTTGATCTACGCACATGCTTCCATCAATGGCCGCATTGGGAAGTTCAAACAGAGCACTGTTTGGTTTGGCTTGGCGTGCGTGGCTTGATATAGATCTGCTCGGGAAGGTGCCGTCTCGGCCCGCAGCATGTGCAAACCGGTTGAGCCGTTCGGGTATCGACTGGTAGTATAATGAGTTGGATATAGGCACACGACACCACCGTGGTATGCCTTGTGCGCAACCGCACTCCGTACATTGGGCATCCTCCAGGCAGCTCGGCGCGCACATCCTGCGGGCAAGTAATGCGATCAACATTCCACGCCACAAACCCGGTACTCCAGTAGTACTGGGAATCATCATCGGCACTCAAGTCAAGTCAACGACTAAAAAAGGGTGGGCGGCTACCCGGTTCTCATCGGCACCTGTCGAGCGTATTGCGAAAGTGTCCATATACTGTTTGAGCTATAGGTTGCATTGCGAGCTTGGCGATTGCCGCATTATGAGCCGTAGCTATGCGTCATGACGCAAAAAGATCTTCAAGAACAATAATATTGCCGACTTTCGCCTGATAATTTGCCGATAGTTACCGATCGGCCATTCGCGTCCGAGGCGGCGACATTGCTCTGTCTAGACGGAGTAGAGGTCGTTCTCCCTAAAGAGTATAAACGAACTTCAAATATAGCTACTTCAAAGGCTTTCTCCATTTTATTTTCCATTTGCATTGGCTTGTACATGCACCATACCGTGTTGTACATGGCGGAAGCATCCATGGTGATCTTCCACCCACAATGTCTCCGGTACGTCAGATTCCCGTCTTTTCAGCAAAGATCAGAGACGCCCCTTCAGAAATCATGTGGCTTGCCAGCACTTATGCATTGCATCTCGCAAAATACCAGTCCCGATTTTGTCAATCTTGCGGTAGTTGGCCCTCTACCGTGCGCGTTGTATCAATCCGCAGCCGAACGATCCTATGAAGCTTGCAGGCTCGTGATGAAGCAGTTGACTTGCTGGCTGCTGCGGTCCGCTGCCAAGAGGCACAGAGAAATGCCATAAATTTTTCTTTTGTAAGTTTGAGGGATTTATTCCGGGTGTTGTTACGCTTCGCCGTATTCGCTCCCCCAATGCGAGCATGTCGTTCGAATACTGAGCAGCATAGCACTCCGTAACACATGTAGATGCACTGACGTAGCGTGCAGAGGGGCGACAGGTAGTCGGATCATCCACCCATTAACTCCGCTGCTCACTCCAGTTGCCAAACGGCCACTCCGATTGAAGATCAGCCTCGGATCCGTCTTTGTACGCCATCGTCAACGGGCACTGGCCGTTTCATACGATTACATAACCCTGTTTTTTGATGGGTGAGACTGTGGAGTGCGAGTGGATGGCTGGCGCTTGCTTTGCGATGGGAGAATACTCCATGTCGAGGGACTGTTTGGCGGCGAGATCATCTTGCGTCGCTGGGGTGGAAAGTTCGCACAAGCATCTGAAATCATGGGAGCTATCAGTATGCTAGCTTTCTACCAATGGTTTCTCACCAAAAACTCTCCTAGGGCTCGTGAGTCATTCAGACATGCCCGTATGTCGCCACTGTTTGGTGGTATACCTGACTTGACGACAAGCATACCATAGATTGTGTAGCCCATAATCCGCAGACAGACAATGGTAGTTTACTGCATCGGAGCCGGTCTGCAGAGACTATCAGGGGTCTCAGTCATGCAACTGTGCCGATTTGGGGAATGGAGACCCTGGGTGAATGGGTAGCTCCAAACTCTCCAGGGTCGGTTTACGGTCCTCGGCAACCTCAGCTGTAGGCGCAGCCGGTAGACTGCCAATCGGCACGTCTTCGAATGGTTCAGCCACGGCGGCTTTAGTGACTTGCGACCTAAGGTATCGCCACTGCCTGGCACTTCGTGAGTCATAGTCCTGTAATATGATGGCGGAAGGCATTCGTCCTTTGGACTGAAGAGCCGGGGACATAAGTTAGCGACTTGGAACAAATAGTGTAGGAGACTAGCAACGAGAGAGTGTATTCATACCTCAACAAACGCTGCGCTGCGTAGACCAAGGCCATACGCCATATATTGCAGTCGGCCCTCAGCGAATGCGCGCTGGTCATCCGTAGCAAAGTCGTGATCTCGTATGTTTGTCAATGGAAACATGGCAAGAAATGATGCAAGTCGGCTCTGGGCTCCGTTCTGCCCACACGCGTAACTGGGCATGGTCGGTAGCAGAGCTGTGCGATTCTTGAACCAGCCAAGTTGATATGGCACCCCTGCTACAGCCTCGTGAATGACGTCGATATATAATTGCGCCATGCTGGAGTGTTCCGGGAGCGTTTGCACATCGGTGCGTTCGTGTATGAGGGCAGAACACCGTAGTATCGAGTTGATCAAGATTATTCGCGAAGTTCGCACCATATTCCAGATGGCTCCCACCCATGGACCTCGATAGCTGTGGATGGGACCCAAAAGGGCCTCCGCCTTGGCCGGATCTGGTGGACGATGGCTGATCCACGCAGCAACACTGAATTTGAAATAGTCTGGCAGAGTTTCAGGCCAGTTGCGGCATTGCGCCTCGAGCGCTTGAAATTTCCTCATAAGGTTTGACAGCTGGTCAAAGTCGTCAAGCGTAGCGCAATCAAGGTCCAAAAGCTTGTCTAGTTGATGTCGCAACTCGGACGTTATTGTTGATAGATGGAGTCCAACCAAGGCATATCTGTCTTTGAAGGTTCCTTTACCCCACCAATCCGATCCCGTTGGTGGAGGCTTTCCTTGGAGTAAACCGAGTAGAATCTAATAGAGGCTCGAGTCAGTTCTACGGTAGCAGATGCATTAAGAAGTGATCTCTCACCAAGTTAACTCGAACTGCAACGAAAATACCCATGCCGAGATCAGTGTTGAGCTTTTTCCAACTTCTGCTGTTCATCAGCTGCATCGACCCGGAAGTGTGGGCGGCCCATCCCTCAACGCCGTGTACGCTAGCGCACTGTATTTCATACAAGGAAAGGAGCATCACGGTAGCCAGAGTAGAGTCACTTGTAGCGACACTTGGGCGGGACAGGGCGTCGGAAGTTGCAGCCAGTGCTTTGACGTAGTATGAAGAGGCCTGCCGCTCAATCGCAGGGTCAAGCCCTTGTTGGGTAAGAGATGAGAGGGAGCAAGCCTTAAAGGCCAAGTGGAAGGGGCTTCCTGACGTCGCCTTCTTCTGAATGGGTAGCAAGAATTCAAAAAACCCTCGATTGGTTCCTTGTGGCGAAAGTAGGACCCAATTGGACAGGAAGTGACATGATGCGGCGTCGTGCAGTGGAATCTTGATGGTCGAGTCCACTGAGTGCGAGGCCGTAGCTACTCTGTCTGCAGCATAGACCATCCAACGGTTGGCAAAATGCTCCTCTTCGTCGCTAGATGACGAGCCGCTGGACTTTTCAGTCCCTTCCCGCACAGACTTGCGACTGTCAGGGTAGGGCCGCGAGTGAGCTTTTGTTATGACGGGATAACCGGGGCATTGTCGTTTGCTCTTGCGGCAACGATTGCAGAAGGGCTTGGTCTCGTCGCACTATTCCTACATTAGCCACTGGTAGCAAAAGGGAGCTTCAAAGATGCAGGACCGCAAGAGTCGCAAGATTGACCTACCTTGATCTTGCGGGACCTGCAGAGATAGCAGCCGCGGGACGGAATGCCGTTGTACACCATGGGAACCGTGATAGAAGAACAACAAGGATGGGTATATTCCGCTAAATGAAGTTCAGATAGCGGCGCTGAAGATATAAGACGCGATACTGCTGCGTAGTCGGATGGGCACTGTGCGTCCAACTCAGGAAGAGATGGCCCTGGCTGCAGAGCTTTGTATAAGATGCCAGTCCAAGTTTAAAAGACCCCGTTTCTTGTCGAACCGGAGAGGAGGAGATTGGCTAGATGAAGAGAGTGCCAGGGAAAGGTGAGCAATCATGGTTGGTCTCACAGATCGTTCTAGGCGGGCACCACTAAGCGAGGCCCCCGCACACGCACTCTTCTCCGTTGGAAAAGTGTGGACGAACAGGGTAGAGTCGCAGTTTGCGTCGGTCGCAGGGATGACGCGCAGGGTTGGTCACTAGTAATGAGAATAAAAGTCACTGGCACCAACCGTCAGAGTTGGGGTGGTGACAAGGATAGGGACGATGAATTGGAGTTGTTGGGACTGGAGTTGACGAAGGACGAAGTAATTAATGGGCGATCAAGTGGGGGGTCATCAAGTGGGGACTGACATGACAGCCGTTGGTTGAGTCGTCGACTGCGCACCCCAGGTGCTACCTAGTAGTTAGTCAACGTTTTTTCGGCAGATGCAGCTTGGAGACGCACCCCTAGTCAAAACCCTACCTAGGTACTGCGACAGTACGAATACCAAATAGGTTAACGCTAGTCCGTGCTTTTTTAGAATTGGTCCGGCTTGCTGGAAGCGCAAGACATGCCAAGCTGGAGCTGTCACCCAGAGCCGTCGTACCTTGCCCCGGTCAGCAGGACAAGGTTCCGTCAATTGAGGAGCCAACCACACTTGTTTCATTGCTGGATACGGGTAGAACTGACTCGATGCATTGTTGTCTAGGCACTTTGTTGGCAGACAGCTGGCGCATAACAACAACCCTAGAACTTGTCTGTCTACAAGTACTGATACTCTTCCTGGACGGCGATCCATGGAGCGAGCCTAGTGTCACCCGCACTCCTAGTCCAGCCTATTACCCCTGCTGAGATGACAAACCTCCGAGCCGTCACATTCGCCAAAGTAAAGTATGAGTCTTCATAAATGGGGGCGTATATTGCGCCTTGACATGCAGTCGTCCTGGAACCCCAGCGCTATAACACAAAACGCCCTTTGTTCAGCGCACCAGTATTTGAACCGCTCACCGCTCAAAAAGAAACAGGCCAACGTGGGATATTAAATTCAAAATGTCAACGCATAGAACCGCCATCATAGCCAAATGCAATCCTAAATCCAAACATGCCAATACTAGCTGAGACAAATAAGAAGGGCATGTACAAACATCTCAAAATTTCAATAGAAAGCCTTTCCATCGGCTTTCTTGGGTATCTGTGAATAAGTTATGGCACTGATCCGCCCTGGCTTTGGCGAGCTGGCCAATATATCCGCTGCCATGTACCTATCATGACAGATACTTATGATGCGTATCGAGCATCGCAGCGTGGCTCTATCGTGTTCATGACGCCTTCTAGAGCCGTAATATCTGAAACAGGAGCGATAGTATCGAGTCAGCAGCACCTTGACCTGAGCTTCGGTGCCTCATCGCGCCCGTCTCTGTCTTCGCTCACAGGACGGTCGACTGTGATGGCGGGCGAAAAAGCCGGAGGAAAAAGCCAGCTCCTGCGGTCGTGTCCGACACGGAAGCTGCCCTTGTGGTCGCGGCCATCGAAATAGCTTCCATCCATGCCGTCAATGTAGCCAGGCGTGCCGGGCATGGCGGTGGCCAGGAAAAGAGCATGCTGCATCTTGCGGTTCTGCTCGACAAGCTTGCGCGCGACGACGCGAAAGACCTCCTCAACGCCCTCGCCACTCTCGGCACTAATTTCGTGGCAGGCATCCCAGCCGACCTCCTGGCCCCAAAAGCCGGAACTCCTCTTGGAGCTGGGGCTGCGCGGCTCGCCGACGGCGCTGGCCGAGGACAGGCTGACGTTTCCGTTCATGTTCGTGGAAATGGCCGTCGGGGGCGGCGTGCTGCCCAGGCCGGGCGCCAGGTTCTCGGCGACGTAGGCGATGCAGCGTTCAAACGGCACCTGGCGCGCCGAGGGGTCGCGCGCGACAATATCGGCCTTTGTGCCCACCACGTGTAGCACGACGTCGTGGGGGAGGTTTTGTCGGAGTTCCGTCAGCCACACGCCCATGTCGGCAAAGGACTGTGCGTCGGTGATGTCGTAGCAGAGGATACAGGCGTTGGCGCCGCGGTAGTATAATCGGGAGATGGATCTAAATCGTTCTTGGCCAGCTACGGGGCAGCGGTTAGCATGTCGGCGCTACATAGTCTCATGACGGTAGCCCAAGGGCGTTTCTGGCTAACCTGTGTCCCATATTTGGAGGCGGACGACGGTGTCGCTGTCCATGTCGACGATGCGCTTGGTGAGAAAGCTGGCACCGACGGTCGAGGTTATTTGGGCAGGGTTAAAGGCGCCTTTGCAGTAGCGCATGACGAGCGAGGTCTTGCCCACGTTTTGGGCGCCAAGGACGACAATTTTGGCCTCGAGGGAAGACATGGTTTGTGATATTTTTCTCGCAACGGCGCGATCGGTTGTTGTTCGTTTGCAATGGGGTGGGCGAGGATAGTTACAGCACAGCACGACGGTGGCAGAGGGCAGGACAGTTGGGTTGCTTTTACAGCACAGGGCGAGAGTCGAGGCAAGACGTCATGATCACACCGACATGGCTCGGAGCGTGTTATATTGGGAGACGGTGGGAGGTGGCGGGGGGCGAGGCCGAGGCGGGAGGGGTGAAAATGCGCTTTTGCGACAGCCGTTGTATGCGCCTCGTTCAACCTGCGTTGTGTAAAAACAAAGATGATCGGGTGGACTCGATGATGCGGAATGGCCGAGTTCTTGTGTGTGTATTTGTGATTTGTGTGGCGTGGCAATGAGGGAATGCGAGTAAGAAACTGGTCTTGTTTACTGTAAGAGTGAGGAACGGCAAAACGCTTGTCACGAATGGTAACTTGGGCGAGTGGGGAATCACCAGGAGCCCAGCCAACAGCGTATCAAGTGCCGGCGAGCTGTGCTGACAGGTCGGTCTGAACTGAACTGGCTTGCCCTTTTTTTCAGCCCCGAAAATAGAGCGAGGCCAGGTATTTCTGAAGAGAGAAGCAGCCCATCAACATATTGTTGCGCCCGGAATGAAGCTGCACAGGTGTCATCCGCCTTCACGTGGGCACTGGCATGTGGCCAAAGTGCGGGGGAGGCTCGGCACCTTTGCGCTGCCTCGACCAGCACGCGCTGTTTCACTTTGTTGTCATTGTCATTACTCATCCTCCGAGATCATATGTATATATATATATATATATATATATATATTCGATAAAAATGTCCCCTCCAGAGACTCCGGCGCTGTTGCGGTTCTGAGACCCGCCGCGACCCGGCTGACCGACGTCATTGTACCGCAAACTCCTCTTCGCGATGGACTGATGCTACTCTGCGCCACACAGCGTCTCATTCCCGCCAGACGAGTCATTGTTATCGTGTCGGTGTGTGGTCATGCTGGTCGGCGGTGGGAATGGGCAACAAGGGCGGGAATCCGGGGATGCCTCTAGTGGTGAGCACCTCCCTGTGTAGACACGTTGTGGCTCAGTGTGCAAGGAATATCATATATCATGTAACCAGCTACACGGGATAGTAACTAGCCAACCTTGCGTGTTTCCGACCAGCACGTGTCGCTGAAATGTCTTGCACTCGAACTTCATTTCTTGCACCACACCGGCTGTCAAATTGATCAGTGCTCGGCTCCGAGTCGTAGGCTCTCACGGCGTCACATATCTTTTGTACAAGAACCTAGCGCACTCGGGCGTGAACAAGAAACGAGTTGTCCTGATGACGCCACCTCGGTGTCGCTGTGCGATCTACGTACATACGCACTTGGCAAGGGCTAATGAGTTGCATGACTGACGGTCGTAGTACTCCAACAGGACATGACGCTCGACCATCAACGCCTGTCTATTGTATTCATGTAGCAACATGCCGTCATGGCCTCTTGCTCAGGCCTGCATTCTACCCCTGTTCAATGTCATGGACGGAGTAATTAATAGCTAGCAGCTACAGGGCCACAACACCCCTACAGATAAAACAGTTGCGCGCCGCTCGACCATTATCGCGCAACTTCCAACACCTTCCGTTTCATCTGGTGCAACCTTGATTATTCCCCTTTCTGGACTGAAGGAATTCTATCATAATTATGGACACTCCCGGGCAGAATGTTCCTCGCTCGGAGACTCGCGAAGCTTGAGCTCTCCGAGGCACGTTTATCGTAACAGCCCATATATTATGATAATAGCACATGCTTTTCATTAATAAACCCCATCGTCCAAACGGGCCTCTCGGCAGCTTTCGGATTTTTCCTCTTTCTTTCTTTTTACTGTTTATGCAGATTCAATAATCTCATCTCCGTCATTCGCGGAACACGTCCTTGAGAGAGCGCACATTTTAGTTCCGCGGCTTTGATCGCAATGCGCCCGTCCATCCTGCGGCTCTCCGCCGTCGTGAGCCTTGTCTTCACCTTTATTAGCTTCATCTTGGCCGCCATCACGCTCTTCGCTGGTCGCGACACCGGTACTCTGGAAAATTATGCAGTATTGCGCGTAAGCTACATTTTTCTCAACAGACGGGCGAAGTTCATATTTTTATTGTCACTGACTACCGTACGATATCTAGGTCAATGTTTCCTTGGCCCCGAGGGCCGTAATTGAGCTCGGCATCAATCAATTAACAGGCGGCCAAAACAGTCGCTCCGTCGAGCGCATGGCCCCTCGGAGCGCCAACTGGCTGGAGAACGTCTCGTCCGGCCTGCGGGACTTGCTCGGCGACATTGAAAAGAACATTACCGACGTAGTCACCCAAGGGATTGATACCTTTGTCGACGATGCTGTTGCCGAGGCGAAGCGCCAGCTGAACATCTCCGACTGGTATTCTCTGCATGTCCTGAGCACTTGCCAGGGCGATTTCACCCCCAACGCGAGTGTGAGCAATCCAGGTCGCCACACGACGAGCTGTATAGGCGACGTGAGACGTGCGTTGTCCTCTTCCTAGTTTGCCATCACGCATATCTAACATTCTTCTGCAGACCGCTTCAACATTGCTGCGGTGCTGGACCAGCAATTTCAAATCGGAAATCGCAATGTGAGCCTAGGCGACCTCGACTGGACAGACTCGATACGGAAGCGGGTCAATGGCATCAATGACAATTTGTATGCACTGGTCATCCTCATGTCCCTTGCCTTTGGCTTGCTCGGCGCCACACTCTTCTCGACCGTCGCCATCATTGCCTGGCCCACAAACAAGATCCTTGTGCTCGCAACGCTCATATTGACGGCACTGGCCAGTTCCATCATTGCCGGCGCGAGTATAGCCATCACGGTCCAGAGCTCCAGCGAGATACGTGATCTGAACCGGAAGACTGCACGAATCGGCATCATTACCACGTCCGGCGAGCAGTTTCTGGCCATCATTTGGACTTTGATGGCCTTGACAACCATTGTCGCGCTTACATGGCAGGTCCTGTATGTGTTGGTGAGACGGGATGCACGACGCGCCGAGATTGTCCGGTACTCCTCCAAGAACGATGCGGCACGCCAACAGGAACCAGGATCCGAGGCGCCGCTGCAACGGGAGAAATAGAAGGTCATTCCCGCAAACTGAATTTTCTATAATAACGTCTTATTTTTAAAATGTACCAAGATGGACCACGAGGCGCGATAAATACACATGTAGATCTATCCCGCGCCAGCTCCGCTGTCGTGCCTCGGCGTGCATGAGATGGCGCTTCACGTGGACGACCAACCCACCACCCACCTAGATTGCATCATAGCCCCAACGCCTGTAGAACAATGCAACACATGGATTTTTGTATATTTTGTTTCTTAGCATAAAGGCCTTTATATAAACTTGCCACAGGCTTTGCGGCGGGTTCCTCTAACACCTGCCCATCCAGGCGCTGTGTAATCTGTACCAGGGCGAATCCGGAATCGGACACCAGCCACTTATTTCAGGGGTGCCGAGTGCGGGGACGCACTCTGCACCCTTCAAGTTCCCAAGCTCAACCAGCTACCTAGCAAGAGGCACGCGCGATCTAGACTCTGTAAATTCCTCGGGCAAGATTGCAGACAGCTTGTCGCCATGCCGTCGCAAGACCTGGAGCATGTGCACAGTGAGGCCGACTCCCTGCTGCACCGCGGCCAGGAGAGAGCCCAGCGCTTCTTCCACGGCTTCGTCGACTTTGCCTTTCAGGGCAACATTCTAGAAATCGCGTTTGGTTTGATGTGAGTAGCGGATGCCAAAGGCTCTCAGAGTGCTCAGGCTAGAAGGGTGTCTGCCACAAGCGCCTTGCTGACCCCTTGCGCGTGCCCACAGTGTCGCGTCTGCATTTACCGACCTTGTCAAGTCCTTTGTCGGCGCCATCTTGATGCCGCCCATAGCCGTCATTTTCCCACTCAACAAGAACATCGAGGAAAAGTTCGCGGTCCTGCGACGGGGTGAAAGGTCGAATGCAACTGCACACTACAGCACTGTTCAACAAGCGCTCGACGACGGGGCCGTCGTAATGGCCTACGGGTACGTGTTCACGCATAGAACCATGTCGGTTCAGATTCTCGTTGATGTTGACGCCAAGAATAGCTCATTCATCTACCAACTCGTATCTTTTACCATGGTTGGTCTGTGCCTTTATGGTGTAGCGCACATTTACACATTGGTCTCCCACGATCCCATCATCAAATACACGACCAAGTGCCGATACTGCCGCAAGCGGATCAATGAAAAGGTATGCCAAGTCCCTGTTTTCCAGTCATGAACATGTCACTCACGATCAGGCTCTGCGCTGTGTCAACTGTAGTAGCTGGTTGGACGGGAGGGAGGACATCATTTCGTGAGCATGTAGCGGCGCATAATAAGATACCAGGAGCAAGCATTGTTGCTATTATCAGGGCGTGTATTATTATTGAATTACACCAATTGGACTCTATGGTCCTTCTAGCCTCGATAAACTTGTGAGGGCTGGAAAAACCGTAGCATAACAGGACCGGACCATGCCCAGCCCCGGCCCCTGTGCCCGGGTAAAATCCATCCCTCCGGCGCGCAATTATACTGTCGTGTCACGATTCCTGGTAGGGTTCAATGGTTTAGTGTGTTCTCGATAGGCAGGTTCCCAGGCTGCTACCTCGATGCACGTCTCCACGTCTTCCATCAACAATCAATACTATTAGGTACATCAAATTCCTTGCCATCTGTGTGTGTATCTAAGTAGCCGACCAGTCCCCCGCCGTAAGCATCCTTCTATAAGGTGTGTGCTACGGTATTTGTACGGTTTTTAGCCTTGCCGTACCACAAGGATCAGGGCGTGTATTAAGAGAAGAGAAAAAGTCTAGCCCGCTATGCTATATATTTCGATGCATGAATAAGAATCAAAATTTTAGAGTGCAAGAGCGCCCACGAGGGCGGCGACACCAGCCAGCAGCGCCTGCTGGGTCGCAGCCGGTGCGGCGTTGGGCGTGGCTGTCTTGGAGGCACTCGCAGAGGAGGTGGCGCTCGATGAGGACGCGGAAGAAGCAGCCGAGGTGGAGGCAGCACCGGACGAAGACGGTGACACGCCTCCAGTGTTTGTAGGGCCGGAGCTGCTGCCACTCGGTGTGGGTGATGCCGTGCTCGGCGTCGGCAGCACGGCGCCATCGGTGAGCTTGTCGAGACCGGCAACCAGAGTGACGGCCTGAAGGTCTGAAAGGTAGCTCGTCGTCATGCCCGTCTTTGTGCTCGAGGCTTGGGTCTCGCTGTCAGACATAGTTTCGGACAAGGTGCAGCTGGCTTCATTTCTGGACGAGGTGAGGGCGCATGCGGCCGTCAAAGCACTGCGTCAATTTACCACGGTTAGGAATCGCAACAAGAAAGGGGGGGGGGTAGGGTGCCATCTTACAACAGGCCGTCTTCGTCGCTCTGCGACAACGTCATACGCCAGGTCGATGGGCCCTGGACAATGGTGCCGTGCGTCGCCATGCCGCAGTCGTCAGAGTTGACACCGCTCGCGCAGGTGTAGGCATACGTTGTGGCCGACGCGTCAACGTTGAGGACGGTGGCGACAAAGGACTGGGGATCGTTGTAGGGCAGCAGGAGGCTCGTCACGACGGGGTCGGCCGCTGCGACAGACGTGGCAGCAGCCATGGCGATGGCGAGCAGCTGGTGGAAGCGATGCATTTTGGATTGATTGTGAGTGATTTCGTCGTCGGGTGATGATGCGCAAGGAAGAAAAGAAAATCAAATGCGAACCAACGATGCCAGTCAAATACGAGTTTGTGGCGCCCTTGCTATCAAAGCCCTGTGGGGGCCTGAGTTACATCCAGGCAAACACAAAAGATGAAAGATCGGCAGAAGGGGTCTAGAGGCACAAGGATCATGCTTACACAGCCACACGCAAGCAAAATCTGCGACAAACGTGTTGTCTTGCTTGAACATGTGTTAGGGAGTTGCAAGATCAAGGCTTGCACCATCATGCTACAAGAATGACCATAATGACCATTGTACCGCTAGGGAGAACCTCGACCAATCTCAACATGGAAGCCAAGACTCTCCAGAAACGGATCCAAGATCTTGAATCGCATGAGATGAATACTAAGAGATCAAGACCCGCCGGCCATATTGGGGCAATTATCAACACGACCTACAAAATGCATAAATATCCTTGCCACCTCTCTTTCAACGGGTTTATTATCCATTATCCACAATATAACAGCAACAAGTATCCGTACCTACAAAGTGGGTGGCCAACCCACAACCGCCGAACGCGCCACCGCCCGTTCGCCACAGCGCCGGAACCGGCCCGACGCTTGGCCTGACCGGAACCCCCGGAATCAAGACGGCTTCTTTCAAATTCGCTTTCCGCCTCTGGGCTGGCCTTCAGACAATGCTCATACAATGTCTTGCCCGCCCTACCACTACGTCCACGGTTTCTTTTGCCAACGACTTGTGGACGAACACAGTCTGTTCCGCAAAAATTCCTCAGTCATCCTGCCTGGCTCTCGGGGTTTAGCTCGGCCTTGCCGACTCTGCTCGACCATATGCTAGAGCTTTCAACAGCGGCGATACTATGCTATTCATTAATAGTTATCTGTGTTATGAGCAAGGCTATCCCTACCAGTCCGCCCCCGCCCAGCGGCGACGGCGTCCCTTCCTGGTTCGTCCACGGTCTCTTAATAATACAACCCGCTATTGCACCTCCGTGCCATTATTCGCCTACTTACTATTCGTCACTGAATACCCGCACAGGTTCTCATGGGCTCGCTCTTCGGCTTCTGGCATTCCATCCCCACCGGCTGCCGCCGCTAGTGGTGTGAGTGATGGTGCCCCTACCCCAAAAATAAGTTGATATTGGCCGAGCCTGCGGAGATAAATATTTTCTTCGATCCTGTTTGTTGCCGGTATTTGCTATTTCAATCCACTATCTCTCTCTCTCTTTTCTCTTCCCATGATGCAAAGACGCGTATGTTGTGTCTACGAGATTGCCGAAAATTGAACCAGATCTCGACAACGCCACATCTCCGCCAGTATATGTCATGGCCGAAGGGGAAAAGGTTTCAAATTTGCCGTCGCCCCAAGACAGTGGGCAAACGGCAAAGGACGCCCAGCTCGCCGAAAAACTAGCCTTGCCCGATGGACGCGATGTCGAAACCCCGGACCACAACGACGCCTCCCAACCAGACAGCGGCGCGGACAATGACAGAAAGGCATTCCAGGCCCGATTCGAGCCCGGCGATCCCGAGAACCCACACAACTTTAGTTCGGCCAAGAAAGTGTCGATTCTAATCCAGATGTCGCTCTTGGCATTGGTCGGCTCCCTGGGCACGTCGATAATTGCCCCGGCCGAACCGGTCATTGCCCGCTATACAAACACAAGCACAGAGGTCGCGACCCTGGTGCTATCGCTCTACGTTTTGGGTGAGTATCTCATGCTTCCCACATAGTCATGTACTTGACGGTCCCCTAACCATTTGCCTCGTGTACAGGATTCGCTTTTGGTCCTCTGCTATGGGCTCCGGTCAGCGAAGTCTTTGGCCGGCGGTGGTCCATGCTGCCGCCCGTCTTCGGCCTCGCCCTCTTTAGCATCGGCACCGCGACGAGCACAAACGCCGCGAGCATCTTCATCACCCGCTTCCTCGCCGCCGTCTTCGGCTCCGCGCCGCAGAGCAACGTGTCCGCGGCCATGGGCGACTTTTACGGACCCAAGACCAGGGGCGTGGCCATGACCTTTTTCGCCGTGTGCGTCGTCGGCGGCCCGACACTGGCGCCGCTGATTGGCTCCGCGCTGGTGGTGAATCCGAAACTGGGGTGGCGATGTGAGTTTGGACAAATTGGACCCCCGATACGTGAGCGAGCTCACTGACGAAACACAGGGACGGAATACGTGCAAGCAATTATCTCGTTTGCCGTGGTTCTCATTTGCATCTTCTTCTTGCCCGAGACGTACGGCCCGGTTCTATTGCGGCGCAAAGCGGCGCGGCTGCGCAAGGAAACGGGTGATGACCGATGGTGGCACCCTCAGGAAGAGGAAAAGATGAACATGGGCAATATTGTGACGAAATACATTGTCAGACCGTTGAAGTAAGTCGCGCACTGTGAGTAGCGAATCGTCCCGTCGCTAACAATGGTCATCAGTATGCTTGTAACGGAGCCCGCCGTCACATGCATGGCAATATACGCATCCTTCGTCTTCGCCCTCATCTACATGTTTCTCGAAGTCATTCCCATCGTGTACCTGGAAGGGCGCCATTTCGGCCCCGTCGTCTCCACGCTCCCATACATGGGCATATTCGTCGGTGTATTGTGCGCCGTCTTTGTCAACCTCGCCAACCAGCCGTTCTACGCAAAGGCCATGGCCAAAAACAACAACAAGCCAGTCCCAGAAGCGCGGCTGCCACCCATCGTCATCGGCATTGTGCTTCTAGTCATAGGCATGTTTTGGTTTGCGTGGACAGCGGCACCAGAGTTCCACTGGATGCTTCCCACCGTTGCGTTAGGTATGTCAAGCTTCCTTGCTCGCGCCTGTGTGGTCTAACCTCGATGCAGCATTTGTTGGCGCAGGCTTCAACATTGTATTCCAGCAGTGCCTCAACTTTCTCGTTGATACGTATGGCATGTATGCCGCCAGTGCTCTGGCTGCCAACACATTTCTCCGTTCACTCCTCGCATGTGGGCTGCCGCTGGCTGCGCGGCCCATGTTCTCAGCCATGGGCGTCGGGCCGGCGGTGAGCCTCTTGGGCGGCATCGCGTGCGCTGCGTTGCCAATCCCGTTTGTCTTTTACAAGTATGGCGCCAGACTGCGCAAGGCATCCAAGTTTGCGGAGCTACAAGACTAGATGGGACGATAGACATTCTGTACATAGAGCTGCTGGCACACGAGCGTAGATTTAGAGGTGGGCAATTCAAAGAGTATTGAAAGTTCTCCGGCAAGCAGCGGCTCGACACTTGTAGTTTGTCTCTGCTGGAGTCTTGGCGAGACAGTATTCACCATCAGCCATAGATAGCAAACGCAGGGTCATTTCCGCAAGCCTCAAGAGAATAAGTTTGTTTCGACTTGGGCATCGCGAGTGGAATTATCGTGGTCGAACTTTCTCAAATAAGATCTCAACAGGGTAATATCTCAAGTGTGACAAGCGACGGATTGACAGGCGGCAGTAGTAGAGCGGTATCTAGTGGACGTCGAAAGACTTGGAGCCGAATTTGTCGGTCCATCGGCCGGCATGTCTACCTGTTTTCTCTAGGCTGTCGGGATTGCGAACTGTCGGGCGCACCACTCTTTCTCTTTCCTGGTTTCCTCTTTGCCTTTTTGTTTCAGGCGGCGTTGGCACATCGCTAGACGCAGACTCGGCATTCACCAGTGAAATTTGTATCGTAGCTTTTATGCTCTAGACAGTGACATTGATCGGAGCTTTGATGGATACTGGACGTGAAAACATCGACTTTTTTCATTGGGCGAATGGCGAATGGCGAATATCCGAGTTTCGAACAGAAGTCGACGATGCGTAAATAGTTCGCGAGGATGGTTGCATTGTAGACAGCGGCATCGCGGGCGTCGCGGAGGGGCAAGAGGGAAGAGGCGGAGACGGCAACACATACACGATGACGCATCTCTCCAGCGTTACGTTGATTACGACGGAGTAATTTACGCTTGGCCGGGCCGTGGCATGTGTAACCACTGGATCTTCTTGGCAGCCGAATAGGAGGCTTGGCGGCGACGGTGATTCGGCCGGCGCGGTAAAGCGGCAGCGTGTCCTTTCCGACGGCGGCCGGCTTGCTTGCTAACTGGGCTTGGCAAGCTGCCAGCTGGCTGGGCAGGTGGCAGGTGCAAACAAAGCGACTGGTAGCTGTGAGCAAACGGCATTCAATTGGCAAATGAAAATCAACGACGTGCATAATGTCATCGACTAGTAGCACGCTTACATTTAGTGTCATCTATTTTACGTTTCTTTCGCACTAATAGTCCGCATCATCTAGTTACTTGAATATATCTTGGGCTGGAAATACGGCACGCCAGGCTTCACATCCCGGGCATAACGCGAACTCGATACGCACAAACTGAAGATTCATGTACATACCTTGCAGCGCTGTGCAGTGTCTTGGCGAAACGTCAGCTTCAGCCCGACGCATACACCTCTCCTATTACTACCTGTAGTTACTGGCAGGCCTCCTTTTTTGTACAGCCGCGGTAACTGCCCAATCCAGTATCACGAGTCTTGGGGAGCCCAGTATTCTCACATGCGACGAGGTGCTGCGACCGTTGTTGCAACAGGCCAGCCAAGACTACCAAGACCTGGCAATTCCCACGGCAAATTTACACCACAGTTCCATCGAGACCGATTACCAGAATTTCAATGGTGTTATTCGTATTATTCATTATGCCTCAGTGGTAACACGGCGCCGCGCGTCTCAAACTGCATGCTGGCACCAAAAGGAACAGAGCACGTCTCACAGGGGAGGAGCCACTAATAATCTCGTAGGCAGAAAAGGCGGCACCACTGCTAGACCCAATTTGCCAAGAGCTCCAAGACTTTGCCCAGCAAAAAAAATAAAGAGACAAGCAAAGGCGACGAGAAGGTCATCGGTCGGCCTGGCGGCGCATCATGGCCCTACCTGGGTCTGTATTTTATTGACTCTCTCCTCCTTCGCTCCACGGCCCTGTCCCACTTCCTCCTCACATCCGTGAATAAACGTCTTTGCTCGTCTTCCGCCTCTAAGCAATCCAGGTCGCGCTACGCACGCCTTCGGAGCTTGATTTACACGCCGGCTCGCCAGCGCTCCCCGCCCAAACCTGCGATCGACAAGGCCGCCGCGAAAACAGGCTCCGAACTCGCCAGCCGCGCGCAACGCCAGGAGACCTTGCCAGTCTGTCGATCATGGCCGGTGTACGCCGCAGTGCCGTCGCCGCCATCCTCTTCGTCTTTTCTGCGCTTTGCGGTGCGTCCACGGTGCCGAGCACCACCACAAGCACCAGTACATCCCAGCCGACTGGGACAGCCACGGTCACGACACCAGTTCCTAGCGTCACTCCTGCGCTGTCGGCCATTTCGCACACGACACTTCAATCTGCGGCCCAAGGACCAATCACGACTGCACCTGTATTTCTACCATATTATGACAATTTGGCCTGGTCTGCTCTCCGAGGCAGCATCCTGTCATCCGTACGTCGATTTTTCTCCTGCACTGCACGTCGGCGCGCAGTCTTGCTAATAGTGACGACAACAGGACGACATCAAAAACACAACAACCTACACGATATTTTGCCGCAGGGAGCCCAAGCAAGCTTGCAATCTTGCCCTTGATTTTCCCTTTATCATTATAGAAGGTCCCGAGACGGTCGAATTCCATGGCACATACACCTCCACATTGTACGACAGCTACCGAGGACTCCCCATATCCCAAAGTTGGCTGTTTGCTAACAAGATGTGTTTTCAGTATCGCCGACATCGGGTGCACTCTCGACGAACGAACGGCGGCGACTTGTTCCGGCTATTCCAGCTACAAGTCTGGCTACAAGAACGGCTACGTCACAGGTCCGACTGAACTCTCGTGGACCTCGACCCTGACCGGAACGGACGTGCAATGGGGCGTCTTGACCATGGCGGCTCTCCCCAAACCGACCGGCGGCGGCAAAGATGCGGATGATACCACCATGGCGCCCACTCAGAATACGGCGCTGCTGTTTCTGCCGTCTGATACCCCCGGCAGTGCGGCCAGCACACGAACTATGCGGGCCTGGGCCGCTGTCGTCGTCGCAGCAGGTACAACTTTTGCCGGCCTTGCTCTCTAGGCCGCGACGCGTACGCACATTTGTCGCAGGAGACGATTTTCCCGGAGGTATTGTACAGAGTTTGAACGAAAGTAGGCAGGGCGAGTTTGCCCTCAAGGACGAGCGAACATGGGCATGGCATGGACACAAGCCCATTTTGACCAGAATTTATACCCCCGATACAAATGAGTGCAACCTACCGGTAGGGGTGCACTGGCGTTTTTTGTTTTATCATGGCAGGCGGCATCTTGGAGTTGGTTGCTGATTTTGTCCTTGAGCATTCAGGGCATGGAGTTTGGACTTGTTTCTGTTTCATTGCGGCAGTCGGAGAACTGTTTTGAAGATGCCCCGGCTCCGATGCTTTGCAGATACGGGAAGGATTGTTCTCGTTAGACCATACCTGGTAGCTTTTATCTCTATCCCAATTCATGGCCATTTGGTGTTTTTGAGGGTGTTCGAAGGGACACAGTAATCGTCGCTTCAGATGGGACAGACACTAGTTTCCCGGCTACCTTACCAGACACCATAAACGATGAAAATATAGAAATAAAGAATGGCCGCACATTTCAGCTGCTCAGGGTCATCATCCATCGTATTCTCCGAGGCTGACTCTGGACATGCATGACGCTAGCACGACGTGCTCACCGACATGTCCTGTTATTTCCCAGATTTCATTTACGCCCGCCCAAGAAACAGAACAGCGCCAAATCACCAAGCCCAGAGACGACAAACAGGCGTTTTGGGGCTTTTCAGCCGCCACTTGGGTAGCCGTGCAGCCATCTACCTATTTATAACTGACGTCTTTACAGCCTTGCATATACGCACTCTCCGCACCGCCTGTCCTCTACTCGGTACCCTGATTCATGCACAGCGGCAGAAAGCATATTGCCAGAGGTGTTGAATGCTCACCGTTGTGACAGAGATGTAAAGAAAAATGTCGGTCTTGCGCTCATGGTCGCTGGTTTGCTGGAAGTTGGACGGCTTTGATGCAGCTAATAGCCTCGACCAGGGTCATGGAAAGCTTGGCGGTCGGGCAAAATAGCAAAGATGAGGGGAAGTACGGTCACAAGCGAAATAAGAGAGAAGCAGGCGTCGGAAACTCTCTACGAAGGAGATGTTTGCTCTGGAGAGGCCGAGGAGTGGCGCTTTTCGGACGGGGAGGATGGGGTCGACTCGTTCTGCTTTGGCCTGCCAAGTGCCAGCCATGTGTGCATAGCGCCGCGGCGGACGCTGACGGGCCTCAGGATTTCATACCCTCGGAGGCACATATGGCACATTACTTTCCTTGTGAACGGTAGAGAGGGAGCAGAGAGACCAAGAACATCGGCCGGGATGGATATGCCGTGCCTCGTCGACTACTTACTTGGCTCGGTCGAGAGGGGGCGGGGATCTTTACCCCGCGGCCGCTACCCACGTCTGGTCTTCTTTCCGACGACGCCATCGGCTTCCGTTGTGGTGGTGGTGTGTGCTTAAGTGCGGACTTTAGATACTAGTTCGGATCATGGATCATGGATCATGGATCATGGATCATGGATCATGGAATTTGCCGATTGTTTTTTAGACATGAACAATGGGTTGCAGATATCTAGCAGACGGGCACAGTAGACGGTGCCATGATTCTCTACAAGTCTCGGTCATGTCGGTGCTCCGTGCCAAATGCTGCAGTCGAGTGGAAGAAGCTGCTCTCAGCAGGTGGAACTGTGTGAAGAGGCTTTGTCCATGTTGACTGCCAGCACATTCATCATTTGTCGTTGGGTGGTGCATCCATCGGCCCTTAGCATGGAGCCGGATTTGCTCGGGGTGGCGGACCCGGTATTCGTTTTTAGTGTTGAAGGATTGCTAGGGTGTTTTGTTGGAACTTGGAGGGCATCCATGACCGGCTCGGCTAAGGCGGACCGGATGGATGCGGATTGTTATAACAAGCCACAAGTCCGGCCATCGGTTACGAAGAGGACGCCATGGTCAAACGATGACGAGAGAGTAAAGACGACAGGGTAGGACAGGAAGAAGAAGAAGAAGAAACTTGAGGGATTGAAACTGGGAAACGAGGGATTGCCAAAGAGGCTGAGAGGATGCAAGCGACAAGATGCATATGGGCGATCATGGTATTTGCGTCTTTAATTATTCAAGACTATTCCTGCGCGAAACTGACAATGGCCCGCCGCTGCGCATGCAGTTTTTGTGATGTGCGCACACAGTCACACACGCAGACATGTTGCGGTCTGCAGGGCAGGGGCGCCGATGTCACGGTGCAGCAGTGTAATAATAATTATAAATTATTTATTCAATAAGCGACGGAGTTGATCGACTTGGAGCGAGCACATGTGTGTTGACCGAGGCCAGCCCTTGGACTTGACTTGCCCTATTACCACCTGGTCGCGAGCCTGGCTTACACGGCGGGGAAACGACAGGACAAAAAAGTGTAACAGTACCGTACCGAGCAATATATTTTGGAGTACCAAGCGGGTAGGCCGGGATTACCAGGTAGTTACCTCATAGGACGAGACTAGTTGATTCTGGTGGCTGCTGGTGGAGCGACGAGGCTGGCTCATCATGTCGAGATGGGGTCGGGAAGAGAAGAGACATGGAAAGGCAAGGATGCATGTCCCATGTTCGGAGAGATTTGAGTAAGCATACGTCAAAGGTAAGTTATTAAAGAACGAAAGAGCTGAAAAGGAGGCAAAGACAGTGCAGATGCAGAATATCAGGGGGGGATGGAACGATATCTCGAGCTGTCCTGTTTTGCATGTAGGCAGCTCAGGGCCAGTCATTGCAAGCTCTCTCCGCTAGCTTTCGTTTTGGGTCAAGTGTTGACCCGAAGCAAATAGGAACAAGGTTATTATGTTAGTATGCCATTCGTTGACGAGATTCCACACACCGAGACAAGGCGGCTCAGCGGCTGAGCTAGCAGGGGGGAGCAGTATTTTTAGTGAGCGGGGCAGAAAGCCGGGGGCTTTTTTTTAGGGCCAGTATTGCCCAAAGCTTTTGGACGTTGCGGTCATGACACCCTTGTACCATTCGTGGAAGCGTAGGTAGGTAGGTAGGTAGGTAGTTATGCTGTCACTTGTTTCCTACCTTGGGTTATTCGTAGCGTTGTATGTGCAAATTACTCGTAATGCATCAGCCCTGTGCGTCGGCTGGGACACTTGCCGCCTGCGACGCCTTGTGGGCCGCAAAGCAAGGGAGGAGGCCAGCCAGCTCGCTCTTGTTGACCAGTAAAGTCAATATCAGGCTAATTACGAATTATCAGCAGTGGCGAGTAGGTGATGAACAGACCCTTTGACTGTGATGAAAGGGGTTCGAATTTCAGGAACAAACGATCATCATGCTGGACGCGGGGGTGGTTCGTTCGCTGCATCTCTCCCTGATTCGAGACGAACAACGCACGGCTTGGCTTGTCATGTCATGCTCATGCTTGTGCACTGAATTGCTGCTACACGGATGAGGCAGCATGCACGTCAGAGAGAGCTGTGCACCCCCAACCGAGGACCTTGTACAGCGAAATGGTTCAACGTGCAACTAAAACAGACAAGACAAGTCAAACCAAGCCGACGTCTTTGCGCAAATGCACCGCACCGCACCGGTAGTGTCCCGTTCCGGCGCGACCCCCCCTCCCCTTCCATTCCCAATCCGCCCATCGTATCAAACACGGTCCGTCTCGACTTTTGGTTTGGCTTGCGGCGGTGGCGGCGCGGCGGCGTCCCAACAACGTTGGTGGCGTTGGTGGGTTTGTAGATTTTTGGCTTTATTTTTGGTCTTTTTTTTGGGTGGCCCAACCAACGCTCCGATGCACCGCACCACATGCTCCGCCAAACCTCTTTTTTTTTCTTTTTTCTTTTCTCTTGTTCCTCTTCTTCTTTTATCACGTACCAGCACGAATGACAGAGACTCCGACCTGTTCAGCCCCACCCACAGCATCTGGGCGTGTCGCTTCACCCACACTCCCTGTCAGCCAATCCCTATCCCGGCTGTCCATCTCCGATCCAGTCAATAGACTCAGACAAGGGCAGCCACGAATGTGCCAACGCGCAAAAAAATATCAGATAAAAAATCCCGAGGCACGCGGCAGAATAAAAATCCAAATAAAAGAAAAAAATCCAAACGAGCCCACTGCCCACTTTCTCACACCAAAACGTAGGTACACACAGACGGCCCTGTCCAACACGCTGTAGCCTGACACGTCTCTCTCTCGAACCGCCCATCGGCCCTGTTTTTTCCACTCGTTCCTCTCTCCTTCATAAAACCTGCCCGTCTCGCACCAAACGACTGGTCCTCGTCGTTTCCGCATCAAACAAACCCGGGGTTCTTCTTAAAACACGCACACGCCATCCCTTGAATCAACGACATCGTCCAACCATCTACCTAAATTATAAACTACTTGATATCCTCCGCCACCCAAGCCTTCCAGCGAACCCAAAGGCGGGTCTTCGTATTCACCAACCCAGTCTTGGGCTTCCTGCCATCTCATATTACACGTTTGTCAAAATCTGTTTCCTTTGTACCGTTTGCATTGGTATTATTTTTGGCCTCGTTCATTTAAAAGAACCTTGCTTTCTGCCCTTTCCGTCTTTGTTGCCATTCTTGTTCTACTTGAGTTTGTCTGTGCTTGTTCACATCACTCTGCTCTGTCCATTCTCTGGTTTGGCTTGCCGCCGAACCCTTCCCTCCCGGGCCCTGCTCTTCCCCCTGTCCTGACTGAGTTCGGCGCCTAGTACACACCTTCTCCCCAAAGCTCTTTGTGCCTCTTTTACCTGTTGCGTTGCATTGGTCTCTTTCAATTCGCTTCCATTCTTTTTACATATTACTTACCTCTCCGCAACCTCGTATTCTTCTTCTTCCTTGCTCTCTTCCTCAATTGGATTCATCGCACCATCCTGAGTCCAACCCGCATACCAAGCTGGCCCACCTACATACAGCCGCCGCCTTACACTGCTCGCTCAAGCTGCACACGTCGTCTCGTCTCTCGTCGCAAAAATGAAGTTGATTACCGTTCTGCCGTTGCTTGGCACCGCTTCTGCCGCCATCATGATGCCCAAGGACTTGGATGTTCAGGATACCAGTATGTTTGCCCCCAAACCACCATCGCCCACTTGCACTAACACGCCCCGTCAGGATCAATCCGCAACGTCGCCGCCACCATTGCCCACGACACAATGTCCTACTACCAAGGCAATACTACTTCGGAGCCTAGAGCCATTGGAAATGTCAACCGTCCTTACTACTGGTGGGTGGCTGGTGCTCTTTGGGGCATGATGATTGACTATTATCATGTTACCAAGGACCCAAGCCACAACAAAGCCGTCCTCGATGCTCTCCTTGCCAAGGTCAATCTCGGTCCCGACAACAACTATCTCCCTCCCGAGCACGCTGATGAGGAGGGCAACGACGATCTCTTTTTCTGGGGCAACGCCGTTCTCTCGGCCGCCGAAAACAACTTCCCCCAGCCCAACAAGGACCTTCCTTCCTGGCTCGACATTAGCAAGAACGTCTTCAAATGGCTCGAGTCCAAGTGGGACACCAAAAACTGCGATGGCGGCGTCTTTTGGCAAATTCTCGCGAGCAACCCCAACGGCCTCAATTATAAAAATGCCATCAGCAACGGCGGCTTCTTCCAGCTCGCTGCCCGTCTCGCCCGCGCCACCAACGACGATCAGTACCTTCAGTGGGCGCAAAAGATTTGGGACTGGTCTTGGGACAAGAACCTAATTGACCACCAACTCTATCGCGTCTACGATGGTGTCGACATTCGCGACCAGTGCACAAAGCCAAACGGAGCCTCGTACACCTATCTTAGTGGCATCTACCTGTACGGTGCAGCCGTCTTGGCCAATCACACTGGCAAGCCCGAATGGTCTGACCGCGCTGAAAAGCTTCTCAATGGCGCCAGCTGGTTCTTCTTCAACGACGGTGATAACAAGAACGTCATGTACGAGGGCGCTTGCGAGCCCATTGACTCATGCTTCAAGGGCAATGCCGACATGAGCACCTTCAAGGGTTACCTGGCTGACCTTATGTGGAAGAGTGCCGTCATGCAGCCTTCTCTCCACTCCAAGGTTGCTGAATGGCTCATTCCCACCGCCAAGGCCGCTGCTCGATCCTGCCAGGGCGGCAAAACCAACTCTGAATGCGGTATGAAGTGGTCCACCGGTGGCTACGATGGCCAGACGAACTTGGGCCCTCAGATGAATGCCCTCGGTGCTGTCCAAGGTCTCCTGATCGATTCGGCTCCTCCGCCCATGAAGGCTGGCAGCATTGTTCGAAACTTTGACACCAACTTTGCGCCTGTTGACCCCAACCGAACGGATACTCCAACATCGACGGAGAACAGTACGTCTGAGACACGCGCCTCTACCTCAACCGAGACCCCTACAACCACATCTACGACCATTTCCGATACTCCTACCACTTCATCTACACCTGCATCCGAAACACCCAGCATCAAGAGTTCTAGCTCAGAAACTTCCAGCACCGCGAGTTCTAGCTCCGCGTCAACAATCCCTGCCACTTCAGCAACCCTTCCTACCCAAACTGAGGCGCCAACTACGAGCGAGACTAGCGAGACTTCGACCACTAAGAAGAGTGAGTTGCCAGCGACAACGTCTTGCCCGTCTTGCACCGCCTCAGAGTTCTACACCTCGCCTTTGTCACATCACTCTGCCTCTACATTCTTTTCCATGCCCAATCAATCCTATCCTGGAACTGGATCACCTTCCTCTAGTCTAACACACAGTATAGCTACCATGCCAACTTCCACCGGCGAGTCGGCTGCCATGACGGGGTTTACCAACCATGTTTGCTTTGCTGTGACTGTCGCCTTTGGCTCAGTCCTGGTAAACTGGTTGGCATAAACACCACTGTCACCGGGCAGTACTAATAGTCCTCTTGACTTTTTCCTTTTATCTTATGATTTATGAATCTTGTTTTCGCTGCATAATTGTCTCTTTTTTGTATACGTTCTGGAAGGTGTTTCATGTATCATCGCACTCATTACTTGGCGGCACTAGATGACCACGACGCGTGGCAAGCTTGAATGCTAGAGGCGACTCTTTGGATAGACATTACAAAAAGTATAATAGTCTGGCATAAATTGCTAGAAATCGATATTGACAGATATCTACAAATCCTATAAATTCTATTGAAATCATCAGTCGGCTTCCATGTCCTCTATATATATCCATGCATCCATGGCCGCCTTTGCACATCACTGGCCTCTAACTTTTTCCAATACCTCTTTTAGCGAAGAAAGAAAGCGAGTTACTTCTTCTTCTGTGCCAACGGTAATACGCAGGCAGCCCAGACAGCCGTGCTCCTTGCCGCGGAAGCGAACAACGACACCCTCGTTCTCCGCAAGCACCGAGTAGACCTTGTGGGCGACGTCATTATCCGGCTCGCCCGCGGCGTTGAGCATCTCGTACAGCAAAAAGTTGCTCTCGGTGCCGCCGCGCAGCCGGCCGACGCCGGGGACTGCGGGCAGCTCGCGGACGAGCCGGTCACGCTGCGCCACGATGCGGCCGCGGTTGGCGCGCATAACGGCCAGGCCCTCGGCGCCAACGGCGGCGGCGGCGAGCGCGCTGGTCGGGCTGGAGATGTTGTACGGCGCCTTGAGGCTGTTGAGGACGCGGGCGACATCGGGCGCGGCAAAGGCGGCGCCGAGACGGATGCCGGCCATGCCAAACGCCTTGGACAGCGTCTGCATGACGACCAGATTGGGGTGCTCGGCGACGAGCTCGGCGAGGGAGGCGTCGTCGGGGGCGAAGTCGACGTACGCCTCGTCGACGACGACGACGCCGTTCCACGTCGGGTGCGCGAGAACTTGCTCAATGTCGGCCTTGCTCAGCAGCGCGCCGGTCGGGTTACCGGGGGAGCAAAAGTACGCCAGCTTGATGGTCTCGCTGCCGGGCGCGGACAGGGCGGCGGTGACACGGGCGACGTCGAGGGCGAAGCCGGGCGCGGGCAGCAGCGGGATCTTGACGAGGGCGACGTCGTTGACCTGCGCCGACACCGAGTACATGCCGTACGTGGGCGGGCAGACGAGGATGCGGTCGCGGCCGGGCACGCAGAAGCAGCGCAGCAGCGCGTCAATGGCCTCGTCGGAGCCGACGCCGACAAAGAGGTGGTCGGGGGTGAGGGTGGCGGGTGTGTGGGCGTGGGTGTTGCGGAGGTCGCACAGGAGCTGCTTGAGGTCGCGCTGGTGCGGGTCGGGGTAGCGGTGGAGGCCGAGCCAGTCGATGCCGACTGACGAGGAGGCCGAGGCCGCCGCCGCGGCAGCTGGTGTGAGGGACGGGCCAAAGGCGTTTTCGTTGGCGTCGAGGAGGATGTTGGTGCCGTCGTCCTTGTAGTCGCTGTGGCGCGGGCGGATGTTAGCGGTGATGGGCATCTCGACGAGGGGGCAGAGGGAACGGTGCGAGGGAGTGACAACTTACTCTCGAGCGCAGCGGTACGGCTCCAGAGCGAGGATGTTGGGCCGCGCGCAGGTCGCGAGGTTGAAGGCTGGCATGGTGATGGTGATGGAGGGGGAGGCGGCACGCAAGCCGTCCACGTTTTTTATTTCTCGCAGGCGCTTGTCAATTGGTCTCGGCTTGCCGAAATTCAAGAAGGGGGGTGCAATATAGCTCGGTAGCGGTGATATTTATGGATAGCGAAGCGTCGTAGGGTGTGAATGAGGTGACTCTTGGGTTATAGTAAAAAAAAAAGTTGAAGATGGATGTGTTCTGGCCGCGCCGAACGCGGAGGGGTGTTTGGTCACCGCGGGGCTTCCTGAACCAGTGGGGCTGGCAGCTTGAGAGTCACCGGCGCATCCATAGTATAACTAGTAGCAGTGTAATATATATTGTACGATAAATCCGTCGCTAATGACATGTATCCAATGATGCTCTACCTGTTGATAAAATAACAGCCAACAAACCGCTCATGGTGAAGAGTGTGGGAAAATGCGGCACCCACGAGCCCTCGCGCTCACAGATGAAAGCCAAACAGAAATAGACAGCGCTTCTTCAAAAACAACCTATGGGTGACGATCCGCCACAGCATCAACGCCGCGCCCGTGCAACCTGCAATCAGCGGGATGAGCTGTCCGACCGAGTCGAGGTCCGCGTGGCCGACCTTTTGCACGCCATTCGCACGAATCAGGTACTCGACCACCATGGCCGACAGCACCAGCAGCCCGGCCGACAGCACCAGCAGGGCGAGCTCGATGCGCGGCCTGCCGCCCTTGCCGCCGGCGTAGCGGTCCGCGTTGGCCGCGAGCCCGCTCTCGAAGCCGGTGCGGTAGCGCGTCACGATCAGGTACGCCCAGTAGACGACGAGGCCGGCGCAGACGACGAGCCCGAGCGCGGCGAGGACCTTGCCGAGCACGCGGAACCAGCCGTCAAACGAGGTGCGGGCGAAGAAGGCGACCTCGGCGCACCCGCCGCCGTCGTCCCGCATCACATCCACGCCGACGAACCAGAACCAGCACCCGTAGGCCGAAAAGGCCGTGTAGAAGAAGAGGCGGGCGGCGCCGGACAGCGTCCGCAGGTGGCTGATGCCGTCGCCGGTGACGCTGGACAGCGAGCCGCAGAGCAGAAACTGCGTGATGACGGCGGCCGAGGCGTGCAGGCCGGTCGTGGACGTGGCCCGCGTGCTCTCGGTGCACAGCCCGATGAAGACGGCGAGCTGGATGATGAGGTTGGTCGTGCGCAGGCCGTTCTCGCTGCGCGGCTCAAACACCGTCGCCAGCAGCGTCGCCACCCACTGCGCGTACAGGCCGACGCGCACCCCGACCCCGTACAGGTCCGAGTTGCCGTCGTAGCTGCAGCCGTCGTCGCGCGCGGCGAGCAGGAGGTCCATTGCGAGGTGGCCCGCCGCTGGCCGGGTATTGATCGGGGGGAGGGGGCGAGAGGCGGCGCCGTTGTTGGATCGGTACGGAGAGAAGGTGTGTGTGTGTGTGCGTAGTGTAAGTCGTACGCCGGGTCGGTCTTTGGAGAGAAGCGTTGCTCAAATTGACATAGGCAGTAGAGCACTTGTCGCAACAGAAACAATGAGATGCTAAGCGAGAATAGCAAGACCGATGAGCAAGCTTTAGAAAAGGGATGGACAGCGGCCTGTGTGATATTTTCACGACCTGCAGCCACAGGCGCCGACATGCGTTTTATGTTCAGCCTCGCCAACTAGTTCACTAACAGCTTCTCTCCTCCTCAGCTTGCCGGGGGCGTGGAGCGGGACGTCCCGCCCCCCCAAAGCAAAAAGGTTGGTTCTTAATTGCAGGCTTCCTCCTGTGGCGTCGAATAAGTACCCAGTTAGTTACGTTAGTTACCAGTTATTTAGCGCTGGGGTGGCATACTGTGCCTGGCAGTAATAACTAGTTGGCCCAGAAGTGCGACCGACACTCATGTTGTGAATGGTAAGCAGAAAGAAAGACGCAGAAAGAAAGACGTGGCAACTACCATTGACTCGACCTCGAACTGCTGCCTAGGGAACATGTCAGGTTCAGGGAAACCGCTCCGTGTCAGCCTAGAAGTCAGCCAGCGAGGTTGCCTATTGCCTTGTTCCTTGTTGCACGAGGTCAGCACCCATGCAGGGGCTGAAAGGGCGCCATCGCTATCTGCTCGTCTCAGCCGCAAGCCTTGTCAAAAAGCGGAACTTGGCCGTTGTTTCCCATTTGCTGAAATGAGACTCGTCGCCAGTGTCATGCACGCCTAACACCCTCCTTGTCCTGTGTCGCGGTGATAATACTTGCCCCTCATCCTTCACCCCCCCCCCTTCATTCTTCCTCTTAGCCATCTTTCTCTTCTTACTTCTCCTTTGCGCAAGTCACCTCCCAGATCCTGCGAGCGCGGGGCGCACAACGAATCGTCACCATGCTCAACGAAACGCTCACCTCGCTGGTGCAGCGCAACGACTTCACCTGCCCCGTCGCGGGCCAGCCCGACCTCTACGGCCTGGGCATCCGCATCGGCATCTACATCCAGATGCTGGCGGTGCAGCTCTCGGCGCTGCTGAGCATGGTGCTGCGCCAGGACGACTACCTCGGCGAGAGCGTCGTCATCTTCATCCTCGCCGTCGGCAGCGTCCTCGTCAAGCTCATCGTCAACAAGCAGATCCTCGCCGTCGAGGCCGCGCCCATGATTGCGCTGCTGCTGGCCCAGGTCGGCGTCTGCCGCTCCATCGGCCAGATGGGCATCGTCCTCGGCATCGTCTACGCCGTCGAGTTTTGCGGCCTGTCGGCCCTCTTTGTCTGGTTCTGGTGGTACGGCATGGACGTCCTCGGACACTCGCCCTGCCCGGACGACAAGGTCTTCTTCTTCGTCAAGGTGAGCCTCTGGGGGTGGTTTAGGACCATGAACAAGGTTTTTGCTGTCATTACGGCACTCGGCGCGACCATGATGGCCATCGTGTATATTTCTGGTGAGTTGCAGCATCACGCCTGTGGCGACGACGGCGCACTGCTGACACCCATCCCCGGGCAGGATACTCTTTATTAGCCTATCACTACATATTCTACTGTGTACAACGATTCCGTGGCCGGATTACAGAGCCCGTGCGTCTAACTAATGCCCACCAGCAAGCCAACTTGGACGATGATGATTTGAACGTCAACCTCGAGCGGGCCTTTGAGATCACCGCCAATATTGGTGTCATTGTCTTTGTTGAAATGACCCTGAAATGGAACAACATCACCAATGTTCACTCGCTGCGAGATCCGGGCCAATTCATGCCGCTCATGATTGCCTTGGCGCAGCTTCTAGCAATCATTTACCAGGGAGTGTCTCGCTTTGCCCACCTCACAGCGAGAAACGACGACGCAGACTCTGGTGGTAAGCTTCTCGTCTCATACAGCTCTCAATCTTCTTCATAAGCGGTAGCTAACAACGGCGCAGATGAGAAAGACGAAAATGAGTGTCAACATGAGAACAAACTTTTACGTGGGCGACGAAATCATACAGACGCCAGCCAGGCCGGCGTTCAGATTGCATGAGGTCTTGCACGACAATGGCGTTGCGCTTCGCCGGCAAGTGGCAGAAACGTCAGTGTTGTATAGTTACAGCAAGCTTCTAAACGGGGTGAGGGAGCCAAAAAAACGACTTATCCCCATATATCCCCATCTCCGATGTCCGATGTCCAATGTCCGATCTTTGTCCTCTCTGCTCAGGTACGCTCAGTTGCCGCTCGGGGACTTTGACCGTGCTTGCCATCCGCTGCCAATTAGCGCCCAAGCGGCCTCATAGGCTATTGACGGTGCAACCCTCCAACTCGTCAACAATGCCTTTTGTTTCGAGTTTGACTAGATTTTACATCCGTGCATTTCGTTGTTGATTTCGAGACTGCAAGATAAACCACACATGTACCTTGCATGGGTCAAGCATTGACTCGCCAGTATTGTGCACTTTAGCTGTCAAGTACTCGTCTTAATCAATTTCATCACGTCAGAAAACGGGCTGCTTTAGTAACTCTTATTTCTCCCCGCTCTCAAAATGAACAGCGTCTTCAGGTGCATGGCGTTGAGTACGGCCATCTGTATGACGCTTGCTTCCGGCGCTGGCACTGGCACAATGGACAACCTCGTCACGTTTGGGGACAGATACTGATGAATCAAGGGCCATTTATCTAGCCAAGCACGGCCAGGTGCCACCGCCGGGACTGCTTATGCCGCCAAATAATATCACCGCAGATGGTGGCATATCTTGGGGCAGAATGGTGGCCAGCATGACAGGTGCCCGGTACTACAACTATGCAGTGGCCGGCTCTACATGCTCACAGAAGGTGGCAACGCAGCCAGCACGCATCATACCTGGCCAGGTACCGACTGTTCTCGAGTATGGGATTCCTGCATTCGAGGCAGATTTGGCCTGTCCATCTTTCTATGTCGATCGGCAGCCAAACAACACGGTGTATGCCATGTGGATTGGTACCAACGATTTGGGCGTCGAGGGCTTTCTCTACGACCGGAATATGCCAGGGACCATTCTTGCTGACCTTGTGGACTGCATATGGAGATCTTTTGACCACATTTACAGGACCGGAGGTCGGCGCTTCATTGTCATGAACACTGTGCCACTGGATAGAGCGCCGACTTACGCAAGCTTTGGGAGTGGCGGTGCAGGAGACAACCCGGTTTGGCCGACGAAATCCAAGTACAATACGACAGAATATCAGCAAAAGATGTTTCAGTACAGTCGGGCAGTGAATGAGTTGCTGGACAACACGTCGCCAGTCCATCTTCTGGTCAAACGTCGCTGGCCCGGCGCAAGCATCACAGTCTTTGACGCTCATTCGATATTCAACGATATACATGAAAACCCTGGTAAGTATCTTTCGCCGCCGCAAAACGTCGTATCGTCTTTCAAGACTTGCGATGCGGGGGGTAACTGCGAGAATTCTAGCTTGTCCAGGTCGAGTTTTCTCTGGTATGTACATGCGATATCTCTGCATATTGATCAGAACTTGACTTACAGCCGATATTTCACCGTAATCAGGTACGATATGCTGCACCCGTCTGAAAGAACTATGGAGATTGTAGCAGAGGAGTTCGTTTTGGCGGTCAAGGGGGCCTCTAAATACGCAACAGTGTACCAGTCACAAGTCTGAACTCGATGAGAGACAGGCTGTGGCATTTTAGTGTATATGCTTTGTAACATGATAGATTATGTATGGACCGTAACTTAACGTGCCAAGTTTGACATCGGTAGCACACTACCTAGATTTTACATATGCGGCGTGCCTGCCCCACTGGGTCAGGCACGACTTAACCTTCGACGCCGGGTTACCGCTGCACCCAACGTATGAGGACCTGGTAAATATAGTTCTTGTTCGACACTTGATGATCCTGTCTCGAATAGTTTCGGCTCACGAGGCTACATTGTCATTTTTGGCGCTGTCAGCATGAGACACATTTTGTTGCCGAGGTCACGGGTAGCTGCGACGGTCGCGGGCACAGGCGCCGGCAAAAAACCTTCTCCGCTTTCCGGTTCTGCCAAAGCCCAGCCAGACCTTGCTCTCTCAACACACCACCACCAAGCCGACCATCGATACAAGGGCGGCGGGCGCATTGCCGAGAATAAATCCTGCAGCCATTTCCGGACCTCGCAGCCTCTGGGCGACTATTTTCCGCCGTTGATAGTCGCGCGCCGATTCCCTCCGTGATCCCCTCGACACCAACACGCGCCCGGCGCAAAACTTCCACGCCCCCCCGTTGACTAAGGCTTCCCGCCCCGACATTCGCTTCTCACTAGACACTTTGCCGCGTCCAACTCTGCTTGCGCATCTAGTTTCCTAGGCAACTTCTCTAGTCTCCCAAAGACTAGAAGACAGTCGATTTTGCACTTTCTGGGCTCGCACGCCGCCAATTGCTCATCTTGCGCCAATTGCAGCCACGACGCGTCGCAGCCTTGGGCAGTGATCGGCGTCACCCTCCCCTCGCTTTTTGTCGCGCGCGATAGTTTCTCCTCGGCATTCATCGACAAAAACAAAGCACTCGGCTGCGAAACTCGCCATGTTCCAAGGACAATTTGGTTATGGCAATGCTGGGCCCCAGTTCAATCAGCAGCCAGGGGGCCAGCCAAACCAGCAACAGCAGCAGCAGCAGCCACAAATGATGTTTAATCCACAACAATTTGCTGGTATGGCTCCTCAGGGGGGATTTAATCCCGCTGCGAACCCTCAAATGATGGCTGCTGCCTCGCAAGGCATGATGCAGAATCCTGGCATGCCCAACATGGTCGCTAATGGACAAAGTGAGCTTTCTTTCTGCCCATGATAACGGCAGGCGCATCTTTTTCTAACGTGTATCCTTCACCAACTAGTGGCCGGCTATCAGCCGCAATTCGCGCAGCCGTACGGACAAGTACAGCAAAATTTCGCGCCAAATCAATACATGATGGGCGGCATGCAAGGCTTTCCCATGAACCAACAAGGAATGACGCAACAGCAAGCCCAACAGCTGATGCAGCAGCGCATACAGCAGCAACAACACCTTCAGCAGCAACAGGCACAGCATCAACAGGCACAACACCAGCAGCACGCACAGCAGCACGCACAGCAGCAACAGCATCCGCACCCGCATCACCAGCAACACCAACAGCTTCAGAATCCCCAGGCTCAGCAGCATGCTCAACATCAACAGCTCCAGCAGCACCAAAACCAGCAAGTGCAGCAACAGCACCCCCAACCGGGCATGGGCCAAGTTGGGACTCCACAAAGACCACCAAGTGTTGCGCAAAATAGTCCTGCTGGGCAGATGCTGGGGCAGATCCCCGGGCAGCCACAATTCTCCCCTCATCAACTGCCCCAGGGAACTCCACAGCAAGGCGCTCAGATGCACCAACATGCTCAGCAGCATCCACAGCAAGTGCAACAGCCTGTGACTATCGCGACTCCCCAGACACCAACGTTCCCCAACAGCCAAGGACCCAACGCAGGTGCACCATTCAACGCGCCTCCACTGAGTCCGGCTTCCGAATCGCGTGAAAAAGAGCGGTTCGCATTGCTGCTGGACATCAACCACGAGTTGCTATATGAAGTCATTCTGCTGCAACATACGCAAACGGAGCTCAAGAAGGAATCATCAGCGGCCAATGGAAATGCAGGGGAAAGAAAGCCAACAGAAGAGGAATCCCTATTCCAACAAGATTATGTACAGTGAGTGGATTGAACTCGATGGGAGTATTGAACATGATACTGACCCATTTTACTACAGTTGTATGCGCCGTTTGCAAGCGAACCTTTCATACATGGCTGCGCAGGCCGATCGTAAAGCCGAAACGAAAGCACCGCCTTTTCCCAGCTTCATGACGGCACCGCCCCTGAACCTGTCGCTCAGACCTCGAGCGCAACCAATGGTCCCCGAAGGATCTGATGCCAAGATGGACCCTGCGACGGACCGCGAAGAAAGAGACAGAGCCATCAAAGACTTGTACCGCCGTCTGCAAGCAGCGTATCCGGGTGTCGACTTCAAGAAGGAGTCTGCCGCGCGCATACCTCAAGGCCATAAGCCTGGCAACCCTGCCGGTTTCCAAGGCAGCCCAATCCCGCAAAAGACACCTCAGATACCGAATGTAGCACCGCCTCAGGTGAGCTAACCGCCGGTGATGATGGGACGACACAAATACACGGAAAGCACAAAGGGCGGCCATTTCCGTCTTTCCTTGCATAGCAGCAAGATATTTTGTAAAAAGTGAAACCCGGTGTATCAGACCGCTCTGTATGATTTATTACGTGGTGTTTTTGACCTCTTTTTTCTTGGATTAAAAACGGCGTCATGGCAGGTTGGGAGCTTTATGAATTGGAATTGGTATCGGCTCTGAATTATACAGTGAACAGGGAGTGGTATGAAATTCGGAGGGCATATGGGAGGATGTGTTTGCAATATCAGCGTTTGTGTACATATATAGAAATACTTGGTGAGTTGAATTCAGCTTGCTTGTCTATTCATCTGATGGTGGTCTTATTTTCCCGCTCACCAGTTTGACCCACCCCCACCTGCAAGCGATCGGGCCATACATAGCCGCCAACAGAGAGGTGTCTGCTTTCACTGACGTCAACATACCAGACTCTTTCACTCTGGCCAGGCAATACCAGTTCCTTCTTCTGCAGCATATCCGTGGCGACTAGACTGCAAAGAGTTTCAGTACCAACCCCTCGTTTACGTTTATGATTCGATCGTTCTCTCGCGCCCTCTCCATTTCTGCCAGAATGGCGCTTCACCCCCCACAAGGTGACAAGCTCATCTGTATGCCTCCCAGATAGCTACGAGCGCCGCCCCCGTCCCCCCACGAAGCACCAAGCTTACCTCGCCACAGTCGCCCCCGGAGGCTCCGGTGCGCAGGGCGCGCAAGCGGCCCAGTTCACGCTGGGGACGCTCTCCCGCGCAGACCTCGACGGCAGCTCTCCGATCCCGCAGTTCCACCGGTGGTTCTCGGAGGCGCAGGACGCGATCCGGGCGCAGGGCGCGGGGGCGGCGACGGCGACGGCCGAGTCGTGCACGCTGTCGACGGCCGAGCTGCCGTCGGGGCGGGTGTCGTCGCGGATGGTGTATCTCAAGGAGCTCGACGCGCGGGGCGGCTACGTGCTCTACTCCAACTTTGGCACGTCGCGCAAGGCGGCGGACCTCGCGACCAACGCGCACGCGGCGCTCTGCTTCTACTGGCCGGCGCTGCAGCGCCAGGTCCGCGTCGAGGGCGCCGCCGCCCGCCTCTCGAGCGCCGAGAGCCAGGCGTATTTTGACACGCGCGCCCGCGGCAGTCGCATCGGCGCGTGGTCGAGCCGCCAGAGCGCCGTGTTGGTGCCCGCGCCGCGGGACGGTGCCGATGACGACGGCCGCGCGCAGCTGGAGGCCTGGGTGGCCGAGACGGAGAGGCGCTTCGAGGGCCAGGATGTGATCCCGGTGCCGGAGTTTTGGGGCGGGCTGCGGCTTGTGCCGACCAGGGTCGAGTTTTGGCAGGGCCGTGACAGCAGGCTGCATGATCGGTTTGTGTATGAGCGGGTAAATGAGAATGATGAGTGGGTGCTCAGCAGGCTGAGTCCTTAGTTGTTTCACTGCATCTCGATAGCGGAGAGATTATATCAATCTTGTAATCACGGAGAGATTATATCAAATCAATCTTATTGAATCAGGCTTCTCATCTATCCTGGTCGCGAAATGCGATGCAATGTATGGTCTGCTCAAGCAAGTGATTATATAGAGTAGTAGTGCTCCCTTGCAGTCTCAAACTGATGATTAAACGCCTCAGTAGTTGAAATCATGCACCTGAAAGACTAAAAATAAAAAATAAAAACAAACATAAAAAGGAGAGGAAACATATCGAACAAATGCGACACCATTTTTATTGTGCCGAGAGAGGTCAAGAGCTCATCGGCGGGTATAGTTTCGCAGGTACACACCAGTCAGAACCTGCAACATGCCTAGAACGCCACGCAAAGAAAATAAAAATAAAGCAACTAAAAACACAGGTGCGAGCGCTGACAGAAAGGACAAGCTCAAATGGCGGCGGTCCAGCTGAGACCCAGGCCGACAGAGTCGGTCGTCATGCCGGCACCGCTGGCGGGCACCAGCGTCTTGGAGCGAGCGTGGCCAGCGACAAAGTTGCCCGTGTCACGGCGGTCTGAGTCGTGCCCGGCAAACACCACGTCGCCGTCATCGCTGCGGGGTGGCGACGGCTCGACGGCATCCCAGCGGCCGCCGTGGTGCCGGGCGGCGAGCTGCATGTCGACCATGGCGTCGGCGAGGCAGTCGTCGTCGCAGAGCGGCATGATGCGATAGTCGAGGCTCTCCATGAGGGAGCGCTCGGTGGCATTGAGCTGGGCCGGGGACCACAGGCCGCGGCCCCAGGTGGCGCAGTACGACTGCGTCGACTGCTCCGCGTCGTCGGTGAACTTGTCGGCGATGACGAGGGCGGCGAGGACGATGATTTCGGGCTGGACCGAGTCGATGTGCAGCTGGGGCGGGCGGTGGCGGCTCGTCGGCTGCGGCGTGACGGGCAGGCTGTGTCGCTTCGCGTGCGCAGAGACTTGGCGCTGGGTCGTTTCATCAGATGCTGCTGCTGCGGCGGCGGCGGCGGTTGGCTCGGTGCCGGGACACAGAGGGCACGTGAGTCGCCATTTGCGACCAAACTTGGCGTCGACGCGGTCGAGGATGCAGACGGCCAAGGCAATCGTTTCGAGGGGAATGTTGGCGCGGCCGAGTATGTACTGGACTAGATGAACAGAGGCCGAGGCGAGGGATGCCGACGACGGAATCAGATTCACTAGGTGAATGGCCGGCCCTGTGGAGAAGACGAGTGAGTAACTAGAGGGCATTTGCAGAGCCAGCAGTGAATTGGCCTTACCTCGATAGATGGCGCGCAGGACCTCGCCGTCATCCGTGGCATAGCTTGCTCCCGTGTTGCGAGGCTGCTGATGGTGGTGCTGGTGCTGCCTCGATCTCGATGACGAAGGCGGTGTGGGGAGGTTGGATAGCGGGCGATAGGTAAAGTAGCTGGTGGTGGTGTCTTGAAGGTTGTGCTCGATAGCGGCAGCAGCAGCGGCAGCGGCACCGCCCTTGGACTTGCGCATCTTGGGGGGCCCGGGCCCGCGTTGAAGCTTTTATTCGACAGTCGCAACAACTCCTCGCTCAATCTGATGCTGCCCAGTCGCAAAGCCGCCGTTCATGTTTTTGCTTTCGTCGTCGCGTCGCTGCCGGGACACGGAAGTGGTAGCAAAAGGGGGAAAAAAACCCCCAGCCCAGTTTTGTTACGGGCAAGTGAGCACGCGATGACAGATGACACTACCTACCACCAGACGGAGGATGGCAGACGTTTTTTCTTTGTTCTTTTTTTGCTTCTGATTCGGGAGAGACGGAAACGTGTATGTAGGTAGGATGCCTTGGTGAAGAGAAAAAAAAAAAGGAACAAGATCAGAGGAGAAATGCTAGTTATGAGAAGAGAAAACGAAATTGGATCCAAGGGACCAGGGGACCAAAAAGTCGACGTCGTATCTGGTGATTTAAAAAGGGAGCCTCACCTTGATGCTAGCTAGGTACGATGCTACCTAGGTTAGTGGACGGGTTCGGGATTCTTGGCCCTTTGTACCTTAATAACTAGGTATGTAGGTAGTTGGACTAATCAAAGGGGTTGAGAGCACAGTCTAGTTAGGGCGGCCAAGATGTGCGCCCCAAATAGAAACAATAGAACCAGGTTCTACAGAGTAGCACAGACTACTAGGTACATAACTACCTGGTACCTCTATGGGATAGTAGGGATCGTACATAGTTACTGACGAGGCAGTGCTGTGCATCCCGTATTCTGCTGGAGCCGCAATCGAGGCGAAACCGCCGACTGGATCCTGCATCACGGGAAAGTCAACTGGTGGTGGTGGATCGCCAGGGGACCTGGTTAGTACCAACGAGGCGGAGTATCTTGACCCTTGTTGGCCAGGGTCATTCTTTTGCTTTCTTTTTATTATCTGTACGAATTGATTCGTAGTTATACGTACTTGACTTGACTAGGTACACTTCGGCTGCCATTGCTGACAACACAACCTTTCTGGAGATGGCCCATCCATCCATCAGAGTACATGATGCTAAATAAAGCACGACTTGATAAACCCGTCATACGACAAAAGCAATTCGTAGACTATCCAGAACCCTCCCTCTCCAACTAGACTCCGAGAGCGCTGTCGGGCAGCAACGCATGCCGTGCCCCAAGTGTTTGTTGCCCGAGACATGTCAAGTCCTCTCGAGCTTGTACAGTCAAATTGCCTTGAAGAGGCGTACATATGTATGTATTGGACCAGCCACACAAGCCACCAGCCTGGATGTCGACTCAACTTTCTCGAGCCTCGTCTCAGTGGCAGCAGAGGTTGACAACCAGCGCCACTTCTGCAATGCGACGTGATGAGAGCCACAGCCTCGTCAGTATTTTTGGCGATACTGGTGACGAGTCATAACCGGCGTTGGTACACCACTGTAGCTGTCGTCGAGGCCGAGGGAGGCAAACATCTCCGCAGCACAGCAGCGAAATGGTTCGACCTTGTACTACCGATAAGCCATCTATATGTATAAGTTGTACGTGGCAGATGCCGTCTCCCAGCCTAAAACTGATGGATTCATTTTGATGATGAAAACGGACAACGACATACGGTTATATTTATTGCCCATGTAGATAGAGCACATGCCTGTCTGCTCCAGTCCTTCGAGGCTGCCCTGCTAATTAGTTACCGGAGTTAAGTGAGTATGGTGCTGACGGTCGCGTCCTTGATCATCAGGGAAAAAAAGTCCAGAAAATACAAGTTTTCATTAATGAGCTAAACAGAAGACATGAAGAGCGAAAATGACTAGAACCTAAAATGCCTCCTGTTGTTGGTGGCTTGACCACCCGTCATCACCTTGTCCTGGCCGCAACCATCGGAATCGCTTAACCAATGATGGTGGTGGAAACTAAAAAAAAGCCAAATTAGCGCCTGAAAATTGTTTGGCAAGATAGAGTAGTTCACGTACCCCCGCTAGCAATGCTCTCAATCTGGGGGATCGAGGACGAGCTGACGAATTGGCGCAGGTCAACGCCGCCGATGCCGTTGACCAGGCCGAGGTTGAGGTTGCCGAGACCCAGGCCGCCCAGGTCAAAGCCGTTGAGAACACCGGTGCCAGCAACAGCCAGAAGGGTCTGGAGCTGCTGGAACTGGAGGAGCGAGTTGAGGTTGAAGCTGTTGACGTTGAAGATGTCCTGGAAGAGGAGGAGGTCGAGGTTGTTGTTGCGGCCGAGCTGCTGGAAGAGACCAAGATCCAGGGAGTTGATGTTGAGAAGGTAGTTGAAGTCGGACTGTCTGAACACGAGGTTGTTGAGCTGGCCAAAGTCGAAGGACCGGCGCTCCTCGAGGGTAGCGGGAGCAGGCGCGGGAGCAGGCGCGGCAGCGGCGACGGCGCCAAAGGCAGCAGCAATGAGGGTGGAGAACTTCATCTTGTCGATTTTGAGAAAAAGAAAGGTGGTGGTGGGTGAAAAGATGGAAATGTCTTGTAAAAGGCGAAGAAAAGGAAAGTGAAACCAAGGAGCACAGCCCGCAAGTTCAAAGTATTAAAGAGAAGGAGTGTAATGGAAGTTGAGCACAGCTATCGAGGGATTAGTATCAAGTATATATGTCTTGCGCGGCTATTCCTGTTGAGCTCTGGTCTTACCTCTAATAAGTGAATGTAAGAAGGCGAAGTGAAAGTTGTTGATCTGCTTGTGATGTCAAAAGAATCGTACCAGGCAACACGGAACCCAACTGCCTTTATAGACATTGACGCATCTGTTTGCCAAGAACGACATCTCGCTTCCCATGCCACTTCACGGTACAGCCTCCATCCGATGGCCGCTCTCCCCACCAGACTGTACAGTAAAGTCAAAATGGAACCTGCCCAACATGTATCAGGAGAGTTTCTACCCCGGAAATCTTAATTCGGATAAGGTGTGAACCGATATGAAGGGCTCATGTTGTCTTGGCTACAAAAAAACCAAGCAACCCATTGGCACGCGCGGCGCCACAGCAACTTGCCTGCAATGCCAAGTCTACTGAACCTGCCTTGGGCTCAGCTAGGGAGGGCGCCGAGCTCTTGATAGGACGAAAGCCGTGGCTTGCTTAAGTCCCGAGTACGACTGTGTCTGATCTGCGCTTTAGGTGCCCGGACTAACAGCGCAGCCGTCTGTGTATATGGCGCATTCGTTACAACTTTGACAAATTCACGGTAAGAGAAAAAAGGAAAAAGTCATCCGATCCGAGAGAGCAAAAGAAATTGTTGGTAGTGAGCCCGCCTCATGAACTGGAACCAGGTCGAGTCCGAAGAAGTGTTGCTGTGCCTTGTGGGCGCCATCACGGTGAGCAAGTATGGACGGTGGAACTAGCGACTGCCGACGGGCAATATTCACATCTGAAGTGGTGCTCGTCTCCATCCATCTCAAGTGACGCAATAAAGCACTCAAGGATACGTGATTGGGTCATGGGAATCTAGCTGGCGATGGATGACGGCGGTGCCTGGTGGGGGGTTGGGATGCAGCTGCGACACGGCTGTCAAGGTGCGCGTCTCGGATTCTGGGCGTGTTTCAGATGAAGAAAAGCACGACTCCGAATGTTCGTCTCAGAAGTCCTCGCTAGCCTACCGGAAGCTTCCCAAGGAAGAAGTATTTGAGTTTCGATTCGGCGTCTCATCTCTAATCAGGCAGCGCGTGGGAGTGGCTGACCGGGCACAACTGGTGGGCAGGGCTCAGTTCGTTCCGGCATATAGGCCGATGCCTTGATTAAGCATATTACTGTGGGAGAAAAAATGCCGGCCCTATTTTCAAGGCAAGTGACTCCATTGCACACTTTATCAACGAACTCAAGAAACATCGTGCTTTGGTTATCTGGCTCCCAGTGAACGGACAACTAGCTATGACGCAAGTCAATAACTGCGTACCGGTAGTCGGCAGTCTTCCGCCATTTTACGAAAATTCGATACAAGTATTTACCTTGCCGTATGCTATATGCTCGAGAACATGGTACACTCGCAGGTTTTCTGCAACATTTGTCATGATTCAAATCGATCGGCAAAGGAAGGAGGGACATGAGCATTATTGAGGCTGAGAGCTTAGTTGGAAGAAAAAATGATTTATCCCTTTATTCAACTGAAAAATGATTACAAAACTCCTAGCTGCCTAATTTAATCGTCATCGTAACAAATTGTCCACTTCTCGCTGCCCCAAGGCGAACGAGGGGGCGGCTTCAACACCACCCCTCGATTTTTCCCAAGTATACCGCGTTCCGGCTTAATTAACGATGGCTAGTTCAATATTAGTAACCGAAAAAGAGTAATTGACGCGCAAGAGAGGACTGTGCTTACCGATAGTGGCGCCATTGCTGACGAAGCCCTGGTTCAGGACCGTGATGATCTGGGGCTGGCCGATGAGCTGCAGCTGCTGGAGAGTCTGCAGCTGCTGGACCTGAGAGACGAGGGCAATCTGTTGGGCAAGAGAGATGCTGTTCAGGTTGCCAATGTTGATGGACTGGCCACCGAGACCAAGCTGACCAATGTTGCTGACCAGCCAGGGGTTAAGAATACCCTGGTTCAGGTTGCCGTTCTGCAGAAGCTGGTTGATGAGATCCTGGTTGTTCTGGTTCTGGTTCTGGTTCTGGTTCTGGCCCTGGTTCTGGTTCTGATCCTGGTTCTGACCCTTTTCCTGACCGTTCTGGTTCTGTCCCTGGTTCTCGTTGTTCTGGCCCTCCTGACCCTTCTGACCCTCTTGGCCCTGCTGGCCCTCCTGGCCCTTTCCGTTCTTGCCATCCTTGCCCTGCTCCGGAGCAGTGCCGTTCTGGGCCGGTTGAGCCTCCTCGGCGCGGGCAGTAATAGGAGCAACAGAGAACTCTTCCTCCTCTTCCTCCTCATCGTCATCAAAGAGAAGGCTGGTAGCGGGGAGGGTGGTGTCGCGGACTTGGACAGCAGCAGAAACATGGCCAACGCCGGTGGAGCGGTCAACGATGGCACCGGGGACGGCGGCGGCCGAGACCAGGCTGGCGGTCAAGAGGAGAACTGAGAATGACTTCATTTTGACGGTTGTGAAAGTAAAAACAGCGCTGCTGTAGTATTAAGAGAATGTTGTTGATGAAGGGTCTTTTAAGAAAAGTAAAGAGAAACAGAGCACAGCTCGTGTTTTAAAGAAAGAATGAGATGAAGTGGTAGAGAATGGTATTGCAGCGTGGTTGAGGTGAGAGATCTTTCTTGGGTTCGGCATGGGGAGTCTGGAGATCATATACTCGCGCCGTGATCCTCGTCATGCGTCTTGGACAACCCTTGGGTCGTGCCCTGATGACAAAACCGGGGAGGCTGTGATGTCTGAGGTCCCGAAGAGGAAACGAATGATGACGCTCGATCAGGTGTCATATTCAAATCGCTGAGCGATATTGCCTCCTTGAGACCGGATCTATCGAATTCCAGAGGAGGCAAACCCACTCATCACCTGGCCGGCTGCCTTGTGCAAGGACAGACGGCGGGACAGGGTTCATTCTCAAATTGGGATAAGGCTGACGGCTGTTCTCGCCCAGCATGGGGGGCAGAACTCTGTGTGGCCATTGCAGACAGTTTCAGTCATCTTGGCGCAGGGAGGTTTTTGACACCATCGAGACCAAGGTGAGAAGCCAAGCGTGGCGTGGCAATGCCTCCTTAGCGCGCAATTTTATGCTGCACTTCGGACCCTGAGGCGTCGCAGATGACTTCTGGACGAATCGCAGAGCGGCATTCGCGTCTCGCTAATCCTACGCCAATGTCATGAGGTTTCATACCCCGACCCCCGCGTTTCATCCCAGCGCGGTACCTGTCTGGCCCGACCTCTTTGGATGCTGGTTGGCTGCAAATAGACTCATGCGACATAAATGGTCGCATGTATTTCCTCCGATGTGGTACCGCTTTTTAGAGTTGTACTCAATCTGTAAGAATTTGAGAGACGACGCCCACGACCACCAGATCAGACTGGGTCATCCATCAGGTAATATGCCGAATGTATAGATTCAAAATGGGGATATTGAAAAGCTGGGGGAAAAAATGGACGAGGTCAATGTAGTTCCCACTCAAAAAAGCTCCGTGCACTTACTCTGCAACTACTGAATACCAGTCCTGGCGGTGCAGAGGCAGTAGAAGCCAGTCTCTCTCTTGAGCTTGGCACCAGGAGGCGGGATTTTTTTTTTCTTCATCTAGTTCGACGCTGAAGAAGCCACCGGAAATGCGCTAGTTCGTTGAACCCATCAAGTGTTAGATTGCTGTTTCGTGAGGCTCTGCCATGTGCCGAAAGTGCTGGCTGGCCCCTGGTTGCCTCCCTCTGACATGGGGTGTTTTGACACGGCACCTTCCGTGCATGCTGAACTACTCGTTCGTGAACATTCCGGAGGTGTTCGACAATGCCTCATATCCCGTTCGGATTTCCAAAATGCAACTCTAGCTGTGTGAGGATCACACAAGACTGTTCCTAGTTTGTTCACGTTCTTTCACACTTGGCAACTTCAATGTTGTGCTCTCGGCACGAAAATCGTGAAACTGACAAGGTCTGTTGACACCATATGTATTGATTCGTTCGTGTTCTGGTTGTGGTTCGGCCTTGTCGGCGGGTCGCATCCGAGAGGCGCCGCCACCCGGGTATATTGTACAAGTATTCTATATTGTGGTTTTTTATCCTTTTGCTTTCGTCATGGCAGCTGTCACCTGACGGCCCTTCGAGATCCATCGTTGGTATTGTGGAAGCCGAGCCATTCCCCTAGCAGTCCCCCGGGTTTGGGAATAGGACATTCTCTTTGTGATTGACTTGATCGTGGCGTCACGTTATCGGTCGAGTTTTGGTTGAAATCTGCCAGTCCATCTGTGATTTGCGGCGAGTCCTTTCGCCTCCATATCCTCTTACGACCATTCTCGTCCACCACGACTTCGCCATCAGCGTATCGCGCTCGGGGGACGGGACAGGGTAGTAGATGCGGCAGCCCAACAACAAAGAAGCTGGCGATGAGTGTTGTGGCAAAGAGTGACGAGGTCATTCGAGACCTAGGGTGAAGGTGCGGCGGCATTGTGATTTCGGTGTTTCGTTGCGGTCAATCGATCAATGGAGGAGATTAGGAGGCTATCGAACGCAGGTCAGCGACGTAGGCAGGGCGGAGCAATGCTATCCATTGAGCGTACTGGATCATAAAATCATGACCTATTGGTTTTCCTCGACGTCGGAAAACCAATTGCGACACCAATGGGTAGTTTGGTAGCTTTGTCGGACAATGTGGCGCGCGTCGGTTCTGCCGGGCCAAACTCGAAAAAGCGCTCGAATCATTTCCTGGAAGTGATCCTGACCAACCTTGGATTCCTACGCTCCTGATTGGCTGTACAGGGGACTCCGACGATCGGGACGGATAATGTTGTCTCCGACGCTAGGTCAGAGGGAAGGTGCGACAAAGAGCTATGTATATCGGAAGTTGGTGGGGCGATGGAGCATCGCGACTGAGATAGACTTGGTTTGTGCGCCGAGCCCAGCCATTGGAATCTCTCGGAAACACAGCCGCAGCGCGCGCAAGTATTACCGCCTTGACTGTCGACGACGCTTGCCCACATTCTTCGGCTTTGAACTCCAAGATATGCTGTGAGACCGCTCGAAGCAGCATATTGCACTTGGAAAGCGGCCAGTGCGTCCCCACGTGCGACGGCAGCTTAGGGAGTCTTTATCATGAGCAATCTCGACAGGTATGTACTTCATCATGGACAGGACAACTCGGAATAGTCGGTTGGCTAATAAATTCTACTTCAAGGGCTATTGCGCAACTACGCGCTTGCCGGCCGATTCCCGAAAATGAAGTCCGAGAGCTTTGCCACCGAGCCCGAGAGCTGTTGATAGAGGAGGGCAATGTCGTCACCGTGACTGCCCCAGTGACGGTGCGCAAATACTCTGGACTATTCTGGGGGGAAAGATACTGTGTACTGATTCTCATTTTCGTCTAGATTTGTGGCGATATTCACGGGCAGTTTCATGACCTGATGGAGCTGTTCCGCGTCGGAGGAGACGTCCCCGACACCAACTACCTCTTCATGGGTGACTTTGTCGACCGTGGCTTCTATTCTCTCGAGTCATTCCTTCTTTTGCTTTGTCTCAAAGTTCGATACCCTGACCGCATGACGCTCATTCGCGGAAACCACGAATCGCGCCAAATAACAACTGTCTACGGCTTTTACGACGAATGCTTGCGAAAATACGGCAGTGCCAACGTCTGGCGATACTGCTGCGACGTCTTCGACTACCTCGCTCTAGGTGCCATCGTTCTTGGAGCGTCGAATACGCTCTCCAACCAAGGCGAGCCCATCGACGACGAAACGGAAATTGAGGTCTGCGACCAAAACGGATCGATTATTAGTCGCTTCTCACGTCAGCGGGGCCAGGCCAACAGTCAACGGCAACAAGGGCAGGCCTCATCCAGCAGCGGAAGCGGTGGTGGCACAGGAGACAAGACGGGTCCACCAGGCTCTGGCGCCTCTGGCTCCAGCAACGGAAGTATTGGCAACCCGGCAGGCGCGGTGCTCTGTGTGCATGGCGGCTTGAGTCCGCTTATCGACTCGGTGGACAAGATCCGCCTTATCGACCGCAAGCAAGAAGTGCCTCACGAGGGAGCCATGTGCGACTTATTGTGGTCTGATCCAGACGACATTGACGGATGGGGCTTGTCGCCGCGCGGGGCCGGTTTCCTATTCGGCGCTGATATTGTCAAGGTCTTCAATCATAGGAACGACTTGAGCCTCATTGCGCGAGCCCATCAGCTTGTCATGGAAGGATTTAAGGAAATGTTTGATTCCTCTATTGTCACCGTCTGGTCTGCGCCGAACTACTGTTACCGCTGCGGCAATGTTGCGGCAGTGCTCGAACTGTGCGAGGACGAGTCTGGCACCGGTGTCTTTGCGCGAAGCAACGGCGACGTTGGTCGCAGTGACGGCGGCGCCGGCGTCAATGGCCGTGGTTTGATGATGGAGTCTGACACGCATAACATGCCAAACAATGGACCGGCGAGACGCTACCGTGTTTTCCAAGCAGCTCCCCAGGACTCCCGCGGTATGCCGGCGAAGAAACCTGTGGCAGACTACTTCCTCTAGACGGTATGCGTAGAAAAATTGGGGGACTTCTTTTCGTTGCTGTTGTATTTCTTTGGGATTAGAGCCGTTTGTTTGGGAGTCAATGGCGGCGTTGGCGGTTGTACTACTTATTTTCATGCTTTACACACATTGCATCACAGAAGTTACGAATTGGGACTCGGGCGTGGTATTCTTCGAATGAAAGCAATGAATAATTCTCAAAAGTACTATATTCTTCGTTGTGTTTGATACATGAAAGCAATGAATAATTTTCCAAAGTTCTGTGTTGTTTGTTGTGTTTGATGCAAGTGACACACGGCTTGCTCTGCACCTGTTCCAAAGAGGTTGATCTGGTGAATAACCAGGCGAGGTAAATTTCGTATCTTTCCCTGTGCTAGGGACCAGTTTCTCTATTCTAATTTTTCGTATCAAATTAAGATTATCGAGACCATGTACAACGGACGTGTATCATGAGCAGCGTTTTCCAGAGACCGCATGGGCTTTCTCATCACTAGTAACCATGTCCTCGGTATATTCATGCATCCTCGCCTCGGACCTTTGCAGTATTACCATTATGTCTCGCCCTCTGTGAGTCACCCCATGCGATGGCTGCCCTGACCTTGCTGTCACCGCGTCCACCTCGGCTGCGTCAGACATGGCTCCGGGGTCCGCGTCAAATGTGACTGTATATTTCGCAAGTATCGATATTCGCCACCGTGGTACTTTCTTTATTTCTTATGGTGCAGCGGTGGGTGTTCGAATTAAAAGGTGTCATGGTCTGAACAGATATGTGCCGGCTTTGTTGGGCTGCATCTCTGAGCAGGTCTGGCAACAGAGATTGCTATCCTGTCCATCCACCAGCAGATCCATCGCCATAACTACCGTCATTTTCCTCATGGTAGGTATTGAAAGAGCCATCATACTGCATTTGCCCCCCACTCTGTTGCTGTATCGGTTGGGCCATGCTCCGGGCAGATGCAAGCGAAGCCATTTGCGCTGATTGATTCATGTAGGCCTCGGGTCCCCGAGGATGATTCCCTATAAACACAGCCCCAGGGTATTGCTGTTGTGACGGTTGGTTTGTGATTGCAGCGGCTTGCAGATGCAGTCCGGGATTATGGCCGTACGAGGATTCGGCCGGGATTGTGTCCCAAGGGGTGGAAGTCGACACTGAAGGAGTGCTCGAAATGGAAGAGTCTGACAGGACTTGGCTCGCGACGGAGAAGTTAGTATTAGCATCGAGGCTTGCCGGTCGTCGCGACATCATTGCTTGCTGAAGCGCGTGTGCGGCCATGCCAGGCTCGCCAGTTGCAAAAGCCTGTCCCTGGCTCAGATCTGTACCTCCGGCGATGCCGGCCTGCAGGAAGCGGCCGATGTAATCGTCGCTAAACCCATGCTTGTTGAGGAGTTGCCGCAGCTGTCTGTTTTCTTCCGCGACGCGTCGCGCTGCCACCTGGACTTCTGTCGTTGCCTCTATTCCTTGCAGCTCGCAGAGGCGTAGACGTTGCTCCAGCTCCTGCAAATACTCTCGCCTTCTTGCTCTGGAGCGCCGTTGATTGTCTCGGATGCGAGCTAAGTTGGCTTTTTGCTGTATCTCGTGGTCAGTCGATCAACAAGTATATTGTACGCTCATGGCAGTTATCCGGAGCCAACGACGTACTGCTGGAGTTGACATTTAGTCCGAGGTGTCTATGTGGAAGCCACTCGAGGTCGCCTGATGTCACGAACACGACTGGCCACCCACGTTCCTGAGGAGGGAAACGCTCAATATGGCAAGAGATAGTAAGCGTTGCCAGGAAAATAGGCTCCTAGCTGGGATGGGTAGTGTCGAGGAAAGAGTCGTCGTTGGTCCGACGCAATATCAGGCCATTGAAGAACTGGCCAGACTGATGCTATAATTGTACCCGTCCAAAGCTCGAACAAAGGGAAAGCAGGGTTGTTAGTCGCGGTAAAATCATAGGGTCGGCCTCTTTTTAGGATGAAGGAAGGTTAGTTCGAGGTCGCCCGAAAAAGAAGGTTGGCCGAGAGGAGGACCCGAGTCAAGTTGTGTGTTAGAGACGACGCATGGGAACAAGCTTGCAGGCGGCGGCCAACGGTGATGAGCTCGAAGGGTGGCAACAATAGAAACACGAGTAAAAGCAGAAAGGCCAAGCCGTCTTGGAAGCTCCTAAGAGCTGTGTGGTAATGAGCGGGGGGCGCTGGTACTTCTGTGTCTGGGTTGGCCTCTCGGGCTCGGTGACTGACAGCGCTAAGAGGAAGATGGAAGATAGTGTGGAAAGAGCGAGCAAGACAGAGTCTGGCCAGAGCCAAAGGGCCCCTATACATATCATCTATACGCCGAGACGCACAACTGGGGCAGAAGCGCCACAGCACGGGTTGTCATTGCCGCAAAACAGTCACATTACCAGGCAACCGGGTTCTGCTACTGTAATGGGACGGTATTGAGAGGTTATCTTGACGGCAATAGGGACAAGATTATAGCCAGCCAAGACATTTCCTTTGGGAAAAAAGCTGAGATTTTACTAAATATAAAGCGGCCTGATTCATGAAGCACGGCAAGGAGGGGAAATTTGGGACAACTAAATAAGAGGTGGATAGTGGGCGGCGGGTTGGTAGTTACAGTAGCAACAACGGTTTGGTAGCAACGTGGTGCTAGAATAAAAGCGGACTTGGGCGTGGGGGGGGGGGAACGATAAACAGCCCGACCATTATAAGTAGTTACATCTGCTCTTGTTGCCTATCTGCCCAGGTCATGGCCAACAAAGCAGCCGCACCAAGTTGCCGAAGCGATCTGGGGCCTGCCTCTATGGTGGTCAGGCCAAAGGGCAATGGTCCTCTGGCGGTACAGGGACCGGGGAGGGGAAACGAGGAAAGAGGGCCTTTTAACCAAGCCATGTAGCCTTGGGAAGACGGGCCAGGCTTCTCACGGGGCCGGAGTGACATGCGCGGAGCCAAGTCTTGTGGATGCAGTTGTGGGTGTAAGTCAGAACTCACAAGTGCGTTGGCCGGACCTGCCAGCGGCGGGGGTCACACAGGGAACATGGTGTACAAAGAGGTTTGACGTGAAGATGGTTAGCTTGGCTAATTAAAGATTCGAGTTTGTTGGTCATGGGCTAGACACGTTAACAGTTAACTAGGACGGGGTGGCAGTGGACCACGCTACGAAGCTGCTTGGCTGCCCTTCGGACGACCCGGCTCAGCTGTCTAATAACTGGTACAAATTACTCTGTTTAGGATCCGATAAGAATGCATTTTTTTTCTCGTCACTCTTAGTGGACGGGGCAAAAGTGATGACATGGGTCGGCAATCCAACATGGTCGTGACACCCGTCTATTCAGTTTGCCGGTTGGGATGCTTCACACTCGGCAATGTAACCAACTAGTTGATCACTTTTTTTTTTTTTTTTGCCTCTATGATCCGAGGGCACGACTCAGGAGGATAGCGTGCGGGAAGCGCAACGGCGGCCCGCTGGTTCATGCTTAGAGGAAAACCTTAAAAGACGAAGAAAAGGCTGCTGTGCTGCCTGACAGGACACAGCCAAGACCCCCAACATGCGACGGCCCAGGTCGGACAATTGAGGAACATCGCAGCCATGACACAATTACAGGGGTTATCGAGCAAGGGGACGCTGACAGGCATCATCCAAGTGGCAAGGAGGTACAAGGGCAGGGCCTCTCCCTCTGGTTCTGGTTGTGCGGGCCATTCAGCCGCGCGCCTCGGCTTTCTTGGTCGTTCTTGGACTCCTTACTGGCCGTCTGCTGGGCCGATCAAAAAAAAAGAGAATTGACCTGCATCAAGACCAGCACCAAATTCACCACTGTGCGTTGGTTGGCTTCCAAGCCACCGAGGGGAAGCATGAAGTGGCGGCGGAGACGGTGACGACTTTCCCATCAACGGCTGCCCTTCACACGTGCTTTGACTGGCCGATGAATCTCATCTCGGCCGCGGTACGATGACTTGAGCTGCTGTGCTCCCTCCAGCCGTCCTGTAGAGTTCCGTACGTGAGGTGGGGAGGGAGTACTAACTGGTACAGTAGGCTAGCAACGCCGAGACGTTGGCATCACAAGCCAGCAAGCCAGCAAGCCAGCAACATCGCCAGTGGGTGTGTGGAGTTGAGCGACTGGGGCCTGGCTGGAGCCACGCAGCAAGTCGATGGAGCAGGCACACATGCGGTTTGCCCTGGGATGATACACAAGGGCCTGAACGGACGTGCGGATCGGCCAGCCTCGTCTTGTTACATTGCCTACTGTTTCAACGGTGCCTTCGAGGATGGAGCCAAGCCCGCCTCGTCGTGGATCCAAACACGCTTCACGGCTATCCATCTTCCCATCACTTGCTCATGGCTTCGGGCATCGAACCGGGACATGGTTAGAAACGCGCAATGGAGAGAACAAAGCACGAGACTGCCATGATGGCTATCGGCTGTATCAGCTCCCTGTTCAGCATGACGAGTCAATTGCCGGATAGCAACTTCATTCGCCAGCGCTCTCTCTATTACGAGATCATGACCAATGGCTAGTCATGGCGCAAGGAGAGTGCTAGCGGAGAGGGCGGCAGCTAGCACACAACGTGGACACGTTTTATACAAGTCTCGTCTTTGGATAAAATTCATCACGGACGCGGTGGAAAGCGCCGTTCCTTGTTGGACGTGATGGATGGATGAGCACAATCGATCTCTCCCCCGATCTTAGCCCTACCTCTCCAATTAGGCATGCTTAGCGATAGAGCTAGTTGGAACCGGTCGAACCCCGGTAAGAATTGGCGGAACTCGATTAATAGAACGATGACTGTGGCGGCAGCTGGAAGAGGAGACAATGACCATACGAACATGGGCTCAAATGTGGCGCAACTCTATCTCTTGATGGGGTGGACGGACGACCTGGAGTAAGCACTTCGACGGTGCGTGACATATAAAACTAGTGTCATTCGTTTTCTGTCTCAACTTAAAAATACTCCTGGAACCTGATCAGAAGTTGGTCCATCTCGACGTAGGGACTTGAAACTTTGGCGGCCAGGACGCGTAGCCTGCTCTTCATCTGCAGAGGACTACTATTTTAGGGTCTCGCCGAATTAAATAGTTAGCACCACACGCCACGGATGGCCAACTAACGGCAAGTTAGTGCTCGACGGACCTGGACAAGGCTTGCTCTAGTGGCTGGTAGTTCCGTACAAAGCACTACAAAGACGACCCGTCCCCCCCATATTGTGACATTCTTGAACCCGCCCCACGATGAGTCTCGTCGGAATCACCAACTAACTAGGCACCTCAGCCAGCGTTCTCCGGAAAGATGAAGGAGCCTTCCGGCTGGAGAAAGAGGGCCGTTGTCTCCAGTAGCTATTATTAACTTGGAGCTTGTTGTAGCTTGCCAAGCCTCATCAGGCAGTCTCCATCTCAGCTTCAAGCAAAAACCGGAGGAAACTAGCCACAAGTCGGATAGCACGGCGGCGCTGTTCTGCCATTGTGGACGAGCTATTGCTTTTATAGGCCAAAGGCATGTCATAGCGAAGGCGCATTAGACTGTGCAGTGGATTTTCTTTTTTGACCAGATGCTCCGTACTTGGCACGGCAAACATGGCTTTTCATACCGAGGACAGTGCTGACTATACTTTTCGGAGCCGCCATTGTGTTCGGATCGAGGTCATCTCCATGTACAGGTTAGCACATGCCGTCGGCTTATCTTGCCCCGAAAGGCATTTTTTTTTTCTTGCCATTTCCACGGCTGAATACGAGTTTGGCCGCTGCCAAGCAACTTTTTATTCGTTTGTTGCCACCATTGCATGTGGAAAAAGTTAGAGTTGCTTCATGCCGAGTCAGTCATTGCCTTTCGGCCAACTCTGCGACAGCCGGCGTGCTCTCGGCTATCGCGCCAATTTCGTTGTTTGCCACCCCCGGCGGTCGGGGAATTAATTATAGCTGTCGCTTAATAGTACTTGATAGAATATAATAGGGACTCCATGGCTTCCTACGGTGCCGTTGCATGAAGTACTAGGGGGATCTCCCTGGTCTGCCACGTCTCACATGAGATGGCATCTACAATGCCTGCACCAACAATGTCGTCGGAGATTGTGGTACGGTCGGGCCACACTGAAGCGACTAGTATCGCTATATCGAGAAGTTTGTTTGTTTCGTCTATATTATGTTGTTTGTGGATAATTCTGCGAGGCAATGCATTCATTGGTGCATTTATGTGAGAGCCGGCCCTCTCTGTGGCGCTTGTCGCAAAGGCACTGCGCCTGATTGGTATTGACGAGAAAGCTACGTGTACATTTTGTAGTGAACGATGCTTGATGTAGAATTCGACAATTATGTTGATATTCTTTGTCCAACGCAGGAGGTTGCGTATTGGCATTACTTACGGTGTCAGAATACAGCGTGTGACTGCTGAATCGTGATGCATGATGATTCACTGATGATGGGATCGGCTGACTACATCGACTCCGTATCCCTTGCTGTCTCATATTATTGCTTCACTATTTGCAGGGATCACTGGCAGGCCTTTGCGATGCCCACCATTACAACGCACAGCCTGACGCGCAAGGTTGGATTGGGCATGAATGCCTGCCGTATTTTGAAGGGGAAAAAGATCAACAAAGAACGAGCCGCACAAATGGCGACAACTTAAAATCCAGGGCGGTTAAATAGTTGCCAGGCTGCTTTCAATTAGTTAATACTGGTTCTCCGTAACACAATAAAGTGATTATATCAGCACAGCATGATAGCTTTGAGGCGCAGCTTGGCGACCTGCCTTTGAGACGTCATAATCTCCCATCCCTGTACCACAGGAAAACAAGGCTGCTGCTCGCTGCTCCCGCTTATGCAACCTGAAAGGTCATAATGAGCACATATACGGCTGTCAGGCGTGCAAGCGAGCCTTGTTCCCGGACGAGGCAGACTTGACAGATCTCTCCTTTCCTGCCAGTGCAAAACGTTGTTTCTCTTACAATACCCAAGCTTCTCCCCCCAAGCAAGGTTCTTCATCTCGCGAGTATCCCCTCCCAGGCATATCACAATGCCCTCCTTCAAGTCCATCTTTGCCGCCGTCGCCTTCCTGGCGCTCGCCAACGCCAAGACTGTCAAGATTACCGCCAAAAACGACAACCGCTTCGATCCCGACTCGACTACCGCCGAAAAGGGCGACATTCTCGAGTTTCACTTTGAAGGTTCCCAGCACAGCGTCGTCGCTGGTGACTACGACTTCCCCTGCTCCCCTCTCCAGCTAGGAAGCGGCTTCTTCTCTGGCAGTGTCGCTGGCTCCAGCGTACGTTTCAGCCATGGTTCATCCCATGCACGGCGGCGATGCGGACCTTGATGCTAACATTCACACCATGTATAGGGCAAAGTCTTCCGCGTCCAGGTCAACAATAGCGAGACGATAGCGTTTTATTCTGCACAAGGAAATGACTGCGCCTCGGGCATGGTGGGCATTGTCAACCCCAGCGCAAACCAAACTCTGGAAAACTACAAAGGCCGCGCCAGCAAGCTCGCAAGGGCAGTCAGTCCTGGCAATGCGACTTTCGGCGGCGAATTAGCCAGTGACGGTAGCTCCGACGACAGCAAGAGCGGTCAGGACGACAAGAAGAACGGCAAAGACGATAAGAAGAACTCGGCTGGCATGATTCATGTCTCGACAGTGGCCCTTGCCAGCGTCTTTGGTGCTGCTTTGTATATGTTCTAGTTTGATGGGAGCGAATGTTTCCTTCGCCGTTATTTCTCCGATATAATATCCATCGTGTATGACGTAGCTCCTAACCTAAATGTGACAATCCCGGAGATGCCATCGTGACTCAAATGCCGTCCCATTGCGGGGTTACCGCTAATCCTCTATAGACGAAACGAGAAGTCAGCGTATAACAACCAGAAAGCCAGTATTGGGTCATTCTGACGAATCAATATAACCTTGTCGGGGTGACTCATCCAACTGGAAACGATGAACTAGGCTAAGTAGCACTAGGCACAAACTCAACGTGCGGAGGCGCCAGTTGAAGCCGCCATCCGCCATGTTTCTCGCCAACTCTCGGGCTATAAAGGGCTCATTGGGACTGCATACTTTGTCGACCAAGTGCGTCTGAGAAAACGTCCGACAGAACGTCCAAACTTCAACCATCTCATCATGTCCGTTTCTCATTCGACAAGCCCGAGAGCGCGGCTTCGTGACGTCGTACCCTCCGTCTTCTTGGGCTCGTGGCCTCCCGGACCCAAGAATGGAATCACGGATGTGCCTGGCGTTCGTGTTCATACACAATCCATCCACTCCGACGACGGAAATGTGAATACGGGCGTGACCACCATCATTCCGCGGGATGAATGGTTTCACAAGGCTTGCCATGCAGGCCTATTCCGTTTCAATGGCTCTGGAGAGATGACGGGCTCGCATTGGATCGAGGAAACGGGTCTCCTGCATTCGCCCATTATTCTCACCAACAGCTTCGCCGTCGGCCCGGCATACACTGGCATCTACCAGCATGCACTCCAAGAACATACTGGAGAGGATGGCGAGGTCGGCTGGTTTTTGCTGCCCGTTGTCGGCGAGACGTTTGATGGCTACCTCAACGACTTGGGCGTCTTCGCCGTGACGCCTGAGCACATCGTCCAGGGCTTGGAGAAGGCCAGCAGCGACCCGGTGCAAGAAGGAAACACAGGTGGCGGTACCGGAATGATTTGCCAAGGCTTCAAAGGCGGTACTGGTACCAGCAGCCGTGTCATCCCCGCCGCCACCGAGGGCAAGACGTACACGGTTGCGGCGCTGGTACAAGCCAACTACGGCCGCCAGCATCATCTCCGTATTTCGGGTGTTCCCGTAGGACGGATTATAGCCGACGAGGCGGCCAAAAAGGCCGCCGCAGCCAAGACGGAAATACCCCGAAACGAGGCCGACGAGTCCAAGGAAACAAAGGACGGCTCCATCATCATCATCCCTGCGACAGATGCGCCGCTGCACCCGACCCAGCTTCAGCGCCTCGCAAAGCGGGCTACTGTCGGCCTTGCCCGGGTAGGAGGATACGGCCATAACCCGTCTGGTGACATTTTCCTGGCGTTTTCCACAGCCAACGAGATACCTGTGCAGACAGTCAACTCCAACGTGCGCAAGGTTGACCCCTTCAGGCTGGCCTCGCGTAGCATCGAGACTGTCGACGACCAGACCATCAATGCTCTATTCGAGGCGACGGCGGATGCAACCGAGGAGGCTATTTACAATGCGCTCTGCATGGCTGAGACCATGGTTGGCAACCGAGGACATTGCATCGAGGCGCTGCCACTGGATAAGCTAAGGGAAATTATGGACAAGTACCACTATTCGGCATAAGACCGAATGAAAGTCAAAGTTTTAAAGAATAAAAAAAGCACAAATAAACGAACTTGTAATTTGCTGGAATAATATATATGCTGACGTGACATGACGCTATTCCACCGCCCGGCCTCTTGAACTGCGGACCGGCTTCTTCCAACTCCACCTACGAAAATAAGCCGACTTCCCGAAACATCGACTGTTTGCGACCACATCCGAGCCGGCCATGCGCTGAATTCGACCTGACATCACACAGCACGCTCGTATTGCGACTCCCAGCTACCAACAATGCGGGGTACCACGGCAGCTGCGGTGCCCTTGCGGCGGCTGCAAGCCTCGGCCAGCTGCGCCCGTCGTGCCAACCCGAACCAAGCCCGGCGCGCCGTCCAGACCCTCTGCGGCGGCGGGCGCTCAGCGTCGTCCTCTACGCCGCTGCCGCTGCCACTGCCGCGACGAGGCACGGCCAAGACTCACGCGAGACATTCGGCAGCGCGCCTAGGCCGGCAGGGTGGCGCGTTTGTGCCGCTCCGGTCCCTTGCCACAGCGGCCGACGCCAAAGCCGACGATGGCGGCGGCGGGCCGCTGGCAGAGTACGATCGCCGCGTCGAGGCGGGTGAGCTGCGCAACGACAGTCACCAGAGAGGTACCTGATTCCACGACACTTCTGGCGCTGTCCCGCGTCGAGTGAGCCGCCTTGCTAATCATGCCCCCGTCCAGGAATCATCGAAAGCTTGCAGCATCTCTACGCCGAACTGCGCGACTACCACGCGCCGCCCGTCGTGCACCCGAGCCTCGAGTCGCTGCAGCCAAAAAGATCGGTCCTCTCGTCCTTGTTCGGAGGCGGCTCGAAAAGGGGAGAGGCCGCCATCGGGAAGATCCCAGACAACCTACCCCGCGGACTGTACCTCTTTGGCGACGTTGGCAGCGGAAAGACGATGCTGATGAACCTCTTTCACGACACGCTACCACCCTCGGTCAAGAGCAAGACGAGAATTCACTTCCACAACTTCATGCAAGATGTACATAAGCGATTACACAAGATCAAGCTGGATCACGGCACTTCTATCGACGCGGTTCCCTTTGTGGCAGCAGATATTGCTGATAAGGGAAATGTCCTGTGTTTTGACGAGTTCCAATGCACCGATGTCGCAGACGCAATGATCCTGCGAAGGTACAGTTACTGATATCGGCGCTTCCATGTTTGCGCTTGGTTTACTGACTGGTGACTAGACTGCTGGAGGCTTTAATGTCACATGGCGTCGTCATGGTTACGACTTCAAATAGACAACCCGATGAGCTATACAAAAACGGCATCCAAAGGGAATCATTCATCCCGGCCATTAAGCTTCTCAAGACCCGACTGCACGTCATCAATCTAGACTCACCGACCGACTACCGCAAGATTCCCCGGCCGGCCTCCGGAGTGTACCACACGCCGTTGGACAAGCACGCCAACTCGCACGCCGAGAAATGGTTCCGCTTCCTCGGCGACACGGAGCACTTTGCACCGCACCCGGAGACGCAAAAGGTCTGGGGGCGCGAGATTTACGTCCCCCGCGTCAGCGGCCGCTGCGCCTGGTTCACTTTTGACGAGCTGATCCGGCAGCCCAAGTCGGCCGCCGACTACCTCGAGCTGGTGCGCTGCTACGACGCCTTCATCGTGACCGACGTGCCGGGCATGACGATTCGCGAGCGCGACCTCGCGCGGCGCTTCATCACCTTCATCGACGCCGTATACGAGGGCAACGCCAAGCTGGTGCTCACCACGGAAAAGGCCCTGGGCGAGCTCTTTGTGTCGCGTGACGAGATTGCCGAGAACCTGCTCGCGTCCTCCGCCACGGCGGCGGCGCCCTCCTCGACGGCGGGCGGCGCCGCCAAGCCTGCCGACAACGTGGACGCCGTCATGGAGGAGATGATGGCCGACGTCGACGGCAGCGTCGAGAAGCTCAAGTCGTCGAACCTCTTCTCGGGTGAGGAGGAGGCATTTGCGTTTGCGCGCGCCCTCAGCCGGCTCAGCCACATGGAGAGCAAGGAATGGGTCGAGCGCGGCATGGGCCTGGAGAGCAAAGGCGGCAAGGAGGACAAGGATAACTGGACACGCACGCGGAGTCGGCAAATGGAAGACTCCATGTAACAAGATCTCGCCTACGAAGCTTGGAGAGCACTTCTGTGACGCACCTGCCCCCTTTACTTTTGCTACGGATGCATGGTTGTCGGTTGGGTCGCTAAGACGTATGCATGTACATAAAAGAGCGCGCATATATAGCATGTTCTTTATAGACTACTGGTGTCATTTGGAAGCGTGCACGAATACCTGGGGATTACGGAAATTTACTACAAATTACTTGCACTCAATATCAGGAACCGAAACGCTTACTATCACTGCTTTTCTAGCGCCTCTAGCCACAAGATATTTCCATGCACTGGAAGATGATTGAGGGAAGTCCCGTTTCCAACGCAACCAGCACCGGGTAGGATTACGCGTGAGTTTGTATTCCCGGTCCCCCAGTGTCTCGGCTCAAGGGCAAAAGGAGCCATCATGACAGGAGAAATAAGCAAAAAAAACGAGGATGAGACCTGACAGACACCTGAGGAGAGACACACGCGCGCAGCACGGCAAGGACCTAGCGCTCGATACCACCAGCAGCCGTCGAGGCACTTCGCCCACGTCTTGCTGCAGTGCCGCGGGGAGGGCCTTGTTCTCTTAACAGCGACGCGCACAAAGAAGGGGCTCCGTTATTTTTGTATTCGTAACTACTGGGTCTGAGCGCGCCATGCGAGACAATGGGCCCTGAGACAATCGGACGGTAGGTGAGCTGTGAGCCTGTAATATCCCTTGAAAAGCTTTTGGCAGTCACAGCGCGCTCGGATAGAGAGCCAACAAGTGACAGGATGACTTTGAACAACTGGCAGCGCGATAACCTTTTTTAATGGGTTGTATGGTAATTCTATGCATTGATGAAGAAATGAGGATGACGCCACTGAATAGCTTTCAATACCTAGCGATGCAGTGACATGCATATTAACTTCTATATTGCATGAGGCGCGACATATTGCTGCACCATAACCGAGGCGTACCTGAAGTTGAGTCTTTTATTCCAGGGAGTGGCTAGTTATTGGCCTCACCTCAAACCGCATTTGCGACCGACTTGTCAATTGTCAGTCTGTCACTGAGTTGAGAAGAGTACAGAGTAGTTAGCAGCCACGGCATGTTCGCTCATCTCCGTCGGTACCAACAGTCGGGTCTCAAAGGCGGCTAGCTCCATACGGCTATAATCGACATGGGGCAAAGCTTTCCCCTTTACAACGTTAGACCGCCTCGATGGAAAATGAATCAAAGGGCGCTGGGGCTTGCGTTTCAGGGCCCCTGCTAGTCGACGAACAGACTGGTGTGGAGGCGGCAAGCCAAATCGACTGCGCTGAACGCATGAGCGTGTTTCGACTTGTCTATGTGGAAATGTTTGCTAACTACGGATAGTTATGCGATTGTTTCTCGAAACATGCACCCGTGACGTAGCGAGCATGCTTGGACACAGCGCAACGACAGCAGGATATTTATCAGGAGGGGGGAGGGCCGAGGTACAGAATAGTTGCGTGTGACGCAAGCTGAAGGGCAGGGACAGGGCAAGGGGACGGGACTTAGTTTCGCCGAGTATCCGTAGTAGTAATGTAACTTTGGAAACGATAACCCCGGATTTCAACGGTTGACATGTTTTTTCTAGGTTCCCTGGTTAATGGCAAGCAAGTCCATATTCGTACAACGACGTAACAAATCTACCGAGCGGCAAGGTTCGTGTGGAGAGGAGGCGATCCCTGTTTCCTGGCGACATGGTGATACACATTGTCGTAATCGGGACAGATACTTGTGGCTTGTCGATGACCAAGGCTGTGTGTTGAGAGGACGTACATCTTGCAGATAGTTGGCCAAGGGGGGAATGCTAGTTAAAAGCCTGATGGGTTTAGAATTTGTCAACTTGATATGATTTTGTTCTTCCAGGGGCGCGAGACTGTGGAGAGGCAGGGGGGCTAAAGGTACTTGGGTATTATTGGAACAGGCAGTTCATTCGGCGTCGGTCAAATGTTTCTCGTTGACGGGAGGAGGGAATAGGGAATGCGGGCGATTTGTGCACGCGAATGCTAGTACTGCCCGCTGTGTTCATGTTGAGGCAGCGTGTGTCCCTTGATGAATTTGATAATTGTCCAATTGACGGGTTCCTGGATGGGCGGATAGGCTGGGCCAATCACAGCTAGCGGGTGCCTGCATAACGGGAGGGGCTAGCACTAGTAGCTACCTAGTTATACGGAGCACAAGCACAAACACACGCAAGCACAGCACAAGCACAGTGGGACAGGCCAGGCGTACCTGATGCCAAGGGGGCTCGAGCTGAGCTGAATGACTGCATATCTGCATTTATGCGCCGGCTGAGTCCTGTACGTGGCCATTCAGGAACCCGGTCCTGACGATGATCGTCATCTAGGAACTGAAAGTCTGAAAAGTAGGGGACTTGGCCAAGTTGCCGCGGGGATCTGCATAGCAGTGTGACTAATTTGTAGCACAGAGTGGTTTGCACAAGGGTTGATGCACAAAAGTTGGCGTGCAAGACGCAAGACAAGGTAGGTAGGTAGGTAGTGCCGTAGGGATATTGTTTGCTTGGGGAAAGAAGGGCATTGTCTCATTGGGATGTCTCTGTACTGCCACTAATCTCTCTCTATTCTATTTTATTCCCTTTCCCAGCGCAAGGTTCGCGTGCACAGACGTCCACTGACCACTGACCCTCTTGTCGACGGCAACAAAGAATTGTGAAGGATAACTACTTCGTATGCAGGATGATGGTGCTATATTTATGAAGCTTGCACAAACCAGGGAGGTGGGGATAGGGTCAGACAGGGGGAGGGAACGGATAATGGCTTGCCAAGTTCCACCCATCCACACCAGCTTTTAGTTACTGTCACTCAGACTTCTCTTGACTCCTTTGCTCCTTTGCAGCAGCTTCTGCATCTCCAGCCATCCAGCCCTGTCCTCGAGGCTCAGATCACAAAAGCAAACCTACCAAGGGCCTCGTCGCTCTCTTCCCGCTTCCCGCTCCCAACCCACTCGTAGCCAGTAATCATCCCCCATTTTTTGCCGCCATTCGGTCATTTTACCCCCCAGCCCTCGTAGCTTGATAGCCCTGGCTCTTGTATCCTCTTCTTCCCTGCCTCCCACCCTTCCCTCTCCACCGCCGTCCTTGCCCATTTGCATCCCCCTCCATCGTTGAGCCTCTGCACCTTTTCTTCCTTTCCTTCCAACATACGACTATCTTTCACCTTGAGCTGGTGCGCGCGTGCGTGTTCTCTACACTCTTTTTCTTCACTGCTCGTGTGCTGCGCGCCATCTCGTTCCATTCCTTTGTCCAAACGACTGTTGCAAACGCTCCTTACTTCGATCTACGCGCTATACCCGACCGACGACCTCTCATCACTCACTCGTCATCACCACCCAAACTCAGGGACCAAACATTCACCCTTGGCTCCCGCACTTGCTTCGACTTGCCACCTTTGACCCGTCTTGATCCAAGACATTGGCGCCAAAATCAAGAACACGCTTTCTGAGGGTCTCAATAGTCTGCCAATACTACTGTGCATTCTTCCTCCCTCAGCCTCCACCACCAGCATTCCAGTCGGCCGGCGCGCGACCAGCCTCTTCCGCCCGCCATCAAAATCACTACTCGCCGGCCACACCCTTGTGCTCACTTCTTCCCATCTTCATCTCGTTATTCCCCGCCTTTTCGTCGTCATAGATTGCAGACGCCAAGATGGGCCACGGTCACCTCCATCAGCACCAGAAGCGTGACTTGTTGGACAATGTCGGCGATCTGATCGACAAAGCCGCCAAGTCGCAGCTCGCCGAGGTTGGCGACAAAATCCAAAGAGGTAAGCCACTTGACGTGCCCTATCCAGCCTCAATTACCTCGCGGCTTGTCATGTCCCGGGCTCTTGAGCAGAGGCTGTACGTTGACATGCAATACTAATTAATTGCATTTGCAGCCGAGACGTTTATACGCACAGTATACAAGACAATGTCGCCTACCTTCACTGGTGAAATCGGCGGCTATTCAACCCAAGGCCAGGACAGTCCACAGCAGACCCAGCAGGCCCAGCAGACCCTGCAGACCCAACAGCCTGCCGCTACCAGCGACGACTCGCAATCTCAGACCCAAGCAGCAGCATCCACTCAGGAACCCACGTCTGTTACCAACGAGGTGCCCAAGTCGATTACTTCGGTCGAGGCCACTTCGATTGCCTCGACTCTAGCTGTCGCCAACCCCAACAGCGCCCCTGCGTCTCAAGAGACCAAAATGTCGAGCTCCTTCGCGCTGCCAGCACCCACAGCTTCGTCCGTCGTTACACCCTCCAGCAAGAGCTCCCCCGAGGATAGCACCAGTTCTGGCGCCAAGGCAGGCATTGCTTTCGGCGTTATCGGCGGTGTCTTCCTCGTCGGTCTGATTGTCTTCATCATCTTCAACCGCCGCAAGAGACAGATGGAGCGTCAGCGGCTGAGCGGCGACAACGAAAAACTCAACGGCCGAGGCGATGCCCTTGCCCGCATGCCAAGCCACTCCAATCCGAAGGCTCCTCGCATCAGCCTCCGCCCTGTCACCCAGTTCCTGCCCAATTGGAATCTCGACAAGAACACCCAGCGTGGGGCCGCCAACCTCGCCCCAGCTGCTGCTGCTAACCAGTTGGAACGCCCTGGTACCAGCCATAGTAACCACCCCAACAACCCCTTTGGTAGCGGGGCTGAGCGCATCAACAGCCCTGATGGCCCTGCACGCGACCCATGGACTGCCAACGGCCCCGCCGTTGGTGCTGCTGCTGCTACTGCTGGTGCCGCTGTCGGCGCTGCTGGTGTCACCACTCTCGCTAGAAATGCATCAATGCGCAAAGTGAACCAGAACGGCCTTGATCTGACTGTTCCCGGCCTTCTTGATACTGTTCCTCCCAGCCCTGCTGGTACCGAATTCAGTACTTCTTCGATGCCTGCCGGCGCACCGCAACCTCCTTCTCAGAGCGCGGCAGCCATTGCGGCAGCCGGTGGCCCTGCTAGCTCTGCTGTTCATCGTGTCCAGCTCGACTTTAAGCCCACTCTCGAGGACGAAATGGAGTTGACTGCCGGTGACTTGGTTCGCCTCCTCCACGAATATGACGATGGCTGGGCTCTCTGCATTCGTCTTGATCGATCTCAGCAGGGCGTTGTTCCTCGCACTTGCCTTTCTACTCGTCCTGTGAAGCCCCGGACTCCCCAAGGTGCGCCTCGACCTGGCCCTCCCATTAACCCCCAAGGCGGCTACCCGCGCGGCACCAATCAGCCTGCCCGTCCAATGACTCCTCAGGGAAGGCCAATGACTCCCCAAGGCCGCCCCATGACCCCTCAAGGGCAGCGTCCGCCGCAAAACATGGCTCCCAAACCTACGGGGCCCATGAGCCCCGGCCCGCGCCCCCAGTCTCCCGGACCCCGCTATCAAGGACCTCCAGCCGGTCGCCCTCAGAGCCCCAATGGCATGAACCCTCGCCCTATGGGCCCTGCTGGCCCCAGTCCGATGAATCCCGTACCTTCATCCCCGAACCAGGCTCCTCAGAGGAAGCCAGTCCCCGGTCAAGCATATTGAGCAGTGCTCATCTCGAGGTCGGTTTCGGATTATCGGTTTGGTTTGTAGTGTATGGCGATTTATGGGAATATACAAAAGGTCCGGCGTTCACATCTTTTGTTTCTTCCTTCTGGTTCTGCCCTCAGAAGGGCACATTCCCGAGCAATGTCGACTTGGGCCTTGTACGGCCATTTTGGCCACAATATGTCGCTTAATGTCGACATGCAGTATTTCAGTTGCTGCTATTGAGCCTTTGGCACTTCAATCACTATACATGTGCATGCCGGGCCAAAGTCTCTGTATTTAACCCTTCATTTCTGACTCTCTTTTTCTCTTATTATTTACTTTCTTGGACGGTTATTTGCACACTATTTGATTTCTAGTTCAGCGGGAGTAGGGGCAAAGTATAAGGAGGATACTGGGGGGTCGATGGTGTGAGCGATGAATGCCTCATGCGCAAGAAGATGTTAGGTAGCGACTCACATGATAGAATGAGAGAAATATTCAAGTTCCCAATTGTTCTAACTGATTTTGCCTTGTGTGATTGTAGAAGTCTTGCCATTCCGAAAGACTGACTTGCAAACACTGCGCCTTGGCATGGCCGGCGTTTGCAGTTGACCGCGACTTCACTTGCGCAGTCACCCATCTAAGCCTGCCACTCGTCAGGTGGACAACAATGCGTTTGCACGAATCCACTGAACCATTAATGATTGCCACCTGGCTGGATTGACTAGAACCACCTCTGTATATTGCCCTTCAGTCGTGGCGAGGCTTCGTCAACGTGCAATTCAACATTCAAGTACGGCCGTTGGTCACATCCCGAAAAGCTCCCCCAACACGAGTCCTAGAAACCCACAAACGCCAAAAGACTGGTTGCCAGAGAGCAGAGGTTTTCAAGGACCAGCTCCTCCAAGGCCTACCCAATTTGAGAGAGCCAGATCACAATCGGCCAAAATTCACATACAATATAAGGAAGGAGGACCCAACAAGCGACAGGAACCTTGCCTTGAAACCGCCCAAGAAACGACACACAATCAAAGAGGCCACTAGCATCGAGCCAGGCGACAAACCATGCAGCCATCGTCCACCATCCCGTTAGCTCTTCTAGCTCTAGCCGCCGGGTACGCCCTCGCCGTGCCTGGCGCCCTCCTCCGCGAACGATACGTCCCCTCCATGGCCCCCGGCAGCAGCCCCGAGGAGATGCGTTCCGGCGGTGGTGATGACAGAAAAGGCGCGCTGCCGCCGCCTCTCCTCCGCAACGGCGCCAAGAAGCTGCCGGGCGTCAACCACAAGCCGGTGGTGGCCGAACAGTCCGCCAACAGGACCGCCACCACGCCGCCGCCGCAGCACCCCGTCTCTGGCGGCGTCTTTGCGGACAGGTGCCGAGATCTCGTTCTGCTCGGCGGCAGCGGCAACAAGGGCCAGTCGACGCTGCAGGCGGCGTGTCGCGACGAGGATAGCCCCGGCGCCTGGTGGCTCACGAGCTTGAACCTGAATCACTGCCTGGGCAACGTTGGCGGGAAGCTAGTCTTTCAAGAGCGGTACGTGGTCGTGTCTATAGGGGCACCGGTTAGAGGACGGGATGTTGCTGACGAATATTGTGTGGGTAGGGGAAATTACGACGCGACGTGTCGACCGTGCGGTATCGAGACGCTGCAGGCAGACGGACGGATTATGCTGCGCTGCGCGTGCCTGCCAGGACCGAACAGGGCGCCCAAGTTCACGGAACTATCGTTGGAACATCGCGGTACGTATCAATACATAAACTGGCTGATGTTGGGGAGGGCGGGGGATGGATGTGCTGACATGGAAGTGCTTTATGTAGACCATCTTGGCATCAGGGCGGTCAACGGCCGTCTTGTCTGTGGTAGTCATCAAGGGACCAAGAGCCCTCGATTTAGCGCCGAGTATGACAACGGTGGCGAGAATTGAAGCTTTGCTTTTATGAGATATGCTGTGGAAACGAGGGCGATACGAGACATAGGAGGTAGGAGGGACAAGATTAGCTGATGAATTTGTCAGAAAGTTGCATTTGATTTCCAAACATGGCATCAAAGCAAGACATCCCCTATGTGCAGCTGCCTACTTCCTCATGTATATCATAAGATAATATTGGTCCTACATTGCTCTTCCCAAAAAACGTGCGGCTCTCATCAACTGATGAACTTGCCGCCGCAGCCGCCGCAAATCTCAGCATGCACGTCGAGGGTCATGTCGTGGCCAAGGTGCTCCTTGGCCAGCCTGTGCAGCTCAGACACCTGCAGGCAGCGCATACCGCAGACGGCGCAGACGCGAGAGATTCCCGGCGCCATGATGGGCATACCTGACGAGCCACAGGTTGCTGCGCCTTTGTTAGCCACCTTGTTGTTCTGTCTGCAGAGGCAAACGAAGCCCGCCCGGTTACCGGCAGAGAACCAGAAAAAAAATAACACTTACCAAAGGAGTGGCCGTTGGCGCAGACGGCCTCAGCGCCCTCTTCCCGCATCTCCGCGTCGCAAAAGACGCAGCGGATGCGCGGGAGCACAGATTGGAATTGCCGGCGCACCGTGGTCCCGTGGCTGGCGAGCGGAAAACTGTCCGTCGGGTGCGTGGTGCCGCGGACGGGGGGGCCGCGCCCGTACATCCACTCCCAGACACGCGCTTCCGTTGTCGCCCGGGCCGGCAGCAGCGATACCGCGGCGGGCTTTTTTCCTGCCACCGCCGGCTCCTCGGACACGTGCCAGCCAAACATGACCTCGGCGCGGTCGCGGCGGCTCGGGTGCTGCGTATTGTACTTAGTCACGACGGCCGCGGTACACCCGTCGCCCGGCGAGGCGGCGAGGCCCCAGAGTCGGAAGCGGCGCGGGTGCACCTGGCGCTCCTCGGTGCTTTCGGGCACTTCCTGTATCTGCACGTCGCTGTCCGCGACGGAACCTGCGGCAAGCCCTCGGCCGTCGAGATTTTCGAGACCGCCGGCGTCGGGCTCCGTGTCAATGTCGTCGGACTCGGAGTCGTAGTCGGAGTCGATATCTTTGCCCTGCAGAGCTCGGATGAGAGGGATTAGTCGGACGGTTCTCTGCCCCAAGTCTTCGGCCCATTGTGGGATGGGTGCTTCATCCTCGGGTAGGTTCGTTTGGAACCAGTCTTGGTTAGTGGCCGTGCAAGACTGCCGCACGAGTGAGTAATGTGGTGCTAGTTGTCTTGAGGAAGGGTCGACATGGTGGATGACGAGACCTATATATTATGAGCCGGGGTAGTACAGATAAGTCACATAGAACAGACCGGTAATAGGATTCGTTGGAATCTCTTGGTTTGGATGTGTAGTTGAGCACAGGCTTGTCCTGTGCCGGGGTATGGCGGCGCTCAGCGACTCCAGGAGCGGGATCTGGAAAGGGTAGGGGATAAATGGCGAAGCAATAATACCTCGCATGATGAGAACGCCATCATCGCTCAAAGGCTATCAAGAGTCAACATCAATGTCTTGTCAACTGCCAATGAGTGTAGTGCTTACTCTATTCTCCCATTCGAGGAAAGCATCGGTCGACAGATATAAGCAAATGCTTTTGAAATCGTGTTCGTCTACCGTTACGGGTGGCATTTCACCCTGCTCCCAGGTCCCTCTAATAATAACTCGTCGGAATCCGACATAATTGTCTGCGATGTAGGATAAGGCAGCAATTTGCGTTCCTTGATGCGAAACCCATGGACTCCATTTCAGAGAAAATGCGGAACCAGACGATACAAAATCAGGGTCTAGAACGTCCATTGCCTATTTCCAAAACTTAGTTACGTCGTTGCAACTCGTATTCAGCACACCTCATAGGTACTTACCACGTGCGGACCGCGGGCCGCAAACCTCGCAACCTCGCGAATATCCCAGCCTTTCTCGTCCGGTGCACTCTCGCGACTATAAAACTGCACCGCCATGATGACCACGTCTTTTTCATCGGTTCGATACGCTAGCAGCGCTCTGCCCGGCAGAATTTCCTGAGCCCAGGAAAAGGCCGTGATGCGCTCATCCATAATCTGGACATCCGCGCTGAGCTCTTTGCGTCGCGTCTCTCCAACAACCGGCAGAGGCAGCTGCGCACCCAGGCCCCAGAGAGTACGCCAGTTTTTAAACGAGCGCACCTGCGCCGTGGACGGTGCGCCCTTGCGCAGGTCGAGATACTCGCCGAAGCAGGTGATGGCGCCGTGGCCGGTCAGCGCGGCCAGCACGGGACGCAGGTTGCTCCCCAGCCCGCTGGGCGACCATTCGACGCGTATGATCTGGCCGAGCGAGGCCCCTGCCCCGGTAATCTTGCCGCTTCCGACGCCCGGGAAGCCGCCGGTACCACCGTCGGCACCGCCCGACACCGGCGGCGGCGGCGGCAAGTCCTGCACACCGGCAAAGCGACAAAGCGGCGCGTTGATGGCGGGGTCTGGGCGCAGCGAACCCGAGGTCTGCATGAAGAGGGGGAACTGCGGCGACGTGGCATACCGCTCGGAGGGAGGCTTCTCCCCGCCATCGCCGCCGCTGCTGCGCGGGTACTCGGGGAGAAATATGTGAATGCCTTCGAGGGTGGCAATGGCAAGCTCTGCATCACAAGACCAGGCGATGGAGTGAGACGTCAAGGGCCGAGACGCTAAAGAAAGATTTTGAAGGGGGGGTGCCTAGCAAAGTTCATGGATGAATTAGCTATTTGCGTTCTTCACGTCTTGGAATTCATCAGCTTCATCTTGATAACCAACTTTGCATACCTTGGACTTATCCATGTTTCCTTCATTACAAAGTGAGTGCTATATCTATCACATTTGTAGCTGGAACTCTGATAGAATTTAATTCCAATTTTACGTCCTGCAGCGATATTTGTCGAACTGCATATTAGGCAGCTGATGTTGTTTGGATGAAGCAAGCTTTGCAGCTGTATTTACTTGCGCTTGAAGCAACTATGGGTGGGGCACATTGGAAAGCTTCCCATGATGCCGTTGGCCATTTCAATAAAACGTCTGCTGAAGTGCAATAAAACTGACAAAATACTATTCATGAGCTCACTTGTTCATTTTCAACTTGTCCTTTGCAGTGCACGTCGGAACATGAGCTCGCGTCTGTCCCTCCAATGACTTTACGTTGGCACCTTGAACCGACTATTATCGTCTTCCGAAATCGCTTCTATTGATTCAATACATCGGCTTGCTTCATTTCATCCCCTGCGCCACGCCGTATATCCAATGCTAAACAAATAAAGAAAAAAATGTAGTTAAGTCGCTGACTTTCCCTCGGAGGGGCTGCGTTGCCGCCGGGGTTCGGAGAAGAATCAGAAGAAGAGAAAGAATTAAGTAGAAGAAATGAACGATATGGGTATCCCATGCATTATCCAGTCGATCTTACTGCTTTTGGCCAGGTTGAGCAGCTCCAGATTGAACGTATTGTTGTTGGTACTGGTCGGGTTGGTGATACGCGGGCTGAATCTCCTGCGCCTGCTGAGGGTGCTGCTGCTGCTGCTGCTGCTGCTGGTACTGCTGAGGCTGCTGAGGCTGCTGAGGCTGCTGGTACTGCTGAGGCTGCTGGTACTCGGCTTGGGGATATTGCTGTTGCGGTTGCATCTCGTACTGCTGCGGCTGGGGTTGGGCACCGGGTTGGGCGACGCCCTTGTTCTGTACGGGAGCGCCCTGTGCTTGCTGGGGCTGCGCGTTCATCTGCGGCTGCGCGCCGTACTGCGAGTAGACGGCGGCCTGGGGGCCGAGAACCTCGAGAGGCCCGTCGTGGCGGCGGCGAGCGACCATGTTCTTGCACCCGCCGCAGCGGTACTCTGTGTCCTCGAACCAGTGGGCGAGACAGGGCACGCACGTCAGGCAAACGCAGACGAGGCAGAAGAGCGCGCCGACGAGACTGCAGCCCGGGGGCAATTAGTATTCTCAACTCTTTCTTATGTTTGCACAGGTATATAGCTGCAGGGGAGATGCGTTACATTTGCATAGAGCTGCCCTCCTTGCGAAGCTCAGTCATGGTGCGGCGCTGGCAAAACGGGCAGTCGATGGGCTGCGGCATGTCGCCCAGCATGTTGAGCGGCACGACGGTCGCGACGACGTTATTGGGACCCGGGATAGGCGCGCCCTGCGACACAATCTTGGCCTGTTCATAGCTGGGAGGCAGGACTTGGTGGGCTTGCGTTTGCGGTTGGATGGCATCGGGGCTCTGGACGGGCGGTTGGTAGACATTGGCGGGCTGGACTGGCGATGTCGGTTGCTGCTGTTGGTGCAGGTACTGCTGCTGCTGGGGATGCTGCTGTTGCTCACTCATGGTGCTGGATTTCAGGGATGACGACGATGGATTGCGATTTCACAAATTCGTACAGATTAGAGGCAGCAGGTTTGCACGAGCGCAAGAAGAGTTGGGCGAATAACTAATAAGAGAAGTGGGCGTCGCTGTCCTTTTTCTCCAAGACGGTTTCTGTCAACTGCCCACACCACGGGGGCGAGGCGGATTCCTGGAGGCGTTGCTGCTAGATGCGCCACAACTCGTCGCCATTCTATTATTACCGCCCCGCGGTGCGATAGTTGGAGGGAGTTGATCCTTGCTCCTAATAAACAACCCGTGCCAATTTAGACTCGAGCGGCTGAGCAGCCCAAAGAGGGCCTTTTACGGGTCTGATTGTAGGGCTGCTCGGGCTAGTTGGCTAGTGAAGCGTGAAGCGTGAAGTGTGAAGCATGAAGCTGCCTGGACCACGTCTCTCACGTCTTTCTCTAGGTACCCACTGTAGCCGGTGGCGCTCAGCTGGACTGACTCAGAAAGCTCAAGCCTCCCAAGCAGTCTCATCGGCTGGCGTATTTTTTCGTCTTGTCGTTTTCAGCTGGTTTCCCGTTACGGAGGACGGGTCTGAACTTTTCAGGAGGGAGTGTTGCAGGCTGGATGGCAGAGAGCATATAATGCTCCGTATACAAATTACCCACTCCTTATATGATGGCCAAGAATAATTTCATTCATTGACGCAAACAACCCACCGTCGCACAGCTTGCCCCGTCGCCCCAGTCTGTTCAACAAGTTAGAGCACCAGACAATTCTTTCGATCGGCAGGGTTCGCCACCACAACTGGCTTTGCACGCGGCACCCCTGTATTCATGCATGTCCAATATTTGCTGTACCAGTTGTTCCTCAGTGCAGTGCTTCTATGGCAAAAGGCCACATCTGGTGACTCTCTGCAACGCCAACCCATGAATCTGGTTCACACCACGATTCTGGGGCAAGGCTTGCAGCTCTCTCGAAAATAGTCTAGTATACTTTGATCAATTTTCATCGTCTTGCGCTGCTCTTATAAAATGGCAGCGTTGCCCTCGACTTCTGCTCACGATGCGCTAAAAGTTACTAAGCGGTGCTCTTTAACCCTTCTTTGCTCTACCCAACTGTCATAGTGTCGCCAACTGTTGATTACAAAAATATTCTTTAATTCTTCTAACCATCGATTCCATTATAATACCAGAATGTCTACTAAAGTGAGCGTTACACCTCAAGACTTGCATAAGAAACAGACTTCCAATCAGCTGACATGTACCAACCCTAGATTGTGAGCCAGCAAGAATGGATCGAGGCAAGCAAAGAGCTTCTCGAAAAAGAAAAGGAGCTCATGCGCGCCGCCGACGCGCTCAGCGCCGCCCGTCGCAATCTGCCCGTGGTCCAAGTGGACAAGCCCTACGCATTCACAGTCGCCGGCCGCAGCGACCCCCTCTCGCTCGGCCAGCTCTTTGACGGCATGGACCAGCTCATCATCTACCACTTCATGTTCGCACCCGACGACGCGCGAGGCTGCCGCGGCTGCTCCCACGTTGCCGAGTCCCTGCCCGACGTGCGTCGCCTGCGCGCCCGCCGCACCCAGCTGGCGTGCGTGTCGCGCGCGCCGCCGGAGAAGCTCGACGCCTTTAAACAAAAGTGCGGCTGGACATTTCCCTGGTACTCGACCGCGGCGGACGCCAGCAACCAGTTCAACCGCGACTTCAACGTCTCCATTGACCAGCGTGGTGCCGCCGAGGGGGCGCCGCCCGATGCGCCGGGTAGCTTGTTCAACTTTCGGAGCAAGGCGGAGCTGGAGTCTCTCGGAAAGAAGCCGTACACGGGTGAGTACTTTGGCTTCAGCGTGTTTGTCAAGAATGAAAGGGGCGAGATTTTTCACACCTACTCGACGTACGGAAGAGGGGTGGAAAGGGTCAGTTCTACTTTTGCGTTGCTCGACATCACGCCTTTGGGAAGGCAGGATGAACCGGGAGGACCCGGGGCGTTCAAAGTCAAGTACGAGTATGAACAGGACTCTTGAACTGGACGCGCTGATACAGGCTCATGAACTGCCTCAGTTTTGAAACGTGTATTTTTGTCCTCGTTTCCCACGATAATAATTGAACCAAAACATAAAATCAGAAAACCTGCCAAAGAATGAACGCCCGCCAATCCGACGCAGCAATGCCTTGCTGCTTTATAATGCATCATATTATGTTACAACAACTATCCGTACCTCTTTACTTTTCCAGAATCGCACCCAGCCCCCACAGTGCAACACAGCCCACCAGCGCCGTCGCGCCAATAGCCTTGCGCGTGAGCCAGTTCTCCGTCGTGAGCGCCGTTGCGCCCTGCAGCTTGCGCGCTGAGCCGACAGCAGCACCCGTCGGCGCGCTGACGGGCGCTGACGCGGCTGAGTTGTTGGCGTGATGCGCGACGACCTCCGCGGCCGCCTTGGCGCGTAGCAGCGCAATGGTCTTGCCGAGGCCGCGCAGCTCCTCGTCGAGAGCCTGGTCCTGCGCGCGGTCCACCTCGACCTTTTGGATGTTGCCAAAGAAGTCGGTGATGAGACGGCTGCGCGCGCCATCGGCGCCGCCGGGAAACAGGTCGTAGCGGACGCCGGCGTTGGAGTGGATCTTGTCAAAGTCGTAGCTGTCAAACAGCTCGCCGACCGTCTGCTGGCTGTTCATGTCGCGGACCTGCGACTCGAGGAATTCGAGGTTGTAGTATGTGTAGCGGTCGATGACGGCCACGCCGACGTCGTTGTCGGCGTGGTGCGAGTAGGACGACTCGTCGAGCTCGGAGGAGCCGGTCGCAATGATGTTGGGCGAGTAGAGGCGACTGTACATGGTGTTTGCCTGGCAAGTGTCGATCATGAAGAGGATCTCGTGGTATCTGGCGGGTTGTCAGCAACAGGGCCGAGCGCGCGCCGGGGGATTGCGCGAACAAGCTCACCTCTTCTTCTCCCACATCTGCTCAAAGGCGTGCGCCAAGTCAAAGGCTCCAATCTCCTCGGCGTCCTGGAACTTGAGGAACTCGTTGCCGCCGTGGCCCGTCATGTAGACGAGAATGTTGCTGCGCTCGTCGGTGAGCAGGCGCTTGGAGCGGGGCATCTCGTCGCCGACGCGGTCCGTCAGCAGGCGGATAAAGTTTTCGACCGTGACCTCGTAGCCGCGGTAGTCGACCTCGATGTTGTCGCCGTACAGGTCGACGGCGCGGTCCGAGTTGCTGTAGACGGTGCCGGGGAAGGCGTTGCGCGGGTTGCAGGCCATGTCGTCGGGCAGCATGAGGATGATTTGCGAGTCGGGGATTCCGAGGCGCTTGACGGTGCGGTAGATGGAGAGGACGTTGGCGAGGTGCCGGTAGTTGAACCAGAAGCGCGACGTGCAGACGAGAACGGCCCAGTTGCTGGTGTGCTCGGCAAGGGCGGTGCTTGCGAACAGGAGCGAGGCCAGGACGGCGGCCTGCAGCCCCGTATTCCACTTCATTGCGCAAGTCGGGTCCCTGTATAGTATTTGAGGAGGAAAGGAGCGTGGCGATTGGTGAGATGGCGTTGAGAAGTGTCGATGGATGGTGCTATGTGTTTAGGTAGTCTTGTAGGGGTGTGGAGGTCTCTGGCGACCTTGCTGGAGTGGACGTTGAAGCCAGCTTACAAATGTGCGGGGAGATGTTCAGCGGTCACTGTCCTGTCACTACACCATCAGTATGTCCGGATATCTGATTGAAATTTGGCAGCGGTCAATTACTACCAGAAATTGAATATATATCTGTGTGTATGTATTTTCAAGTGTCTGCTTTGGCTTCAGCTGAGTAGAGACAGGGCGCTCCATTTACTTTCACCAAGTCCAACCGGCGTACCCTATAGCAGACCGACTGCATGTGAAAGGCTACTTTATGCCGCGTTCGACTCTTTATCAATGAAATTCCAAGGTTCTTTAGAAGTTAATTCCATCATTTTAAAGCTCTGTGATCTGGCTGCCATTAAGGGAATGGGGCTACAGCAATTCGTGAGCACTGCTGAGAGCCTTGGTCTCGTTGGTGGTGATGTGAATACGGAGGCATTTGGGCACAATATCCGGTCGACGACGAAAGATGGCGGCAGCGTTCTCGGTACTTTTGTTTGAAACACACGGCCGTTTTGCCGATGTCTCGAGTACGAAAAGCCTAAAAAAGGCCTCTTGCTCCCCCAATTGACCATTCCACAGCTTCGCCGAGAAAGTTGTGCCAAAGCCTGTGCTGTCCGCGTCGAGATCCAATTTACCCCCAGGATTGGATCGGGCCTTCACTGCAGCAGCCCGGCCCGGCTCTGGGTCACCGAAAAGCTTTGCCAGCTTCCGAGTGGTTGCGCTGGGCTGAGCGTCTATATTTGAGCATCTTATGGTTGCTCTGGAATGTCCTCCGCATGCTGCCAAGAACTGCGACTGGGCGTCAGCTGTATGTCTGCATGATGCAAGTACTGGCACCTCTGTTGTCGCTTCAAACACGTCTCGCGCTGCAATCAGCCTTTGCTCACCGGGAGATGTCTCTTGGTGAATGAAAAGGCGGGAATGGTCAAGGTTATAACAGTTTTCGCCGACCGAGCGTGTCGGGGCAGACCACTATGTGGACAGCCGTCGAGCGCGCTGCAGCCTGCATGTGGCTTGATTGACTATGAAAGCTCTTCAAACGCTCTGGAACGGTCGACAAGTGATGATCACCTCGTGTGCCGTCCTGAGCGGCTGACGAGGCTGCTTGCTGGGCCTGCTGACAATCTCACGGCGAATTTCCACACGCAGCCTTGTTGCAGAGCTTGGCAATGCAATTTCACTGGATAGTGCAGCGGGTGCAAGGGGCTTGTCTCGGGAGCGGGAAAGAATCGCGTGCGTAGCCGCCTTGAATGTGAAGTGAACGAAGTACAGAGTAGTTACCCCATTACAGGTTACGGATACCGAGTATTCTGGCTCAATCGGCGTTTCGACATATTCATTCTTCTATTCCATTTTTTCCTCATTTGACTCCTTTACCTAGATGACCACCACTACCGCCTCCATGGCTTATATGGCCGAATTTCCGAGCCGCGTCTTCAGTACATGCCCCGTACCGCCACCAAGTCATCATGTCGTGTTGTGGGATGCCAATGTTTGGAGGGGGGCATGGGGGGCGATGCCACCTTCTCAGCTAAAAATACACTGTGCAGATAGATACTTACTGGGAGACCGAGACAAAGACAGCGCACTCTGCAGCAGATCATATCCACAGCGAGCCTTGTTGCTTTGCTAGCATTTGAACGAGCGAGCCAACCTCGGGAGCACTGCCAAGAAGGGACATGTTGGTCTCTTTGCTGAAGCCAATGATCAGCCCTCTGTATCCAATCTATTCTCCGCTCATCAGCCCAATTGTCAGCCTTAGCTGTCTCTAGTTTCGCTGTCGTTTGGTAGTGTGGCTATCGGTATCCGGGCAGTGTGCCTCGTGTGTAGCTGCGGCCAGGGGGCGGTGAATATTACATTGTATTTTTCATGTTTTTGTTATTCGTTGCTGCAGAGAGACATAGTGAACGAGACATGAGCATACGGCCCCCGTTTGTTTGCCTTGGGCTGGGCTGCACGGCGCGTGGCTCCGGAACGAACATGGGGACTTTATTGTCTTCTCAGGCCCGCCAACCTGCCTTTGGCTGCATGCATGCCAGAGAGAGGAGGGCTATTACATATACCTGGCAGGCCCGTGTTACTGGCACTCCTGGTTGAATTGTGTTTCCCTCCCCCAAAATAGAGTCTACTCGTTCGATTCCTGCAGAGATCCTTCGCACCAGACAGCGAGATGCTCGGAATGCTCCTCTCCGCGGTGGTGCTGTTGTTGGCCTCGGCGGTCCAACCAGTCGCTGCCAACCGATCGGAAGATATGCCCATTTGCGACTACTATGCCAGGAACAAGTACGGCGAAAACAACAAGACCACTCAGCTCAAGCTCATGGCGAGCATCGTCGCGCTGGCCTACGCGGGGGGCAACGGGCTGAATGCCAGCCACTCGGACAACACAGGCATTTTCGGATACGGCTCATTTCAGGAGAAACCCGTCCGTCTGGCTGGGTATTTTGATGGAACCAGTAGGAAAAAGCCCCGTCTTGTATCGAGTACTACAAAAGGATAGTAACACCCGTGTTTAGAGCAAACTGCCAACTTCAACGGCAATCCATCGGCGCTCAACTTCCTCGACGGCGGCGGCGTGAACCCCTTGACTGATTATCTCAATGGCAGTTCCTCCTTGATTCCCGACATTAAGCAAGGTACCAATCAATAGTATGCAACAAGACATTACATTGCAGCTGAGAGATTTGATATTGATATTGACATGTTTTTCTAGTACTCTTTTTACACATTGGTATGTTGCCTTTGGTCGCATCTATGGATGCAGCAAGGCCGAAGAGTTTCTCGACAAAAAATACAGAACTCTCACCCCAGCCTACGTTCACAAATACATGAACCTCCAGAAGCACGAGATTGGGTATTTCATTCACCAGCTCATCCTGGCTAGCTCGCATTTTGGCTTCGCTGCCCAAGACGCCGACACCCTCGAAACATTGATGAACAGCCGGTACAACCTCAAGTGCAAGGCCGCGGAAAACGGCACTCTCACCTCCATCTGCCTGAACAACAACTGCCCGCTCGCAGTCGATAAACCCGACTGCAAAGCCTATGACGACATTAAACAATACGCTGGGGAGAACACGGCCCCGCCAACACCCGGCGCCACGGGCACCTCGTCTGCCTCGCCGCCCAGCGACGGCGGAAAGTCTGACCTCGGTGGCGGTGCGATTGCAGGCATTGCCATTGGCGCGTTTGCCGGTCTCAGCCTCATCATCGGCACCCTCTGGTTCTTCTTCCGGAAGAGGCGCGGCGACAGCGACGCCGCGCAGCGCCCCGACAGCCTCGCCGTGTCGCAGACGACGGGCGGCTACCACAACCCGCCGGCCATGTACTCGCCGGCCATGACGACGCAGACCCCCTTTGAACAGGGTAGCCCGGTGACGACCTACGACCCGAGCCGCCAGAGCCAGTTTACCTTTTTCTCGCAAGGCCGCGACTCTCACGTAGCAGCCAGCAGCCCGCCGCCGCCGGGCTGGACCGAGATGGCGCCGCAGGAGCTCGACGCCGCGGAGCTGGGACCGAGCCGGCCCACGTCACCGGGACTAGGCGCCGTAAGCGGCTCGCAGACAAAGACGGGGTATAAGCCGGACTTGCATGAGGCGTTTGAGATGGAGAGTCCGCCCCCGCGGCTCGACGCACGGGACCAGACAGGGCCCCATGAGGGGGAGCAAAAGCCAGGGCACGGACGTTGAGAAAATGGACATTGACGTGTAGATAATTGGGGACTATTTTTGTGACATGACGTTTAATGGATGGAGCTGCGTATACCTAACACAATGGATTTTGCCCATTTTGCAGTTGATGCCTCGCATTCTTTTCTTGACAATTCATCACTTGTACGTACGACTGCCTACTTACACGACTACTTTTACCAGCGCTAATCTGCGAAGTACAAGTCTCAATGTGATTATATGACTTTTATTTGGACAAGAATATCAAAACTGGCTGCAAATGCAATAAGAGACGTAGCAAGTGATTCTAGCGCCCGAGTTTGGTTTTAAGGGAACTATGCTGTATTACATCAGTCCATCTGGTAACCCGAGGAGATGTATCAGATAGATGTCAGGCAAGACATGGTTCGGGAAGCAGGCAGCCCCCACCATGCTACCTGCTAATAATAGCAGACGATTCACAGTGAACTCTTTACCTTGCAGGAAATACGCCGTACTTGTCATGTCATTCTTTACTTTAGCTATGGGTAGTATCGTATCGTAGGGTGTGTACATTGCTTTGGGCACTAAAATTCAGTTTACTGCCACGATTTTACCAAGGAGCTGCACCGTTGACAAGTAGTGGTGTTGGTGCACCCGAGACCGAGCAATTAGCCGCAACGTGACGAGCGAGCACTTTCCGAAGAGCGCGTGAAGGTTTTGCCTCGATATAAAGTGACGGGCTCGCGCCTGGTGCTACCGCTGCTGGTCGCGTTTGCGTCGGCTGATGACGTCTTGTTTGGCACGGGTGACGACCTAGAGGTTGGAGGGTGAAGCTGCCGCGGCGGGACAGGGATAAGACGTATTTCTTTCTTCTTCTTGCTAGTTACGGCGCTCAAACTGTTTCCGCGTTGGAAACGTGCGAAGCATGGGCATATCAATGCGCAGCGGGTGGCGGCATGAATCACCATGCTGATGCAAGCTTAATTATAAATACGGAGTATCCGTACTATTTTCAGGGCTCATCTCGGTAGTTCTGTTTCGCACACGTATTCGGGTTGCCGGCGGCTATCTACCAGTAGCTAATCCAACAGCAAGTCGACGAGTCCACGTGTACGGAGTAATGACGACAGACCTCAGAGCCTAGAGGCGTCCGGGGCCTTTTTTTTTTTTTTTCCTCTCGTCACAAGGCAGCACTTTGTGTTTTCATCGTGTGTACTAATAGAGGGCCTGTTTGTAGCAAACCCAGGTTGAACTAATGGGCAAGTTAATACATGGAGAGAATGGAGCGACCCAGAGAAAAATCGATGGCGACAATGGACGAAACGAGAGGGGAGGGGAAAAAAGTACAAGCAAAACATGTGTCACATGCAATATTTCCAAGTGCTCTTGTTGGAGCGCTGAAAAATGCTTGACGGCCATGACTGGTGACAAGTCAAGCCACTATTATTTAGGAGCTAGCTACCTCAAGGCTTGAGTCTTGAGTCGCGAGTTACTCGCAACTAGCTTGCCATACATGCCATTAATTCCAAGCCATCACCAAAAGAGTCGCCGTCTCATAAATCTTTCCCTATGGTAGGTAGGTAGCCTCTGTCTCGTGGACCTCGACCAGCCCACATCTTGTCCCCTCGTCCCCTCGTCGCAGTCTTTTCCAGTTCCCAGTGCTTCCCCTCGTCTCGTGAAACCCTGCTTCCCTCGCACTCGTTTCCCCTCGTTTCCTGTTTCCTCCCATCCTCTCTATTGCCTAGTAGTCTCTGCCGCCATCCCGCGTCTCGCGTCTTCCATCGATCAACCTCGCCCGCCAGACGCCTTTTTAGCTTCGATCCTATCCCAACGCCGGCGTTTGCCTTCCAACTCCAATCCCCGACAGCCCGAAGCCCGAAGCCCACACATCACCTGCGCGCCACCATCCATCCCATCCATCCCAAGTCGGCACACATCTTGGGCTAGCAACTCCCCTCCCTCCCCTCCTCCTCCTTCATCACCTAGCTGCCATCGTCAAAGCTTGCGCACGCCCGCGCCGTTGGTTGCCGCAGGCACGCCTTTCAAAGCGTAGTGCTACCTTGTCCATTTTCAAAAACCGCGTGGCTCGCTGGGCGGCCTTTGTTTGCTTGCCACTTTGGCTACGTGAAGCTGCGGCCGTCTTGCGCCGCTAGTTCTTTGAGCTAGCCGCCAGCCGATTTATATATATACCCGCTTGCCTACAACACTTTGGACAAGTCAAGTTTGCTGGAAACTTGACGCTGTCGCTTCCGGCGCAAAATCATGGTCGCGCCACCCTCACACATCTTTGTCGTCCGGTTCGTGCTGCTCTCGCCTACCAGGCTCCCCGCGCCGCATTTCACTAATTCAAACTCCGCAGACATGGAAACCGCCTAGACGCCGCCGATAAGAAATGGCACCTCACATCTCCGACTCCCTACGATCCTCCCCTGACCTACTCTGGCCTGCAGCAGGCTCGACAAGTCGGCAACTACATCAGCGGCATCCTCGAGCAGGTCAAGCTCGAACACGAAGCTAAGAATGAAGGCAACCCCGGTTTCAAACGCAGACGCTTTAGAGTCGTTATTCACACCTCACCTTTCCTGCGATGTGTCCAGACCTCCGTCGGCATTAGCTCCGGCCTTGCCCAGCTTCCTGCCGAATCGATATACAACCCCTCCGACATCATCGTCCCACCCCATGCCGCCAAGGGCCAGACCAACAAGCTCAAGACTGCTGTGCTTCGCATAGACTCCTTCCTCGGCGAGTGGCTGTCGCCCGAGTATTTCGAAATGATCACCCCGCCTCCTGGGCCTGCCCTCATGCTGGGTGGCGCCAAAGCCGAGCTCCTGCGGCGCGAGGACTACAGCTACTACAGCTTTGCCGAGCCGCCTCCGCCGCCTCAACCTACACAGAAGTTGTGGCAGTCTCCAAAACTACGGCCCGTCGATGCGCCTCAATCTCCTGCCGATGAATCTCCTGCCGATAACAATGGTAGCCCCATCCTCGGCGCCGCGTCGTTGGCAGCCGCGTTGCCTGGCACACCAGGCCCCAAGAAGGGCTACGTCCCCCCAAGACCCAGTCCCCCGGTCCCCGGCGCGGGCAGCATACCCGAAGGAATCGTGGCCCACGCTAGAGACACTTGCGTCAGTGTAGACTTCCAATGGGACTCTATGCGCGAGCCGCTCGACTTTGGCGATGGCGGCCAGCTGGGCGAGGAGTGGATTTCCATGCACAAGCGTTTTAGAAAAGGACTGCGGAAAATTGTCAATTGGTACGCCAGCACAGATAATGCTGCCGAGATGGTCACGACGATGAATTCCGACGGAGACGACCACACCCTCGACGCTACCGACGATGAAGAAATCGAGACTGTCTTGATTCTGGTATCACACGGCGCGGGCTGCAATGCTCTCATGGGTGCCATCACTCACCAGCCCGTGCTCATGGATGTCAGCATCGCCTCCGTTACCATGGCCCAACGCCGGGCCCACGTCAACTACCAACGACTTCGCAGCGAGCTGGCCAAGCAGCCCGAGGTCCAGCCCCTTGTCGCAGTCGACGATCTCTACGAGATTAGAACATCCGCTACCACCGAACATTTGCAGTCTACAGTATCTACGCCCAGCTCCGTGAGATCTGTCTCGGCAAATAATGCCTGGAATCCTCACGCCCGCGGGCGCACGTCATCCTTTAGCAACAGCAGCGGCGCTGTCATTAGCCCATTTACCTACAACAGTGACGCTTTTGCCATTTCTGAGACTCCCGCGACTGGCGGTAACCCTCTCACTGCCAGTGCCGCGGCCGAGAAGATGGCTCGCCGAGAGTCGTCGCAGAAGTCCATCCGAAGTGCCTTCAACGGCGCTGGCAATATCATCGCCGCGCGCAGCAAGAGCACCAGAAGCAACAGCAGCTCCAGCCTGAACAACGAAGTCAAACTCGGGCGCCCGCCAAGCTCCAACAGCAATACCGCCACCGGTCTTTGGGCACCGGCCCGGTCCTCTCTCCGTCTCATGGACGACAACGTGGACGAGGACTCGGACCCCTTTGACACAGTCCTGCCCAACTTTGGCAGTTTCAGCGCCACATCGACGCCGCCAGGCGAGGAGCAGAAGAAGAAGACAATGCCGCCAACCTTTGGATCCGATTTCCCGTCCTCCACCAGCTACAGCACCTCGTCGGGCGGTCCCGTCCAGGCGCCGTTTGGCCGTTTTGGCGCTGTCGACTCGACCGCGTCCTCGGTGGCGGGCACGCCCATGTTTGCCGGCCCAATCAAGCTGCAGACGAACCTGGACAAAGATGACGTGATTCTGCCGCCCGAGGAGGTCATTGCCACGCCCCTCGGCGGCGGCTTCGGCGGGCTCTGGGGTCGCCCGACTCCGCCGAGCGATGCCGACAAGTTTCGCGACATGAGCCACACCAAGCGACGCTGGACAGTTAACGAACGCCCCCTCTAAAACTTGTATGGCTCTTTATATTATACCCCTAACTCTACTCCGATTTCTTCGCACAACACGGGTCACCAATACTCGGCTAGCTTTGCACCTTTTTTTATATATCTGTTTTAATATTCATATGCGCTGGCGTATCTTGGGAGTCTTGTCACTTTTTTGTTTAGAAAATGGGCACTGGCAAAATTGCAAAATGAGGTTTTTGATGCCACGCTAGCCGTGACCAATATGGTGGTTAGCGAGCAGGTAACAGGTACATGGCGAGTAGCCATTTAACGAGCGATATGAAAAGCGCATAAATTTGTAATGATATTCATACCTGCCTCAACACGTAATGGCCCTCTCTTTGTGAAGTATTGCATGTCAAGATGTTGCCTTGCTGGTGGTCCCATGCTACGGTGCAAAAGATGCTAGATGTGAAGAATAAATGGAAAAAAGATAACTCGTTACTAGCTCCTAAGCGAAATCATACATGACCAGACAAATGAAATCAGTTTCTCCGATTTTATAATACACCAGAAGGCGACTTGGTCCTTGTCCCTCCTTCTGATATCAGTTGCGATCCAACCATGACATCATAAATTGTTTTTGTTTTCTGCTGTATTTCTTTTCTTTAAATCTTGCTCTTGTCGGCAGAGACGAGCTCGGCAGCGGCGCCGGCAATAGAAGGCTTGCCAGTCTCCTTGACCTTGGAGGTGAAGATGACCTTGTTGCCCTCCTTCCACATCTCGGTGATGATGGTCTGGCCGGGGTCAACGGTGCCGGCGAAGCGGACCTTGATGTTCTTGATGGGGCCGAACCTGCAACGTCACGTTAGCGTACTTGTACGGAGCTTGAGGGGTTAGTCACAGCCGACGTACTTGTCGTAGATGGCCTTGCCGGCGATTCCGAAAGAGCAGAGGCCGTGCAGGATGGGCTTCTTGAAGCCGCCCATCTTGGCAAAGGCGGGGTCCACGTGAAGAGGGCTGATGCAGGGTTAGCAACGGTTCGCAAAAAGAAAGCGTTGTGCAGAGTTGCTTCTCTTTTTCAAAAAGACGTACTTGTAGTCGCCGCTGAGGCGGTAGATGGCGGCCTGGTCCGGGTGGACGTACTCCTCGTGGACGTGGTCCGGGGCGCGCTTGGGGGGCACGTTGGCGGCCGTGGCGGCGCCGCGGTCCGCGGGCTGCTTCTGTCCGTCGAAGCCGCCGGCGCCGCGGAGGAAGACGGTCATTTCGTTGTAAAAGACCTCCTCGCCCGTCTCGGCAAGGGTGGTGGTGATGGCCGTCTTGACGACGGCGGCCTTGCCCTTGTCGACGGCCTCGAGCAGGCGGCCCCTGCTCACGAGGTTGGCACTCGTGGGCAAGGGGAACTTGCGCACCTCGAGGTACTGCTCGCCGTGCAACAGCGTCATCGGGTTGAAGTTGGGCACAATCTTGTCAAAGGAGAAGCCGACGTCGGCCGTCATGGCGGGGATGACGCCGTACGTGGGCAGCAGCTGGAAGTTTTCTGCGCCCTCGCTATACGCGCGCACGGTTGGGTTAGCAGATTGGCACGAGTAGGTGGGCGTGCGCGGTACGGGAAGCTTACAAGACGTAGTCGAGCTCAGTGGCCTTGGCGCCGACACCAATGTTGTACAGCAGAGTGTCGCGCTCCTCGTATGTGAAGGGGGTGGGAGCGCCCTCAGTCTTGAGAGCCTCGTCAATGGCAGCGAGGTACTCGTTGGCGGGAGCGGCGCTGGCAGCCTGTTGCTCGCACAAAAAACACATTAGCATACGATCCAAACGGTATGCATATTACATGCGCGAGTTGAAATGGTGATGATAAAATACATGTTGTGTTCATTCTAATTCGTATATGGTTCTACATCAAGGAAAGGTAGGGTCAAACTCATACCTTGCTGCTGCCGGCCTTGTTCTCCAGGTTGCCCATGATCTTGCCAAACGAGTCGGTGGTTCGCTCGGGGTTCTCGGCGCGGCCGTCCTCAAAGTCGGTAATGGCCTTCCAGTTCTTGACCACCTCCTCAGGTGTCAGAGGCACGTCGACGGGGAAGCCGTGGCCGCCGGCCTGCTGCCAGCGGGTCTTGCCGGCCCAGCCGCTGCCGACCTCGTAGAGGCCGCCGGTGGGGTCGGGGCAGACGTCGCTGCAGAGGGCGAGGATGAGAGGCGCAATGTAGTCGGGCTTGAAGGACTCGAGCATCTCGGGGGTGAAGACAGCCTTGGTCATGGCGGTGCCGGCGTTGGGGGCAATGGTGTTGACGTTGATGTTGTACTTGGCACCTTCGATGGCAAGAGCACGGGAGAAGCCGAGGATACCGCATTTCTGTCGATTGTTAGTTTATGATGCGCGCGACTGTTTAGATGGGTACATACGGCAGCGGAGTAGTTGGCCTGGCCAAAGTTGCCATAGATACCACTAGTGGAGGTGGTGTTGATGACACGGCCGTACTTCTGCTTAAGAAAGTGAGGCCAAGCGGCCTTGGTGACCTTGTAGGTACCACGAAGGTGAACGTTGAAGACGGGGTTCCAGAGGCTGTCATCCATGTTGGTGAAGGCCTTGTCGCGAAGGATACCAGCGTTGTTGACAACAACGTCAATGCGGCCAAAGGCATCAATGGCAGCCTGGACGACAACATCGCCGTCTTCGGCAGAAGCCTTGACACCAACAGCCTTGCCGCCGGCCTTCTTGATCTCGTTGACAACATCGTCAGGGTTGACGAGATCGTTGATAACGAGCGAGGCACCAGCCTTGGCAAAGGCGAGGGCGTAGGCACGGCCAATACCGGCGCCGGCACCGGTGATGAGAACGACCTTGCCGGTGTAGTCAATCTTTTCGCCCTGCTCGCTGGGGGGCAGCTGGGCGGAGCGCTCGGAGAGCTCGATGAAGTTGTTGGGCTCCGCGGGGAAGGTGGAGTTGCTGGAGAAGTCGACGACCTTGTCCCAGTTCTTGATGATGGCGCTGGCCGTGTAGGAGGCGTCGGGCTTGAGGAGCAGACCCTCGGCGCGCTGCCAGCGGAGCTTGGCAGCGAAACCGCCACCGACCTCGTAGATGCCGCCCGTGTCACCGGTGTTGCTCTTGTGGGTGAGGACACCGACGACGGGGACGACGAACTCGGGCTTGAGCGCCTCGAGCAGCTCGGGGGGGAAGACGGTGCTGGTCAGACGTGACGCGGCTACGCTCGGTTAGCGGGTTGCTCGATGGAGGGCGAAGAAGAGAAACTAGCGACTTGGAGGAAATTGTGCGTACCAATGGGGGCAATGACGTTGCAGAGAATGTTGTACTTGAAGCCCTCCTTGGCAAGGGTCTCGGTGAAGCCGACAAGGGCGAGCTTGGCGGCTGAGTAGTTGGTCTGGCCAAAGTTGCCGTAGAGGCCGGCGGCCGAGGCAGTGTTGATGACGCGACCGTACTTTTGCTTGCGGAAATGGGGCCAGGCGGCGCGGGCGACCTTGTAGGCGCCGTAGACGTGGACGCGCATGATGAGGTCCCAGTCCTGGTCCTTGAGGTTCTTAAAGCTGGTGTCGCGGAGGATGCCGGCATTGTTGATGACGACGTCGACACGGCCAAAGGACTGGATGGCCGTGTCAATGATCTTGTCGCCAAACTCGACCGAGTCGTAGTTGGAGACGGCCTTGCCGCCGGCGGCCTTGATCTCATCGACGACGACGTCGGCAGCCTGGAAACAAGATGGGAGATTAGTCTTTGCTTTTTTGTCGGGTTGTCACCGGCGGCAATGGGCCAGGGTTCATTCCCGAGATACCCGGGTAGTGCGGGCGCGGCTGCGAACCGGGCCGGGGGGTCGGGAAAGCAGTCGGGAAAGCACGTACCTTGGCCGAGTTGCCTTCACCGGTGAAGGAGCCGCCGAGGTCATTGACGACGACGCTGGCACCGCGCGAGGCGTAAAAGAGGGCGTAGGCCTTGCCGAGGCCACCACCAGCGCCGGTCACGACGACGACCTGGCCGTCGTATCGCAGCTGCTCAGACATGATGCAATGTGGGTTGATGTGAGGAGAGGGGAGAAGGATAGAAGAAGAGCCAACTTGTCAATCTCGAGGGGATCAGTCAAGATGGACCACAAGAGATAAGCGGGATGATAGGAAGTGAGAGGGGTATCAGAGATGGAAAATAGGGAAGTGGAAGAGGGAAAAAGAAGAGGTTCGGCGATTGGGAAAGATGAAATAGCCAGCCGGGGGTCTTCTTAAAGCAAACGAGGTGAATGGGAAGCTCTGGGTGTACGAGGGCCGACTGCGACAAGCAGCAGGCCAAAAGCCTCGGTTCACAAGCTGCGGGTACCGAGGGGCCTTGGGGCCTTAGTAGCCTGTGGGGCGCGCCATTAGCACCATTCCGCTTCGGGGGCGGGCTTTGAGCTTCACATGCTAGGACGCCTGGCCATGATGACCTGCAGATGAGATGTGCACGCGGCCAGAGTCCTTTTGACGCTTTAATTATTAATAATAAAAGTACAATAAACGCAGAGGATGAAATTTAAAAAATCTCATCGGCTGCGTAGTGTCCGTCCCTCTCCATATCCTCTGACCCCAGCCAATCCAGCTCCGCCCCAGAAAACTCCCGGGCCAATGAGCCGGGCTACATCATCAGCATCGGCTGCCGGAGCGCTGCTAGTTTGTACTACCGAATTAGCTCCAGGTGCTATTATAAGGCGTATAGTAGCCTGTAGGCAGGCTACCAGCTGCACAAGGTCCTGCCTTTACATGTGTCTCCTATGTAGCCTGCCCTTTGTCCACACACCACCCGACCGGAGAATAGCAAGCATGCACCTTGTCCGTAAATTTCGCCGTCCTTTCTATTACTCTGTCTTCATACTCCGTTCCGAGAAGCATCTTGACACATCCCCGTTCCTAGCCGGAGACCTCCATCGTCATCATTGCCCGCCGTCGCCGTTCTAGTTACTTCCCCAGATCCCAGCTTCTCAGGTTTCAAAGTCAGAAAAAAAGAAACGAAAGCCCATCGCTCTCCACAAAGATTCCGTTTCCCTTCCACGTCTCTGCCGCACACCCATCGCCCACCGTTTACCCCACAACCCCGGGCCCGGCTACCAAGTCGCCTATATCCAACCACCACACCCACGACCCACCACATCATCACCCCCACACATGGCTGTCGTAGCCCCGGACCAATCTTGTCAACCCCAACCCTTTATTTTTGCGCGCAAAGCCAATATAGCCCGCAATGCCGACTGCCTTTGTCGATGACAAGGCTCCCATCTGCGTGCCATTTATCCTCGAGCATCTCGCCGCGCACCGAGCCCGTCACGCCAAAGCCGATGCCGCTGCCACCACCCCGCCTCTGGTCGTCGGCCTCAACGGCATCCAGGGCGCCGGCAAGACCACGCTTGTTGCCGCCTTGACGGCCGCGCTCGTCCAAAGCTCCGTGCACGCCATCGTCTGCAGCATCGACGACTTTTACCTCACCCACGACGACCAGACTGCGCTCGCGGCGCTGCACCCCGACAATGCCCTGGTCCAGCACCGCGGCGAGCCAGGTACGCCGGACCAGTATACCGCAACACATGCCCGCCATGCGCTCACCATCCAAACGTTGCCCGCTAAATGAAATCAATAGGCACCCATGACGTAGCCCTCGCGACGCAAGTCTTTGCAGACCTCATCCGGGGCCAGCCCACCAAGCTGCCTCTCTACGACAAGGCCGCTTTCCACGGCCGGGGCGACCGCCTCCCCGAATCCGCCTGGCTGCCCGTCAACCAACCCGGCCAGCCCCCCATCGACGTCCTGATGCTTGAGGGCTGGTCCGTTGGCTTTCGGCCCGTCTCCGACGACGAGGTCCAACGCCGCTGGAAGGCGCCCAGCCGCACGCTCCAGTCACACCAGCTCGAGCACCTCATATTCGTCAACCACCACCTACGTGCCTACGATGCCCTGACCAATCTATTCCATGTCTTCATTCAAATTGACGCCGAGGACACCCAATACGTATACACCTGGCGGGCGGAGCAAGAGGACCATCTCCGACTCATTAAAGGTGATCCCGATGCCGGCATGACCAACCAACAAATCATCCAGTTTGTCGACGGTTATTTCCCCGCCTATGAGTTATATACCGATGGCGTTCGATCCGGCATATTTTCTCATCGCCCGGGCTGCCAGCTTCGCATGATAGTAGGGCCTGATAGATGTGTCAAGCAGGTGGTACGCATATAATAGTGCTACTTCAGAATGCTCTTCTCCATTACATGTATACGTTTAGCAAATCCGCCCCTCCCTTATTCGGCAGCAGAGTCATCATATCCTCATAAATCGTAGCTCATAACTCGTAGCACAGCCAGCAAATTGTGTATATGGCTCCCTCATCCACGACGACCTCCTCCAACCACCTTCATACCATCCTCGCGCATTTTCTGAAGCTTCTCGTCAATCTTATCAGACCGCCGCCTGACTTCTGCTTCGCGCGCAGCAGCCTCGAGCTCAAAACTGTCTACAATGCGCCGTTTAGACTGCCGAGCCGCCGTCAGTTTCCACATTATACCTGTGAATTGTTCCGAGAGCCAGTTCCCCGCCGATTCCCACTCGTCCACCGACATGTCGCCAAAGAATCTTTGCTGTTCGACGCTTCCCATGTGTCGCATTTGCGCCAGCCTCTGGTTCCCATCACCACTATGCCCGTCCGAGTTGCCTGACGCGCTCGCCGTCGCCGGGTCGAAATCAAATGGTTGTTCAAGAAGCTCTTGGTACTCCATTGTGTTCAGTGCCTGGTCGTCGTAGTCTAAGCTTTTGCGGCGTCTTTTTCTGTCTCCAAACTGCTTGACTGGAGAGCGCGAAGGAGAGTAATGCACCCTGTTTCGCATTGGCAGCTGTTTACCCCGTGGTGTTGTTTGAACGTCTTCGTTGTCGTGGGTTGGTTGTGGCCCGTCGTCGCTATCAGTAAAAGCCGGCGACAGGGCATCGAATCTCGCTCGACTTTGCGTCCTACCCCGTATCTCTTCTTCCGGTTGTGGTATTGGCATCACTGGTTCGCGTTTGCGGGAAGTTCTTGGTTGGGCGGGTTGGGCGGGTTGATGAGTACGGTGATGGTGATGATGCCTATGGCTGTTTCGTACTGGGCTCCCAGGGTATCTCGGGTTGGGATGCGTTATGCCAGCTGCCGAAAACCCATCCTTCATGTCGGCAAAGTCATTGTGCTGCGGCTCGGTGACAGTCATGCGAAAATCACTTCCAACCGTCAAGGTCGGTAAGCTCTGGGTGCCACCGTGAGCAAGTCGCGGTGGCTTCTTCGATTCTGGTTTGTAAGGTGCCTTGGACACATATTTGACCGGAACCCTTCTACTGGGTTCGCTTGTGGGCGAAGAGAGACCCGACCTCATGAAGCCCTCGGAGAGCTCAGATCCAGTGAAGAGGTGGTGCAAGGGTCCGGAGCGGCGATCAACACCCTGAACTGAAGGCGGACGAACGTTCTCGTCAAACACATCGTCCTGCACTTTCCCATATTGGTTGTTGGGCTGAATTATGTTGAGACTCTCGAGGTTCTCGGTAAATGCCGTATCTGGACTCTGGTCGCCGCGCCGATGTTTCTGCGGTGAGCCTGGTAGTCGGTTGCCAGTTTGTTCCACAAAGGCCTTCATTCGGTTCCGCTCTGTCACAGATGGCGGCGGCATCTCGGGGTCCTCGGTGGAAGCTTCGATCAGGTAGGAATTGAGAATGAGCTCAGAGAGCGGATTGCGTGCAGGAAAGTAGTCTCATTGAGCAGGTGGGCGTTCGAAAGACGCTGGTGTCGACGCTTTGCAGTGGCGGGCGTATTGTTGAGCATGCAGGTGCCAACTTAGCTGCAAACGCGCCAAAGAATTAGTTAGCCTGGGAACTGGGAAGCGTGTCGAGCTGTGTTGGCGCGTCATCAGGTGACGGAGGCTGCTGAAATGAATCTGCAAACAGCTAGTACAGCTAACTAGTACCTGTAGCTGCCCAGCAAATGTCCGACGGTTTTTTAGCGGAGTCACAGGCTCATTTTCGGAAACAAATCCAAACAATAATAATATACCGAGTACAGCAGATTACGGACCTACTGTTCATACCTACCTACCTAGGTAATAGTTTGTGACCCAGTCACGCATGGGAAAGTACTCAGTCCCTTTCGCCTAACTACCTATCCGCATAGGCATCCGGCATCCTTGCAAGCTCCTTCCAGCAAGCCGCAATTGCCTGCCGTCTCCAGCGCCGGGCAAAGACGTCACCAGACTTACTCCTGCGCTGCTGCCAGCGCCTGACCACCAACGTGGGCAGTTCCTTGCTGGGCCATTCGCAGGAATCACCGCAGGCCTTGGTTTTGGTTTCTTTCCAATCATATTCGCTCGCTTAGTACTGTTCATAGAGGACCATGCTTCCCTCGCGGGGCTCTCTTCCTTGCGCATAACTGCTCGTGCTCCAAGTTGCACCTCCGTTGCCTCCGACGGAGTGCGCGCACGCAACGCAATGACCCCAGACTCTGATACGCGCCCGGGGGTGCCCAAGAGCTCTTCCGGAAGCGCAGTTCCGTCCAATTCGACATCAAACACAGCTCACCAGACCCCTCCAAGGCTGCGGCCGCCAAGATCGCTTCCGCGTAAGTGTCTGCCCACCTTGGCTGCCCAAGTACCTCATCTGGACCGTGTTGAACTGTCAGGCTGACTTGACTTAGCATGGATCGATTCGTACAAGGAGGAACATGACGATGCAGCCAGCGGGAAGCCTCCGGAGCTCAGCATCCCCCCCCGCGCCGTTGCACCCCAACCCAATTCAGTGCCACAAGAACCACTGCGACGAGTTTCCAGGGACGGATTCATAGACATCGAGGACCCGACACTTGGCCCAGCACAAAAGGTACGGGCCCGTATACCGCACTTTTTGCGCTATGGCAGGGCCTCTATGCGAGGCCGCAAATGGGACCATTTGCGGTCGGCAGAACCCGTCATTGTTGCTGGTCACCACCCATCGCCTTGGCGGCCCCAAGCAACATGGCACGACTTTATCGCATCCTCTAAATGGGGTCGACCACAGAATGAGAGATCGCAAGTGGTGGCTCCAGAATACTTGAATGACTTGTATCCAAACTTCAATCGTCAGACGACGCTGGATTTGGACATGAGCCGCCCGCGACAAACCCGGCGGAGACGAGCACTGGGAGGCTGGAAACGACTGTGGTTGATGGCGCTCAACCATTCGCTATCTCCTCTAGTATTCCGACTGATCGTCATCATCACCTCGATTATCGCCTTGGGAATTGCCGCTCGCATATATCGGCTAGAGGTGGTGGGGGGCAGGACGGGTGGTGCCGAGAGCACACAATCCCTTTTTGCTGTTGCGGTCGACACAGTAGCGATCCCATACTCGGCCTACATGATACGGGACGAATACACGGGAAAACCTCTAGGTTTGCGACCAGCCGTGGATAAAATGTCTCTCATCTTGCTTGACCTCTTCTTCATCATATTCAAATCCGCCAGCACAGCGCTCGCCTTTGAGGCGCTGTTGTATCACAACGTCAGCCTGGAGCCGATACGGAAGCTGGCAGATGGACTGGCGGCCCTTATGCTTATTGGGTTGCTTGCATGGACCATGAATTTGTCGGTGAACGTTTTTCGTGTAATAGAAAAACTCGGCGGCCGGGAAGACGACGGCCATGTATAATACATTGGGGAGTCTGAGTGTGTGCGATTGGCGTTGGCGGATCAAGCGGTTGGTTTGGAATATACAATTGATAGCGACTTTGGTATCGAATGGGACCGTTTTTGTCCTTTGTTATTTGTCTATGTAGTAATTAACTATAATCTAGCACATGGAGCATGATGGCATCTTGCACGTCGAGAATAACATGGTCGTTGCAGGTACACCCACTGTAGCTACATTTTTGGAACCCCACTGTACCTTGCTTGGTATGAGGTACGCGTGAGGCCTATTTCTAACAGGGCACTAGAACACGTTTTCTGTTCAACATGTAATTTTCCCCTATCACAACGCTTTCAACATATCTAACACGACTTATAAAAAGCATAAAGGGGTTTTTTTTTATACATAATAGCAGCCTAATAGCGTTGTGACAGGGGGAAAATTATCTATTAAAAAAAAGACCTACAGTGGGTTTAGTCAACTACCAGTAGCCGCTGCTACAAAGCGGTGAGAGGCAGCAAAACGGCTAGCTCAATGGTCCCAACGCACCCTGGCAGTGAGCGAAACCCGCAACCCGGAGTCACTGAACCCCCCGCGACTGCCTTGAACTCGCGGAAGCTAGCTGGCTGCCTGGTGCTTGAGCTGCCTAATAATCCTTGACCCGTACCTGTTGCCATCTCGTCACTTCCGACTTCATTCTTGCCGCCCATCTGAATCATCACCAACTTTTTCGTGCCTTGTCCTCCATTTTACGTTTCGAACGGCCGCTAACGGGCGAGTTAGTCTGTAGCTGACTCCCATCCATAGCCCATCTCTCTACGGATATATTTTCTTCCTCCCAGTCTCTGGCGCATCGGCAAAGTGCGAGCTGGTCTCCTGCCTGGTCCAGCTTGTTGTCGCGTTTGCGCCGCCACCTACCCGTCGCTACAGTCATCTGTTCTTGACACGACCGCTCCCCGAGTACACGGCAACCCGTCGATACCAGCCTCCCGAGTCACTTTCCGCCTGCACCGACTTTCTGTGCCCCGATTTCGCCATTTCTCCGCTGCCTCTCGAGCGAACGGCCACCCACTATACCGTCGTTGCCATCCACCCCTCGCCATTTGACAAGACCCCGCCAACAACCAACGCATCCTCATCACCATTGTCCATCATGGCGCCTGGCACAGCTGCACCGAGCCCGATGCCCTCTATCCCCAATAGAGAGGATATAGAGGCGACGTACGTCGCCACCCCGAGACTGCTACACATTTCCGTTGCTGACTCTTCCCCAGTTGGCGGTACCTCGTGCTTGGTGTGAACCGTGTCATGAACGATCTCCATCAAGGTATTGATATGCAGCTGTACATGGGTGTCTACACGTGGGTTCTTGAGTATGTTTGATGTCGTGGACTTGTCGCTAATTCACTCAGGGCCGTTCACAACTTTTGTACCTCGCAAAAGGCTGTTGGCCTTGGCGGTCCAGCTATGCATTCGAACCACCGCGGCGGTACGTAACACCCTTTGTGCTGTATTGCCAATACACGCTCCTGCTAACAGCTATACCAGCTCATCTACTCGGTGAAGAGTTATACCACAAGCTCATCGCCTACCTTAAGGCTCATCTCGAGGATCTCCACGAACAGTCGAAATCACATACCGAGGAGGCGCTACTGGCCTATTACATCAGAGAATGGGGCCGTTACACTATTGCTGGCAAGTATATCCATCACTTGTTCCGCTATCTCAATCGCCATTGGGTCAAACGCGAAATCGATGAGGGCAAGAAAAGCATCTACGATGTCTACACCCTACACCTCGTCGAGTGGCGCAAAGTCCTATTTGCCATGGTCTCTGAAAAGGTCATGGACGCTGTGCTCAAGCTTGTCGAGAAGCAGCGAAACGGAGAGACGATTGAACATGGCCAGATCAAGCAGGTGGTGGACTCGTTTGTGTCCTTAGGACTTGACGAAGCCGATCCTTCCAAATCCACCCTCGATGTGTACAGATTTCATTTCGAAAAGCCCTTTCTAGACGCTACCAACGCATTTTACCAAGCCGAATCGAAGCAATTTGTCGCCGAGAACAGCGTTGTGGAATACATGAAGAAGGCAGAGGCGCGCTTGGCAGAGGAAGAGGAGCGCGTTAGCATGTACCTGCACCAGGATATTGCTGTCCCCCTCAAGAAGGCTTGTAACCAAGCTTTGATTGCTGATCATGCCGATCTATTACGTGATGAATTTCAAGTGCTCCAGGACAACGATCGCGAAGAAGACATGGCTCGCATGTACAACCTTCTCGCCCGTATTCCCAACGGTCTTGATCCTCTGCGAGTCAAGTTCGAGAACCATGTGCGCAGGGCTGGACTGGCTGCGGTGCAAAAGATTCAATCATCCGACGGCGATAAACTTGAACCCAAGGTCTACGTCGATGCCCTGCTTGAAATACACACCAAGTATCAGGCATTAGTCAAAAACGCCTTCAACGACGAGCCAGAATTTACTAGGTCACTTGACAATGCCTGTCGAGAATTCGTTAACCGGAACGAAGTCTGCAAAACGGGATCCAACAAGTCTCCGGAGCTTCTCGCAAAGTACACCGATGTACTCTTACGCAAGAGCAACACCAGTCTGGAAGATGCTGATCTGGAGCGTACACTTACGCAGCTGATGACTGTTTTCAAATATATCGAAGACAAAGATGTCTTTCAAAAGTTCTACGCTCGCATGTTGGCAAGGCGTCTCGTCCATGCCAACTCGTCTTCAGATGATGCTGAGACCAGCATGATCAGCAAATTAAAGGAAGCTTGCGGCTTCGAGTATACGAACAAGCTACAGCGCATGTTCCAGGACATGCAAATCTCCAAGGATCTGAACCGAGACTTCCGCGAGCATCTCACTGGAATTGAGAGCCAAAAGACGATTGATTCGACATTCTCAATCCTAGGCACCGGGTTTTGGCCGCTGCAAGCCCCTAGCACACACTTTCAGCCTCCTGCGGAAATTGGCAACGAAATCGAAAAGTTTTCTCGCTTTTACAAGCACAAGCATGATGGCAGGAAGCTGACATGGCTTTGGAATCTTTGCAAGGGTGAGATCAAGACGGGGTATTGCAAGAACAGCAAAACGCCATTTACCTTCCAGGTCTCAGTCTATCAAATGGCTATCCTGCTTCTGTTCAACGAGCATGATTCCTACCTCTATGAGGATTTGCTGACCACAACGTCACTGAGCGCCGAGGTGCTTGACCAAGCTCTCGCTGTCATTCTCAAGGCCAAGGTTCTACTCGTTGCTGGTGGCGAGAAGCCCGGTCCTGGCAAGACATTCAATCTCAACTATGACTTCAAGAGCAAGAAGATTCGTGTGAATTTGAACTTGGGAGGTACCAAGGAGGCCAAGCAGGAAGAGGCTGAGACCAACAAGACTATTGAGGAAGACAGAAAGCTTCTGCTACAGGTAAAAGCACATTTATCTTCATGGTGCTACGTGTTGCTAACGATTAGTAGTCTGCTATTGTGCGAATCATGAAGGCCCGTAAAAAGATGAAGCACTCACAGCTGGTGAGTGAAACCATCAACCAGATTCGCACACGCTTCGTGCCCAAAATTGGAGACATCAAGAAATGCATAGAGATTCTGCTAGACAAGGAGTATCTCGAGCGTCTAGAGGACGATGAGCTTGGGTATCTTGCATAAATGATGTTCTTATGAATGGTAGTTTATTTTTTGACTGGTCGAGGCAATCTGCATATAGAATGACTTTTGGGACAAATGCAGTACCACCACCCACGTCAGATACATCGGTGGCTGGTCCCTCGCTCGCGCCACTTGCCCGATCTGGAGGGAGACACTGGCTGCGGGAGGGCATTTATCATCAAATGACGAGAACAGGGGGGGCATGATGGGGAGGCAGAGAGGAGAAGGGAACAAACAAACAGGTGCACGCACTATTTTTTCTATTTATCTCTTTTTTTCGGGTATGGAATGAGTAAAGACGGGATCATAGGATTAAGCTGAGCGTGCATTTGCAAAGCGAGAGAAAACAGTCTAGAAACCTAAATTCTTGCTCATTGATCATGATAAACTGAAAAAGCACACAGGCAGTGCTAATTAGAATAAGGTCACATAGGAGGAATTGAGACTCGTCAATATCAGTAAATATGACTAGAGAGATGAAGTGTTGGTAATTGTGTATTCGTTAGGTTTATATTTATCCATTGTATACCGAATTCTTCTTATTACTCATTTCCTTCGTATCCCACCTGCAGAGGTCCCTCCTCTTCGTGCTCTGGCCTATCGTGTCTTGCTATCTCGTCTCGGTTTCCGCCACCGTCTTTGCATCGACAAACTCGCCCTCCTTGAGTGACTTGGCACCTGCCACCGCCACCGCCGATGACATCCCGACCGGGGTGGGCGGCGTCTCAGTGGACGCATTGGTGCTGGCAACAAGCTCTTCCGTCTGGAAGCCGTCGTGCTTGGTCATCGTCGTCGACTTTCGTTGGCCAGCAGCGGGGGTGGCGGCATCGGACGCGACGGCAGATGAAATGGCGGTGATGCCGAGCGCATCATCCCCGGTGGCGGACTCGCCCGTCAGGGGCCGGTCAAAGGAGCTACTCGTGCGGGAGAGGATGCTCTCGCTGAAGCTCTGCTGCGTGAGCGGGCGCATGCTGCCGCTGGCGCGACTGTGGCTGTCGTCGGTCGAGGTGGCGCGCGACCCGGGGGAGCTAACGATCTGGTAGTCCCTGTCAATGGGGCTGGTGGGCGTGGAGCTGCCTGCACCGTGTTTGGGCTGGGTCTTGCTGTTGCGCCAGTTGGCCGTCCAGGTGCTGTTCTTGCGCTTCTCGCCGGCCCACGAGGCCCAGCTAGACATGTAGGCGCCGGCCTTGGTTCCGACCGTCTGCATGGTGGCCTGGGCCTTGGTCATGTCGACGGCAAAGGTCGGGGAGGCCGCAGCAGACGGCGTGCTAGCGGCCCCGGCCGGCTTGTCGCTCGATGCGGTGCCGGCGCCGGTTTGGTCGTCGGCGCGCCGGCGCTGGGACTCGCGCAGGTACTCCATATCGCTGTAGAGCTTGCTCAACATGGACGAGGCCTTGTCGCGTCCAGCCGCGAGGTTGCGGCCGAGCATCTCGCGGCCCTGGGCAAGGCGCTCGTCCAGGTGCAAGTCCTTGACCTGGTCGGCGATGCGGCGCTGAACATCGTCAATCGTCAGGCCGCCGGCGCAGGGATGCTTGGGCTCTGACACGGCAAAGAGGTTGGCGTCGGTGTGCGCCTCCCAGATGCGGTAGTTTTCTGTCCGCTGCCAAGCCGCGATCCAGTCGAGACCAAAGTCAACGGCCGGGTCCTCCTCGCTGGTGAAGGCGCTCTTGGAAATGTCGCCCTGCTGAGCGAGAAAGTTGTGAAACTTGACCGATGAGATTAGGCCAAGAATGTACGACTCAAACTGCGAGCGAATGTACTCTTCGCTGCCAGCGTACTGCAGCGTCTTGGGCCGACTGGGGTTGGCCTCGTCCCAGGTCTCGTTGATTTGCTGCGTCAGCAGGTCGATCCAGCGGCGGTCGGCGGCCGTCAGCGCGAGCGCGGCTTTGAGGGAAGGGGATGTGATGTTGACGGTGCCCTCATCGAGGTTGATGAGAATATCGCTGTAGCGGTCCCTTTGCTGGAGGAGCAGCGAGTTGGTGCTGCCGACGAGGTACGACTTGGTGCCCACGTCGGCGAGCAGGTCGAGCTGTTGCAGAGGGGTATATGGTCCAAAGATGGCGCCCGTGCCGAATATTTGCAGCGGCAGTCCCATAAACTGCAGTAATGAACTGCGGTTGCTGCTCTGGAGGCTAGTCGAGGGAGCCAGCTTCTCTTCGTAGGCGTTGAGCTCCGGGTCGGCGCAGTCTTGTAGGTTCCGTATCAGGCCGGGTATCAGCGAGATGAGGGCAAATTGGATCATGCAGAGCTTATCGCATCGCGAGCCAAAGAAGAGCATCTACAGACCGATCCGGTTAATGTCATCCCATGGCGGAGATGAACTAGTGCCTCACTCACCTTTGGTTGCAACAGACAGCACTTGAGCAGCACCAAGGTCTGCCACTTGTATTCGTGAATCAGCTCACGCATACTCATGCCCAGGTACTGATCCCTGTTTCCCGTGTCAGCCAAGTCGCCGCGGGCCTTTTCGTCGGCGAGGCTCTCCTGGAAGCGGCGAAGGATCTCGACGTCTGTAAAGTCGCGCTGGGCGAACCAGGCGTGTGTGACCATGCCGAGACGCTCGCGGAGGACGCCAAAGAAGTGCGGGCTGTCGGCGATGACGACGACGGCCTTCTGGACCGTGGAGCGCGTGACGTCGGCCGGGCGGTGGCGGAGGGCGGCAGCGTCGAGCTGGCGGGTGCACGAGATGCCAAAGAGCGAGCAGGCGGGGCGGCCGGGGGCGGCGGGCCGCAGCAGGGTAAAGTAGGAAAAGTCTTCCTCGGAGGCGTGGGCGCCGTCGCTGAGGGCCATGAATGGCAGCAGGTGCCAGTTGTACTCGGCGGCCGGGTCGGCGCCGGCGTCGACGCCGAACCACGACTCGACCTCGGGCCCGCGGGCATGGTGGAAGCCGACGACGGTGACGAGGGGTGTAAAGTCGAAGGCGGCGCCGCTGCTCCCGCTGTTGATGCTACCCGGTGCGGGCGAGGCGGGCGTGATGGGCGAGAGGACGGCCTTGATCTCGGCGGCAGTGGTATCGTCGGGTTTATGGGCGGCAGCGGTGGCGGTGCCGTCTGTGGTCAAGGAGATTTCCTCGGGAGCCGGGATGTTTTGGTCCTGCTTCTCGGGTGCGCTGCCGGCGGCCGCTGCTGGGTCCTTGTCGTCGCCCAGCATGGTGTCCGGCAGGTTGATTCGTGGAGCTTCGTTCCGTCTGCGCTGGTCCCGACCTGCGGTGTATGTGGTGTCGCACTGTCTGTAAGAGCACGCTCGGCAGCCTATAGCTCAGCCATGCGCAAAAGGTATATCGTCGTTTTTTTGTTGCGGCAGGCCAGTCGACGAGTGGAATTGCGGATGGTGTCAAAGAAGCGCCTGGATGCGTCGTCAAGGTCGGTTCGTGCGATGGAAAGGGGGATGCTGCCTCGCTATGTGTGACACGGCCCAAGGCAGACAGGGTTGCTATTGTTGGAGTGGATGGGGGTCTCGTCAGATGATGCAGTACAGGAACAGGAATCAGAAAAGGCTAGCAGATGAAGAAGAGCATAAAATGCCAAAGCAAAAGATGACAATGCTAGTTGAAAGGCGTGGGCTGGGAATGGTATCAGCGGACAAGTTGATTAGTTAAGGCGGCAAAGGCACTGCACATGCATGACGGGATGATGAGCGGCGCCCCGTTTGTCGTGTCATGGCTTGATTAGCTGTCGAAAATTAGACGAGGAAAAAAAAAGGAGCTTCGTATGTGGCGTGAGTTAGCGCCATCCCTCATCTCAGCCCCAGACCTTGCCGCGACAACCTTATCAGAGATGCATCGTGTAATCTGTACAGTGGGCTGCATACCGGCAATCCATTCACCAGTTTATATCCGGGACAAAAACAGCAGATAAAAGAAGAGCGAGACCAAGGAAGGGGAGGAATCCTTCATCCGTCAATCTGACCAAGTGTCTTGCTATATAAATGCCCCTACATATTACCCACCTGACTCGCTTGTGTCCGCCGCCCACCTGACGAGCGGTGCTGGTTTCTCATAACTCTCGTGAATGTACGAATTAGAAGAGGCAAACATGCCGGGCGTTTATACACGTCCGTCTGCATCTCAAATGCTAGGCAGCTATGCAAACAAAATGTACATTTCTACCTATGAACGCGTAATGAATAATGGCTCAACCAGAATATGTAAACGCCCGTGGGTGGCCATTGCCACGCTATAATACAGAGCCGATACGCCGTGCACCATGGCAACCTGCCAGGCCATGTCCAACCTTGTATGTTTCGATATGTATGTGAGACTGCCAATCAGACCAGCCGGTCCGAATCCAAAACACGGCCATCCAAAAAATGACCATCCAAAATACCCCTCTCCAACTGCGGTGCTACTGTCCAAACAACGCTCGCCCAGGGCCGATTCCCCAGGGCTTGAATATACGTCACAGGCGTCCGCTAAAACGACTTGGGCGTGTGTGGTTGCGTCAGCGCGCGCTCGCGTGAGCACCAGCACGAGTTGTCCCCCTCCCTCTCGACCTGCACGACGGCGTCGATGCCTTCCTTGAGTAGGTACTGGCGCACGCGGTCACGGACCTCGTCAAACGCGTAGCCAAACCCGACAGTGACGTGGACCACGCCGACGAGCTTGTCGCCGTCGTCACCCCATGATCTATCGTCTTTCCAGAATTTGGGCGCCGAGTAGCCCACGACACCGCGCTGCTGGAGAATGCCGCCGAGGACGTTGCGGAGGTTGTATTCGGTATCTTCTGGGACGCTGAGCAGCAGACGCCTCCCCGAAGAAATTACGAGCGGTTGCGAAGAGAGAAAGATGAGAATCGCGATGAAACATGAAGCAAGGGGATCCCAACCAGACCAACCCCAAAAACTGGTCAGCACTGTAGATATAATGACCGAAACACTACCTAAAGTATCAGCCATAATGTGCAGATAAATGCCGCGCATATTTTCGTTGTCATGAGCGTCATTTCCGCCACTGGGTTTGCCCTCGGCCAAGTCGTGCGAGTGCGAATGGCCGTGATCATGACCGTGGCCGTGTCCATGGTCTTGGGCGTGTGAATGGGAGTGTGAGTGACCGTGGCCGTGACCATGATGGTGGTGGTGGCCGAAAGCCATCATGCCAACGAGGTTGATGGCCAGACCTAGAGAGCTGACAATGAAGAGCTCGCCGAGTCGTTTTGTCTTGGTGCCCTCCCAAAGTCGCTCAAAGGCCTCAAAGGCAATTTCTAAACTCAAAAGCCTGGGACCATTAGCACGACTCAGCACACTGTGAGCTGGACAACTTACATGAGTAGAATTCCGTTGGCAAATCCACTGAGGGTTTCGATCTTGCCGAAGCCGTAGGGAAATCTTTGGCTTGGGGGCCATTTGCTCATGACTGCAGCCAAGAGACCAACGAGGAGCGCAACGCAATCGAAGAACATGTGGATGCTGTCGCTCAGAAGACCAAGCGAGTCGGTAAGATAGCCGTAAAAAGCTTGAACGGCCATGAAGTTGAAATTGAGTCTGCAAACGGTCAGTACATGAGAAGAGCGAAATTCTTGCTCGCTACACACATCATGAAGTAGAAAATTCTCCTCGAGTCCTTTTCCGTCATGATGGCGTGTATAATGGGAAACCTGGCGGTATATGGCAGCAGAGCGGCGGTAAACATGGACCGTTCGGCATTGGCGTCGTATGATAGGCTGTGCAGGGTGTTGTGCATCTGTCGTGGCGGCGAGTAGGGTGTCGCAGCCGTAATTTCACCATCGTGGGCTATGATGCTCTTGCCGCTGGTCGTCTTCTCGTGCGTCCAGCCTTGCATGACGTCGAGGGAGGCGGGCCGCGGGCGGTCTTTGGCGAGACCAGAGGAGCGACTGGCGGCATGTGATTCGGTGCTAGCATGGTGGACGTGCGAGTGCGAGTGCGAGTGTGAGTGTGAGTGTGAGTGACCATTGTTGCGCAGATTCGTGTACTTGTCGGCGGCCTCGTCCAGGTGCTCGTCGACGGAGGTGGCCGGGTTGTCGGTCGGGCCGGGCCTCCAGGCACTAAGCGATGCCTGCGATTGGGAGTGTGAATGCATGTGTTTATGGTGAGCATGAGGCAGCGCGGACGAGGGAAGTGTGTAGGGAGCAGCCATGATGCCAGGCAAGAGGCGAAGAAAAGAGCCCAAAGAGCCGCTGTGGTCGTCGACTTGGTCGTGACCGAAAGCGGGTCAACGTGGTTGAGCAGCGGGTCGCTGGTCTTGTCCGTTGGGCGGATTCAGAACGCTGTTGCGGGAGCAAAACGGCATACAGTGTCGAAAAAAGAGGAAACCGCGGCGTGCTGAAAATTTTTGCCCGAGGCCAGAAGCAGTGCTAGTTTTCTTGTTGCTTTGTCGAAGCAACCGACAACAAGCTCTGCTTGGCCGACGGCGCAGCGCCAAAGAAATAGGGGCGAGGGTTCAAAATGCAACGCAGCGTGGGAGGAGGGGAGGGGGCGCACGTGGGGAAAGTTGAAAGTTGTCGTCCTGAGAACGCAAGACGAGCGGAATCAAGAGCCGGCGGCCGCAAGATTTTTCTTGTATTTGTATATTTGTGTATTGCAAGAATTGTATAATTCACCGAATATTAGAAGAGACTTTGAGTTCAAGAAAATCAGTGGCACATGGACGTCTGGCAACTCTTTCAGACACCATGTCCAACAACACAGATACCACAATAATGAATGGTCTTGCTTGGGAGCTGGCGCTAGTGTAGGATAAGCTGGAGTATGGTCAATGCATCCGCAACTTTAATTATGGCACCAGCATGAATGTGCGGCGAGTAAGAAAGAGTATTTTAGAAGCCAAGTGCACAAAGGACACGCGATAACTACCACTGCGGAAACTACCACTGCGGAAACAAAGAAGGAAGTGAACAGAAACCTGTCTCGCTGTCCATTATATTAATGACATGGTGTGCAAGTGGCAACAAATGGACATCAGATACGAGATCCCTGCGAATAGAGCTAATCTGCAAGCGACAGCCCGTCTAGTGCTAGTCAGGAACCCATATCCCATCATACTGTTAAGACGGTTTGTGGCACTAGCTTGTGAACCTAGATGGCTTCTTACTCGTTTCTTCCAATCTGTCCTTTTATCTTGTCCTGCATGGCTAACAAGGTCAGCCGAAGAGTACCTAGGTACCTACCTACCTACCTAAGGTAGGTAGTTAGTAACTATAGTATCCTTTCACGGTCAAGATAGAGAGTCCCCGGCTTGGCCCAAAGTGGCAGGCGATAAGCTTGCGGCTTGGAGGTGGCGTGCTCCCTGTGCAGAAAGCCATTGTGGACGTTGAAAGCAGGAATTTGTATTATTAATGATTTATTATTATAAAAGCATCGCTTGGCATAATTTAACCGGCTCCTCGATTTGTCCTTGCATCCTGCGTTGTCGTCATTAATACTACCTACCTACCTAGGTACATACAAGGTAGGTTAGTACTAAGTGCTGGTCGTGCATGCAGGTGGCCAGAGGCACAGGCACTAGCTCCAGGCGTCTAGAGGCACCCCAAAGACGGCGGCACCAGCGCCTCCAGCGCCTTCAACGCCCGGCTCTCTCCACCACAACCAATTCTCACGGCAAACGCTGAATTGTCCAGGCTTCACTGGCCATTCCGCCACATTACCTCACCCGACCCGCGACACAACTTGCGCGCGCACGGCCAGTCGACTCGACATCGTCACCCAATCGCCCGCCATGATCGTCCCCTTTATTCTGTCTGTCGTCGCGGGCGGCCTCTTTGTCTTTCTCGTCAGCTATGGCTACCAGTTCCTTGCTTACCTTGGCCGCGGCCTGCGCAATTCGTGGCCAACAAAGTACCAGCCCGCTGAGGACTCCAAGAACAACCACATCCAGATTATCGTGCTGGGCGACATTGGACGCAGCCCCCGCATGCAGTACCACGCCATCAGCATCGCCAAGCACGGAAAGAAGGTGGACATTATTGCCCTGAAAGGTTCGCCGCGCTTGGTCCCAATAGGAGAAGTCGGACTGATCACTGGATAGAAACTGCTCGCCATCCTGAGCTCATCGGCAACCCCAATGCCACACTCTACCCTTTGGATCCTCTCCCCGAGTGGCTTGCCTGGGGCAACTTGAGCTTCCTCGTTCAGATTCCTGGCAAGGTCATCCAGCAGATCTGGACTCTGTTTGACACAATGATGTACCGTGCGCCTGCCGCTGAATGGATCATTATTCAGGTAAGCAACCCAACTCATTTCCTACTACTAGCATCTAACCAGCGCAGAACCCTCCATCTATTCCAACTTTCCATGTAGCCCTGTTTGTCGCTTGGATGCGCGGAAGCAAGGTCATCATCGACTGGCACAACTACGGCCACACCATCCTCGCGCAAAAAGGCAAGCTCTACGCGCCTCTCGTCCCCCTCTACCGCTGGTATGAGTTCTTCTTTGGACGCCGCCTCTGCAACGCCAATATTGCTGTCACTGATGCCATGGCCAAACAACTGAACGCCGGCAAATTCAACCTTGGAAAACCCGTTCATACCCTGCATGACCGGCCCGCCGCCATTTTTCAGCCCATTACCTCGCTCAAGGAGCGAGAACAGGTCCTCATGCGCATCCCAGAGACGCAGTCTCAGGCCCAGGATATTCTCGACGCCAACGTCCGCTTGATTGTCAGCAGTACCTCCTGGACCGCCGACGAAGATTTTAGCATCCTTCTCAGCGCCCTCGTCGCCTACGCGGGCATTCGTGAGGTGGACGACAACAGCGAACCCGCCTCTCCCATCCTAGTCATCATCACCGGCAAAGGACCCCAAAGAAAGATGTACTTGGACAAGATTAAGGAGCTCACCGACGGTGGGCAGCTTCCCGGTATCAAAGTCGTAGCTGCCTGGCTGTCCAACCGTGATTACGCTCAGCTCTTGGCGGCTGCTGACCTTGGTATTTCCCTACACAAGTCTTCGTCTGGTGTGGATCTGCCGATGAAGGTTGTCGACATGTTTGGTGCAGGCCTGCCTGTTGTAGCCTACTCCAAGTTTGAGAGCTTCAGCGAACTCGTCAAAGAGAGCATCAATGGATGTGGTTTCGAGACTGCGTCGGAGCTAAACCTCCTCTTCAAGAGGCTATTAGCCGGTGACGGTGCCGAGGAGCTCGCTACCCTAAAAAAAGGAGCGATCAAAGAAGGTCTCCTACGTTGGGACGAAGAATGGGATCGGGTCGTTGCTCCCATTCTCGGTCTGGAAAGTAAGGAGTAGAGACCTTTTAAATCACGTTCAACATAATTCATAAGTTCAAATTCCTGCTCGCTCTAACCATATTGCCATTATGCAAAAAGCATTGCAGCCTTACTACGCTTGGTGCGCTACCAAGCCGACAAGCATCGCTATGAAAGCACCCCAAACACGAAAACGCCGCGTGACTTGCGCCAAACTAAATCTCCAATCCGGTGATATTTTGATACAACAGCAGCCCTGCTAGTCCTCTCCCAGGCTCTCCCGCACGCATTGACGGCAACGACGGCGAAAGTCCTTATGCTTGCCCTCCTTTTCCTCACGTAGCATCCTAGCTGCCTCGACATTGGCCGGGCTCTCCTCATTAGGGCTGTGGAACAAGCTGATGATGCTCAGTAGGATCGTTTCGGGGGACTGGACGGGGCTCCAACGCTCCGAGGCCGCCTCGTATCCGTACTGGTCCTCCTCAGGCGGGTGCAGGATCGAGATGCACAGCTTGCCGTTTTCGTAAATGTTGGGGTGGAAGGGGATCGGCTCCTGAAAGGTCAGGGATGGTGGCATGTGAGGGTAGTTGGGCGGGAATACGAGGTGCGCTCGAAAGTTGCCGCCTGAGGGGACGAAGGCGACCGGACATGTTAGCCGTCAGTCAAGAAGAGCACGAGACCGGTCGATTAACCGTGATTGGGCAACCACAAGAGCGTGCCAGCTTCTAAAGACATACCTCCGTAGTATTTGCAGTCGTCGCTGATCATGAGCATAACCTCCCACTCAAATATGTTGCTGTCGCTGACGAGGCCGCACGATATTCCGGGGATATCCTTGCTGACCTGCATCTCTTTGAGCTGGCGGCGCAAAAGGGTCGCCGCTGCTGAATACGGTCCCGCCATGGCTGCCGAGTGTCCGTGTAGGTACGATTCTGTATATTTATGGCTCGGATATGTATGCAGGTTCCCAGTTCTTGGCGGGTCGTCTGCTCATACGGCCTCGAATCGTAGGTAGGATGCTCAGAAGATCTGCTTTTCTTGAACCACTCTGGCGCGGGGCAAAGGGCGGTTCAGGTAGTGGGGAATCGGCACGCGTTGGAACATCTTCCACGGCGGTACGTACACCAACTGTAGGTACACCACTAGGTTAGGTATTGTCGACACCGAAACACTTTCACTTAAAGGAAATACTTTTTTTTCCCTTCTTGCTCAAGGCTCAACACTTCATCTAAAGCCCATCGTGAGCAATACAGAGACCCCGTGATGACCAATCACATGGCAATGCATGCATCATGTTCCACCAGAACCTCTTACAAAAAAATAACCAGTTTACAGCGGAACTGGCCGTTGTCTCCTTCTAGGATACTGCCAAGACAGTATCGGGGTATCGTATTGTATACTAAAACATTGCGCCGAATATGCTCCCGGTCTTCATTTCTTTGACGTGCCAAATCCGGTAAACCCCATTTGCGCCATCATGTCGTCCTCTTCGTGCTCTCCCTCTATTCGTACATCCTCACCATATTCGACTTTGACTTTGGCTGCCTCTTCCTTTTCCAGTCTTTTCTTTTCCACCTCGTCGCGTCGCTTCTTCCTCTTCTCTTCCGCCTCTTTTTCGTTTTCTTCTTCTCGTATCTGCAGTCGCTCTTGGAGGCTAGTAACCTTGTCTTTTTCTAGCTCTTCCCTCCGCTGAACGTAAAAGGTTATTCGGTCTCGGACTTCTTCCACCGTGGCGCGTCTGACTTCGGTCGTCTGCCCAGCATTTAACAGATGCTGCGTCGTGTTCAGATGTTCAATGTACTGCAGGCTTCATTAGCGACAATTTTTACAACATGCAGCGAATAAGGGCATACCTGAAGATTGTCCTTGAAGGTAAGGTCACACGCTTCACAGTAGAATCCGGCGCCACGGCCACGCTTGCCAACGCCGGCACCTGCACCAACGAGTTGCGTCTTGCCCACTTGGCCAGAGAAATCCATAACATTTCGGCGCGCAGAGGTATATGTCTCGTCGCCCGTCTTGGGTTTGTAGTATTTCTTGCCAGCCAGCTTAGCTTCGTATCTCGCCTTTCCCTCTTCCTTCTCCTTGGCCTCGCGCTCCTTGGCCTTTTCCGCGTATTCATCAAGATCCCACGTCTTTCGGAAATCGGTATCGCCAGCCGGCGCGCCGTACGCGCTGCCATTTTTGGGGTTCGACATGTCGCTGATTGGAGCCGTTCGAGGTTGTTGCGATGGTCGTGTAGGTGGACAGTCGAGACGGGCAAGCTCCGGTTGTCTGATCCAGGAACAACTACCGGAATGGTCTGACCCAGTAAAATGAATTAGATAAGTACCTACACCCACTGTAGGTACCAGGTAGTAGCGGCACGACTTCTCTTCGAGTTGTCTGCCCCGCGGCGGGGCATTTCAACATCGACAAAAAATTGTTGAATTGTCCTTCCGCGAAAATGCTGTACCTGGTTGGCCTTGGGCTGTCAGACGAGACGGATATCACCGTCAAGGGTCTAGAGGTCGTGAAGAAGGCCTCGCGCGTCTATCTTGAGGCATATACCAGCATTTTGCTCGTTGACCAGATGGTTCTGGTAAGTCGCAAGTTTGCCTTGTGACCACAGGTGTCTGACTTAGCAGGAAAAATACTATGAGCGTTCAATCATCCTCGCCGATCGAGAAATGGTCGAATCCAACAGCGACGAAATTTTACGCAATGCGCAAGACGAGGATGTCGCATTTCTAGTCGTTGGGGATCCCTTTGGGTTGGTACACCCGTCCTCACACGCCCTACTGTGCTAACAACACCAGTGCGACAACCCATACCGACCTCGTTCTCCGCGCGCGCGAACTCAATATTCCTGTACGAACTGTTCCGAATGCATCTATCATGTCTGGCATTGGCGCATGCGGCCTCCAGCTCTACAACTTTGGTCAGACAGTATCCATGGTTTTCTTCACAGACAACTGGAAGCCCTCCTCGTTCTACGACAGAATAAGAGAGAACCGCCAAATCGGTCTGCACACGCTTGTTTTAGTCGACATCAAGGTCAAGGAACAGAGCTTGGAGAATCTTGCGCGAGGCCGCATGATTTTCGAGCCTCCTCGCTACATGACGGTGGGCCAATGCGCCCAGCAAATGATTGAAGTCGAAGAGGAGCGCAAAGATGGTGTCTGTACCCGCGATTCGCTCGCAATTGGCGCAGCCCGCGTCGGCGGCAAGACGGAAAAGTTTATAGCGGGCACACTGGAAGAGCTGTGCTCCCAAGATGACGAGTTTGGTCCGCCGTTACACAGCCTTGTTCTGCTGGGCCGAAGAGCGCATGAGCTGGAAAATGACTTTGTCCGTCACTTCGCCGTTGATAAAGAGAAGTGGGACAGAATATGGAAAGAGGAATATGGGAAACAATAGCGACGACTTTGGCAGTGCCGAGCACGTTTTTCCTGTCCAACCGTGTCCGTACAGTGAGCGACTCCAATTTTTGTGAGGGTGGGAAGTATCCAAGTACACACAAGCAACGTTGGGGCACGGGCGGTAATCCAGATCAAAAGATATCCCTTAATATACATAAAGGAATGTTCGTCGCGAATAAGAGCAGCCAAATGAATTCCCAGGCATCAATTAACGTGCTACCTCCTACTTGTACAAAGCGACCGTACAGTGCGACGTTGCTGTTTGACCGTCAGGTGATTGGCAGCTGCCAGCTGCGAGTCTACCTACACACTCCCCCGCCAGCTGCAGGCAATTGCATGAAGGAAAGAATAAACCACTAACTACTACCTACCTACCTACCTACACTACAGTATTATACCAGGCCCGGCATCCAACTCGCTAGCAGCCCTGACCCTGAGGCGACGTGATCCTTTCAAACGAACTTTTTTCATTCCTCGAAGTCGTCTTTTCGGAACGGCGCAGCTATCCATCTGTTGCAGTGAGCATCGCTGTCCCGCCGTCTCGTCCCCTCGGCTTTGTTCAGCCCGTTCAGCGACGGATAGCCACCTGAGAGACCTCCAACAGCAAGGTCCAAGAGGCCGCGTTTGACGAACAACAGACCGCCATCTCGTTTTTCGACTGCAAATGCAGCAGGAGCTTCACGGAAGCAGAGCTTGTCGGTGATACTCTTTTTAACCGGCAAGAAGCAACAGTCACGTCACCCGCTTCCCGCTAAGGGGTACAGCGAGCCAGAGACCTCGGCACCTGAGAGATATTTTCCGCTGAACAACTTTCAACCGTTTGCTCTGCGAAGCGTTCCCAATTAACGGTATCCGTCAAGTACAATCTGAGCTATTCTGCAAGAGTACACTTTGTCTCGGCATAGCTCATCCCGGTAACCTTTTGGCGTTCAAGCCCGCCGACCACATCCATCATGAGTGCAGTGAGTCTAACATCTACTTGATGGTCATGCGGATGGTCTTCTCTAACGAAAGTAGACCATTGTGCCCTGGGAGTGCCGGGATAAGGATGACCAGGCAGAAGTTCTGTACAATGCACCGTTGCACCGGTCCAACCGTGCTCTCGCCCAAGAGAACCTGCGCCTCAAGAAGCTTCTCCGACAGCACAACATTCCTTGGTCCTCGATATCGCAGGCTCATTTATCTGCTGTAGAACCCGGGCGCCGCAAGACCCGATCATCCAATGCGGTCAACGACATAACAGGGCCTCGGCTACCAACAGAGGTGTTACTCCGTATTCTCAAATTCGCCATGACCAGCCCCCACTCAATCGTTGACCCGTTGTCACCACTTGCTCAAGAAAACATTTCCGACGTGGAAAAAGAGCGAGGGAATCAGATTTCTATCCACTTCCTGGCTACTTGCAGTGCCATGCATGTAGAGGGCACAAAGTACCTGTGGGAAAGTAATCATTTCGTTTTTACTTCTCCCCAGGCACTCCGAAACTTTGGCGAGCTAAATCCTAGATTTCGGCATCCCATCCAGAGCATCACATTCCGCGTGATTGCGCGATACTACGATGATCAGCGCCGCCGTCACAAGCTCGACGCTGGCTATCACGCGGATTTGAAAAAGGACCAGCCTCTCCGGGTTCACATCCGCCCTTATGAGTCCCTTCTTGTGCGGGGAGGCTTCCGCTGCTACACATGGAGCCAGATTGTGGACTTTCTCACTGCACTACGTCCTCCATACGATCCTACTCACCGTGACAAATCAAAAGCACGTCCAAAACTTCTGCCAAACTTAACAATCCTCCGTCTTGATTTAGTCAATTTTTCGGATGAGCTTGTTCCCTTTTCAGGCTCTGAGCTGCATGGGATCACATCCCACGAGCTAGGCTGCACACTCAACGAATTGCAGGTCACTGGCATGCCATTTGATGATGCCGGAATGAAAGCATCAGCGGAACTCAGTGGCATGCTCAAAGATGAGGGCCTCTACCTTGACGGACCGGCCACTTTTTTTGCCCATAAGAAGCACTTGCAGGAGCTGTCTGGCAGCAAGTGGTGCGCAAGGATTATCCGCGCATGGAAGTCAGCAGACGGTGAGGATGATGACATGGACGATGTGCATGATCTTGAGAGCCCATTGAGTGGCTGGCATCGACCAAAGCTAGGCATTCTCCCTCCGGCTCCTGAGGAAAAGGGGCACCCAACTTCAGTAAGACCAGATGGTAGTGTGATTTGGAAACGTGTGCCCATTTCGCGAGATAGAGGCGAGCGGCAGTGGACCGAGTTTTCCAGGTCCAGTGGGTATGAGATTGACAGCACGGACTCGGATAGTGAAAGCAACCTTTGTCCTTGCTGCGGCGAATCGCATCCCCAAGCCTCGTTCTTGGACTTTTTGATGGATGATGAAGATGAAGAGGACGACGACGACGACGACGACGATTATGATTCGTTTGATTCAGATCAGGAATTGTGAGATGGCACAATCGTGTGTACGGGGATATTATTTGCTGCAAAATTGTTGGAGTGATGTATAGCTTTCCTGTGATTTTGTTCTGAAGCGGCCACTGGTCTAATTTAGCTAGGTAATGAAGAAACGACGATGATGCCATATTTCTTTGAGCTTGGTTTACGGAATAGAGGTCCTTGGCTAGGTAGGTAGGTAGGTACCCAGTTGCTCAGTACATACCTACCTAGGTAGGTACCTACTTACCTAATAAATGGGGGTTACCGGAATAGTGCGGGTAATAATGACGGCACAATGTATCGTAGCTGCGCGACATGGTCAGGGGATAATTTTAGGCAACGGAGCGTAGCGTTGCTATTGTTAAGAATGGCTCCATGTTTGATGCCTCTAGGACCGAAGGAAGTTTTATAATGAATTGTTCCTGTTTAGACGTCTTTTTCTGATTAACCAAAACGTGGGATGTTTTTTTCCCGGTTTCCGTTGTCCGTATTCGTACTCCATATTCTAGTTACCAGTACCTACCTCCTACCTAGGTACGGGTACTGATGTAGGTAGGTATGTTAGAGGTACGTAATAAGGCACCTGGCACCTACACTACTCACTGGTGCATCACCCCACCACAACATTGACAGCAGGGGCTACCAGCAAAATACCATGGAAGGTAGACAGCCACCCTTGCCAGGAGGTGATGGTCGTCATTTCTACAGCGCGGAGCTAGGGGAAGCTCAAACGAGCAAACTCTCTCTTTCAAACATTTCATATTCTGCTCCCCTACACGTCGCGCTCCAGCTATGGAGAGCCAAAACGGACTGGGCAAGCTCCTGCCCAAGTCACTCTCGGCGCGACGCAGGCAGCGAGTCAAAAAGAGCAAGACACGCGATGGAGATGCGGCTGACGACACGCCGCCCATGGACAACAGGGCTTGGTCAAGCAGCAACCTGTCGCTGTACGCCGACGACCAAAACGACGACGGCGACTTTACGGACGATGCTAATGATGGGAGCTTTGCATCCTACGAGTCAGGAGCGGAGGCGAATCGCAGTGGAGAATCGTAAGTTCATGGACCTATTTTCTTTCGTCCCTTCTTATTTCTTCGTTGGCCTTGTTCTGTTTCTTGCGTGGCCCAGCTTGGTTCGCTTGGACAGCAAGTTGAGGCGGCAGCGCCGTTTGTTAGCTCGTCCCTTGCTCCGTCCTGTGACCTGCAACAATTGGTCCACGGCTGGCGAATAAACCCCGCCCCCAGCTCAGCCTGGTCTCGTAATATGTCCATACTGTCCATACTACTTGCTCTCTGATTACGCCAGCCTCTGACTCGGGCAAGCCAATGCCTCTGACCCTTCCTGAACGCATTACTCGCCAACCTCACAACTTCATCCATCTTTCCCATATTACCTCTCTTTCTTCGTCTTGCGCCATACGCTCATCGTCATTCGGTGTTCCCGGCTGTGCCGTCCTCCCTGCAGTGCGTCCTAGCTCTTGCGTTTCCTAACATTGACTTGCAGCCTACGCCCGCCATCTGCATCTCGCCCGCCACGGCCGGTTCCCTCCAACCACCCGTCGCTGGTCGGCTATCTCACGACTTCCTCTCCCGCCGTCCAGGCCGCCCACCTCGATTCGCCGCCCAAGATTCTGCCCCCGTCGCGAAACAACCGCAGCCCTTGGCGGAGAGGTAGCAAGAACGACAAGGCAGACACCCCAGACGCTGCCTCGTCGGTCAAGTCCCCGGAGCTACCTGCGCCTGCTAGGCTGGCTGCCGCCGACCGGGAAACTCGGGGCAAGGTCTCCAATATCGAGCTCGACATACCCCGGACCCCTCCAAATGGTGACAAGCCCGGCCCCGTCATTGTCAACACGCCACCCACACCAACCGACACTGGCCTCGGTTTCGGCCACGCTCTGACCTCTTCGCCGGAAAAGATGACCTCTGGCGCCACCACCAAGAGTCCTGCTGAAACCGGGTCGCCCACGCGAAATATGAACCTTCACAGGAGAAGCAAATCCGGAGGAGCTGCTATAGGGCCGAGCAAACTCTCCAACATAACATCTGCACCGCTAACGCCAGGTTCCGAGGCGGAAAACGGTGGCATCACGCCCAGCGCCACAGGATTCTTCTCTTCGGTCATATCTGCAGCGCAAAATGCAGCCACGACTTTGAGTAACAATATTCCCGGCACTGGCATTGGCATGGGCGGACAGAAAAACAAAGCGCCAAGTTCAAAATCGCTCAGCGTTGAAGCCGTTGACCAGCTGGGAGGCGACGGCAGCATCATTCCCCAACATAATAAAGACGAGTCGGCTCAGTCTACTCAATCGCAGGCACGGACCTCACAGCGCAGCTCGGCCATACAGACTCTGGGTACCGGAGAGCTGAGCCTCAGCCAGCTTGGCCTGTCGGATGCACCCAGCAATGTTGCTAGCCCCGCCAGTGCCAGGTTTCCCGATGTTGTCGACACACGAGCAAGGTCCGAATCCGCGCCGGTCGAACCCCACGCTGAGCTACCAACCGATGAGCCAGTTAGTAGGCCACGATCAGTCATCGAATCGGCCAACGGTGATGATTTCGCGCAAATGCAGCCCGATGCCATGGGTCTCAACAGAAGCTCGAGCGTCCGGAGCGCGCTGAAGCCGCATAGGAAAAGAGGCAGCTCTGTGACGACAGGTGCGACCATTGGCGTATCGACAGGCGTGCCGCTGCAGTCAACGCCGACCTTGGGTGCTCCCAAGCTCACCGGCTTTGCCATTGCTAGCAAGAAAAGAAACCGCGACTTCCACTCGTTCTTCAAAAGCGTTCCCGATGACGACTATCTTATCGAGGACTATAGTTGCGCCTTGCAGCGTGAAATTCTGGCCCACGGTCGTCTCTATGTTTCCGAGGGTCACCTTTGCTTCAGCAGCAACATTCTTGGATGGACAACCACCCTAGTCATGAGCTTTGACGAGATTGTATCGGTCGAGAAGCGCAGCACAGCATTAGTCTTCAAAAACGGGTTGATGATTTCAACCTTGCACGCCAAGCACATTTTTGCAAGTTTCACCAGCAGAGACGCTACCTATGACTTGATTGTCAACATCTGGAAGCTAGGTCACCCTACGCTCAAGAGCTCCCTCAACGGCGTGCAGCTCGAAGGAACAGGTGGCGACAAGACAGAAAAGGTGGACGATGAGCCTCAGGGTCTTGGTTTGGAGAACGAGAGCCCCATGGGCTCAGAGTCTGGTGAAGACAGCGACGACGATGATGAGTTCTACGACGAAGAGGAGGACGGTACTTTTGTAGATACGCAACCAACCGAAGCAAGTACTGGCGCAGATGCCGACAACGAAAAAGTCGCGAGCCGGAAAGCGTCTGCCATGACGACTCTTAATGGCGCTTCAGCGGACAGCGCCAGGGATGCTCCAAACTCGCCATCTGTCGGCGGTGAGTACCCAGGCCCAGCAACACACGCGCCGACCGAGTGCACAGACAGCAGTACGCATTACGACAAGACTGTGGGCGACGACATCATCCCTGCGCCTCTAGGCAAAGTCTACAATTTGCTTTTCGGGTCAGCATCGACGGGGTGGATGACCAAATGGCTATCGGAAGACCAGAAGTGTCTGGAAGTGACGGTTGACGAAAAGAAGGGGTTGACCATGGACAACAACACGCGAGCATGGACATATATCAAGCCTTTATATGCTTCACTGGGTCCCAAACAGACAAAGTGTATTGTGACGGAAAATCTGGAGAGTCTTGACTTTGAAAAGTCCATTACGCTGATACTATCGACACGAACCCCCGAAGTTCCATCCGGCACGCTCTTCACAGTCAAGACTAGATATTGCTTTACCTGGGCCGAGAACAATGCGACGAGGATCCAGGTCAACTATACGACAGAGTGGACCGGCAAGAGCTGGATCAAGGGCCCGATTGAGAAGAATGTGAACGATGGGCAAGCCAAATTCTGCGAAGAGCTGTTTGCTTCGATTAAGGCAGCGGTCACGACTAGGGGTCGGTCCAATACACTTACGAATGGCGGCAAGGGCAAAAAGAAGGGCAAGAAGGGCAGGGCCAGCCTAACAACCAATGAAGGCTCAGGTGTCTCGGCCAAGCAGACTGAGACATCCAAGACCAGCTGGGGCCCGTTGGAACCTATTCGTGGGGTTCTGGAACCGATACTAGATATTCTCAAGCCGATTCTGACGGGCAATGTCATGTACGGCCTGCTTGTCGGGCTGCTCGTTGCATCGTGGTTTGGATTCGGCTTCTCACCCAGCAAGCCGGCGGGCGGTTTCGGGGGAGGCGCGGGCGGACGGGGCGAGCTAATGGACATGTATGGTCCTTTCAGGCTGGCCGCGTATGAGGAGATGTGGCGCAGAGAGGAAAGCGAGCTGTGGGAGTGGCTGGAGGAGCGGACGGGCCTGGGGCAGGTGGACTCGGACAACCATGGTATCAGGAAGCGCGCGGTTGAGCCGCGTACAATGCAGGAGAGGGTGCGTGAGTCACGGCAAGACGCGCGGGAAGTGCAGGAGGCGATTCGTGTGACGGAGGAGAAGCTCAAGGTGCTACGACAGGTGATTGTCAACAGCCGAAAGCAGGACAAGGCAAGCGAAGGTGCTTAGTGACAGGGGGCGGGTGGACAGGGGTGTGGGGACGAGTTGGCTCGGGACACGGTTCAATCGTTTGATGTTCATTTGTACACTTGGTTTGTCAGCCTGTTTTTTGGGGGGGAGTTTTTTTCTTTTTCTTTTTTTTTTTTTGGAGAGACACGGGCACGTTGATTTGCATCATCTACATGGCTAAGCGCGAACGGGTTTTGGCTTTTTTCTCCGTCGTTTTGTATACTAGAAGAATAAAAGGCACAAGTACTATAACAAAAATATGCTGTACATTAAAAAGGATGTCTCAAGCAGGGTTGACGATAAAGTACCGACGTGATGTAGGGGCATGGGTTCGTCCGGAGAGTGGAGGCGTGTGTGTGATGGTTATGATGGAACATGCAGTGGTGTTGAGGCCGGCCGTCCCGGGTTGGCAGCCGGAGGTAGACGGGATCCTCGTAGGGAAGGGGCAGAGATCAAGACATGTATCCTGACTTTTTCTCATCTATAGAGTTGTGAGATTTTCTGAGCTGTCGGTGCCATTCAAAGAAATATTGTTGATAAAAGAGGTATCGAATCGTCCATGCACAATCACCCCTCCCCCGAGCCACGGCACTGGGCACCTGGGGGGGGGTGTTGGGCTGAAGACTGGAACAGGGTGGCTCCACAGAAGGATGTGGTGTGTTCTGGCGGCGCGGCGCGGGGAGGAGGAGGGGGGACCCTCTGTGGATAGAGGTGTACTCATATGGTACGGATAAAACGGGCGGTGTTCAGGATGGAAACATGTTGGCCGGTGTGGGTGTTGGATGTATTTCCGATGCGTTGATGAAATTTGGTCTCATAATGGTGAATAGGATCGATAGCATCCATGAACTTTGTGGGAAGGGGAAACGAAAATGCGAAAATGCCAACATGAGCAATTCGTGTAGGTACCTACCTCAGGTACAGGCCTCTTACTAAGGTACAGGCCTCTAGGAGCTAGAGGTGTGTAGATTTCAGGCAGAGCCCCGCTCGTCGCTGGTGCTGTACGTTGCCATGGCAGGCTCACACGACAATTACAGGAACAAATCAACTATTATTGCTGGCACGGCAGATGCAGGTTAAAAAAAAAAGATATGGCAGCGAGAACATAGGCACCGTGTTTTCTCGACCATGCAGAGGCGTTGGACGACACAGCAGGAGCAGTGTCGTTGCACGAGGCACTACCGGGTACGGTAACTCCTGCAATGGAGAGAAGAGAACGCTGGGAGCACGCACCCCTGGCACACGCACAGAGACTCGAAGTGCGCACTGGGACGCTCGCATATTTTTATTCGGTAGGTAGGTAGCTAGTTCGAGAGTCGTAAAATGCACCAATGCTGTGCGGCACCCAGTCTGCTAGTTGCAACTTGACCTGTTATTTATCGATGGGGTAGGTGGGTGGGTGGTAGGTGGGTGGTAGGATGAGAGGATGAGAGTTGGCACTGCAGAGACACGTACGTATGTAGTTATTGTGCTTTCCGTCCGCAAGAGAGAAGGCTGCTTGACTTATAACAAGGCTGCGCGGACAATTGTCTGACATGTGCTACTAATTAGGTAGGTATTCAGTACAGTAATGGACCTATTAGATGGGGCTCGTTACCTCTCTCTCGGTTACCGCTACTCGAGGACGCGACGTTGGATGTCGGCGTTATCGAGTTGATGATTCGACGCTATGAACGGCTCAAGCATTCGCCTCTCGGAGAAATAATAAGACTCCGACTGTGACGGGCGCAACAATATCTGAACGGCTGCTCTGTGCAGACACCTTGTTTGTGTGTTGGGGGCCGTGGATGGTCACTTCGGCTCCCTCCCAGTTGCCGTTGGTAAAATATACTTTTTTGGGTGGTATTACCTAGTGGGATCTGCGACCGGGGCACTGGCTGAATCGGCGCCCCCCCTTCCCCCAGGCCTATCGTAATGTGCGGCACATGTGTAACTAGAGTAACTGGACGGCAGGCAGGCAGGTCGAATAGAGGTAGGCAGGTAGGCAATCTGGCAAATTTTTTTTTTTTTTCATTTTTGCTGTCGACGGGAAGCAAACTAGGTGGCCGCACAAAGCTGCACATCATCGACCTAGGTCATCGGGCGTTGCTTTGTGCGAGTGTCGGTGTGTATTGGTACGTGGCAGGGTTTGGCGGTAGAGCTAGCACCGCCGTGGGCGGAGAGAAAAGCCACAGCCTACAGGTGAGCCTAGAGTGTCTTTGCGCGGTGGGCCTGATGGAGAGATGGCGTTGTTGACGGCGGATGGGAGTCGAGGCGAAGCGAAGCGACACAGTTGGACAGGTCGTGGCGAGATGAGGGTGGGAGAAAGGTCGTTACTTCGTACTCCGTACGGAGGTAGGTAGTTACCTGGTAGGTAGAGGTGAAGACGCGCTGTTTAGTGGCAAACGTGGCAGCATGGAAGGACCTTGGAGATCCCTCTGCTGTCGCCACCAGCGGGCGGTGGGTGGCAACGGTAATAGTTCCTGCGCTAACGAGACGTGTGTACTCCGTACGAATGTATACCTACAGTAGAACGTGTATTCCAGATTACTAGGTAGTGTGTGATACTCTTCTGTTGTTTGTACTTGCCTGGCCAGCTAATAAGGTACCTTAGTACTAGACGTACTAGACCTGGTAACTACTAAATAGCTTCCAGGCCGTTTGTCCCCCTGCCCGCTTGTATTGCGTCTGCTACACGCCCACCCTCTCACATTTTTTCTTCTCCCCCTTCCCTTTTTTACCCTCCCCTCCCCTTCCTCCTTTCCTTCCTCTTCCTCTCACTCCTCCTCTGCCCACACCTCTCCTGTCGGCTCGCGCTGCAACCTCCACGCCTCTACCATCCCATCCAAATTTATCGACACCCCCAAGAAAAAGTCCACGTCCAGGGGGTTTTCTCTTCAACCATCCATCACAACTTCTCGAATCCCGTGTTGGCTCGAGGCAAGCATTGCTTCCTTCTCCTCCGCCTTGCCTCACCCGCCGCCGCCGCGGCGCCCGTTTCCCGTTGCACCGCCCTTTTTTTTTTTTTCTTTGGTTCGCCACCTTTTTGTTTACGAAATCCCTCGCCTGCGTTGTCGTGGGCTCGCCCAGCCCTACTCCTGTCCCCGCCAACGCGGTCTTTGGGTGGACAAAACACTTCAATCTGAACAACAACTACGTCGCTTGCATCACGTTACCGCCCGTCGTTGTTTGATTTCATCGCTGCCTCCCCCCAACCCCTCGCTCGGATAACGCCAAGTCGCCGCGCGCTCAATACCGACAACCCTCCGTGACACATAGGTTCGCTTTCAGCACAAACCCAGATTCAATCCTCGGTCCACGCCATAGCCTCACCCGTCGCGTCGTACACTTGCCCCGTCCTCGTCGACAGATCCTTCCCGCAACACACACGGCGTGCAAGATGTCGGCACTGGGGCCCTCTGGCTCCAACGCGCATGCCGCCTTGAATTTACCGCAGGCTGGCCTCCGTCGCGGTACTGCCTTCCCACCATCGCACCCGAACCAGCCTAATAAGCCGCCGCCCGCGCCCCATGCCGCTTCGCCCTATCAAACCTACACGCCGCAGCAGTCCACCACGAGCGCCTTTCATCAGATGTTCACCCCGAACCAAATGAATGCCAATGCTCCCAATGGACCTTCGCGCGCCCCCAATTCTCATGTTCCCAATAATCTCGCCGCCCAGCGCCAGCGTGGTGCCCCCCCTCGCCAGCAAATGGCCCAACCGAATCCTTCACCCATGGTCTTCCCTGGCTCCATTAGCCAATCTATTCAACATGATCCGATCCTCTCCCATCACCAGCACCCCCAGCAGCACCCCCAGCAGCATCAGCAGCATCCGCAGCAGCACCAGCAGCACCAGCAGCAATCCCACCACCAGCAACAACACCCAGGACACCAGAACCACCAGCAACAGGGACAGCATCAGCAACATCCTCACCAGCAGCAACATCAGCAACATCAACAGCAACATCCTGGTCCTCCCACCCATCCCATGACGGCACAACATAGCCAACAGAGCCAACAAACCCAGCAATCGCATCAACACCAACCTCAGCAACCTCAACAGCCTCACCACAACCATACTGGCCACCCCACCCACCCGACACATCAACACCCCGCTCATCAGAGCCATCCGCTACACCAGCCTCATCAGTCACTGCAGCAGCAGCAACAACAACATCAGCAGCAGCAGCAGCAGCAGCAGCAGCAGCAGCAACACCAGCATGCCCAGTTACAGCAGCAGCAGCAGCAGCAGCAGCAGCAGCAACACCAGCACCAGCAACAACAGGCTCAGCAGCAGCAGCAAGCACAGCAGCAGCAGGCTCAACAGCAGCAGCAAGCCCAACAAAAGCAGCAGTCTCAACCTCAGCTTCCGCCGCAACAACGCACTCCGCAACCGCAACCACAGAAGCAGCCGACCCCCCAGCAGCAGCAGCAACCAGGTCCTTCGAACCAGCAACAATCATTGCAGCACCAAGCAAAAAGCCGTACTCCACAAGCGCAGCAAACTCACGTTACTCCTCAATCAATCCCTGCTCGTCTCCCACAACAAGAGGACCACACGGTCGAAGATGTCGAAATGGACGGTCAGGGAGCAACTGAGGACCCTAATGCCTTGGATGCCAAGCTTCGCAACGATCCATCGTTTGTCCCATCACAACCTATGGGTGATATGATGTCGCCGCCGCCAGAAGGCGGCAGCTATCCCACACTAGAAGCCGTGCAAAAAGCCGTTCTTCGTTACTGTACCTCTGTCGGTTATGCTATTGTCATTGGCCGTTCCAAGAAGACGGTACCTGGGCTGAAGAAGGTTCTTTTTGTTTGTGACAGAGCTGGGAAGCCTCCAAGCCGTGTCAGCCCTGAATTCCGTAAACGCAAGACGTCGTCTCGCAAATGCGACTGTCCATTTGGTTTCTTTGCTATTGAACAGCGTACCCAGTGGACTATTCGTTACCGACCCAACCCGCAACATCTGACGCACAATCATGGCCCCAGCGAAGGTCCTTCGGACCACCCTGCCGCTAGGAAACTGGACAGCAAAATGGTCGCCGAGGTCAAGCGACTCAAAGAAAATGGTAGGCTTGTTAACGCCATTTGCCTGCAGACTTACACTAACTGTAAAGCAACAACAGGGGCGGGCGTGCCAGAAACGTTGCAAATTCTGCAAACTGAAAACCCTGAATGCCACCTCCTCCCGAGAGACATTTACAACGCGCGAGCTGCTATCAATCGCAATCCGACCAAGGTGGCATCAGGTATTGCTGAAAACCGGCCAGCGATATACACCAAGACGGCACAGTCCCCGGAGGACCGAATCCGTGCTGAACTACGGCGTGAGCTCTCCAAGGTCCGCGATGATATGAAGAAGATGGAAGAAGAGAAGCAAAAGGAAATCGACGCGCTCAAGATTCAACTCAAGGAAAAGGAGCAGCTAATTGAAAAGTTTGAAATGTTCATCGACATTTGCAACGGAAGAGTCATGGTGCAGCGCCAGAGACTGGCTGGTCAGGAGCAAGGCGGCGCCAGCGGAAGCAATCCAGCACCTTAGCTGTGTGTGATGGAGCTGGCGCGACAAATTTAATATACGGAGAGGAGTCAGAAAGAGGAGCCTGTCTGGAAGCAGTACGGAAATATGGTTTCACATGCTGTTATACGGTAACTTGATTAAGTTGTATGTCTTGTCTTTTTTCATGCTGGCTAGGGTTAGCCAGGCGGAGTATTCAGGATTGGATTGGGTTGTTCTATACGTACTATGTACAATTTTACCGTCAGCGCTCGCCGAGGAAGGCTGCAAGGTCACGGTTGGGAAGGTATGGGAGGAGGCGTGAGTTGGCCGGACTGGCCGCACAAGGTCCAGGTTTTTTTTTTTGTCTATATTTATCAGTCGGGGCTTCTAAGCCGAGGACCTCAAGCGGAATATATCTATGGTTTATCTCTTGGCCGGGGCTTCTACGCCGCGAACCTTGTTCCAAATACGTCTATATTTTATTCATTCGTCGGGTGCTCTAGCTCCCACGCCGGATGTCGAGGTCATGATGCAGCAATACCGTGACAGGTGTGCGGCGTACGACCAAACTGTAGTGCTTGTGTGCGACGTCTGCAGCATGTAGTCGGGCCGCCACAGCCAGTCGAGAGTCAAGCCACAGGTCCCAAGCTGCCACATGCTAGGCGCGACAAAAGCAGGGCGCGACCCCACTACAAAGTCGCGTACCTTGCCGCAGCCTAATGGGGTCTGGTAATAACGGCTACGTACCTACACCTTTTGGTTCTCATTTCCGTTCCTTGCAGTGGGGATGTTAGTAGTTACTGCTTAGTTTGCCGTACCTACCCTACCTAATTAGTACCTGTTTGCTGCTTGGGTACCACCCAAAGCACATACCAACACTCACCTCCATTTCCTTCCTACCTACCTAGCATGACAACGCCGGCATTGCGCAAACACCCTAATTCTTCTACCTAATACATCCCCTTCTGATAACCACAAACTGGTCTTCTCCCTCGGAGGCCTGGATCTGTCATTGCAATAATTTGCCTTCTTTCTTTCTTGCCACTGTCTACTCGCAGTCGTGGCACCGATACCCCCCCGTTTCGTTCACAACGCCCCTGAGATTTTGGAAAGGTGACGCTTCCCGACTTTGCTGGCCAACGCAACAACCGACCTCGAGTTATTCCCTCGCATAAGAAATTGCATACCACCACCGCTCTCTGCCAGAAAATCAACACGTAACACTCTTCAGCTTTGACATCGATACACGCCACACCGGATATGGTCCGTTTGACGCTTCACTCTTCGACATAGACTTTCCGCCCTCCATCGCTCCACGACCCGATCTCTTGTTGCGGCAACCTTCCTATCCGAATACGCTGTCATGGAGGTCTCGTTGCCACCGGCGTCGGCACTTACCCCCAACGGTCTCGCGTCGCCGGCCCCTTTCCCGACCATCGAGCCGGAGCGCGTGCTGGACCATCTCGTCGCCGTCTGCCAGGTGGCCCTTGGCGCGACCAAGGAGGAGCTCGAGCAGCCTGGAAGCTTGCTTAGCAGCGCGCGTCATGCTGAGACGGTCACTCGCTGCACGCGATTTGCCAACGATAACCAAAATGTGCTCTACATTCAAAAGGACATTGCTACGTCTTCCACTGTGGATGCGCGAAGCGACGTTGCTGGTACGTAATCTAGCAAGGAGCTCCGGGGCGCTTCTTGGGGATGACTTTGAGCTGATAGCTAACGTACCGCTCGGAAACAGTTCCGTCGTCATTCCACTACACACTCACGACCGAGATCTCGTCCACTGCCACGACCGTCGCGTCTCTTATCCTGCTAAAATCGCCACAGCCCATCGACCCAACCCGATCACTCACAGCCCAGATCTTCATCACAAACTTGCCTGGACCCGCTGCTCTCAACGCCGCGGTTGGAGAACAGGGCACAAGCATTTCTCCGTGGGAGGTCCTACACTCGCAGGTGCACCACGCTTTGGTCCCGTACTTTGACGCCAACACCAAGAGCCAGCTGACCGCCAACGGTCTGCGCGGCCGCGCCGATGTCGACGCCAAGACTGGTATCCCCGTCACCAAGAAGAGGCTCAACGACCTGGAGCTGAGCCTGCTCCATCTACAGCAGAACGTCGACATCCCCGAGATTTCCTTGACGTTCCACTCCATTGTTCAGAATGCTCTTGAAGAAGCCGAGTCTCGTCACGGCCGACCATCCATCGATTCTATTCCGTCCATGCTGCTCCAAGACAGCACATTCCTCAACCGCTTGCAGGCCAACGTCAACACATGGATTAAGTCAATCCAGGGCGTCACCAAGATGACGAAAGACCCTTCATCTGCCAGCGAATTCACAACAGCCAGCCAGGAAGTCAACTTCTGGTTGTCCATGGAGTCGGCTCTAGAGGGCATCGAGGGACAACTTCGCAGCGAGGGCGTTCTGTTGACCCTCGAGATTCTCAAGCACGCCAAGCGCTTTCAGGCGACTGTCAGCTTCACTGCCGATACCGGTCTCAAGGAAGCCATGGACAAGGTACAAAAGTATAACCAGCTCATGCGAGACTTTCCTCTAGACGAGCTTCTGTCTGCGACATCCCTACCCAAGGTTCAGGAAGCTATTTCTCAAATTTTCAGTCATCTCACTAAAAAGCTGAGAATTTGCCCATACCCCATTCGCAGAGCGCTGCCGCTGGTCGAGGCCATCTCTGCCGATTTGGATGACGTGCTCCACCGGCTGCTTCCCGGCCTGGAGCTTGTCAATCTCGATTATCAACAGTTCCAGACTATCATGCGCACTTGTGACGAGATTTTCCAGACTTGGGAGGACAACATCAAGGAATTCACTAATGTCGCCCGTGAAGTGACACGCCGCAGAAACGAGAAGTTCATCCCCATCAAGATTATCAAGAAGCATTTGGAACTGGAGTCGCGTATCAAGTATGTCAGCACTTTCCGTGATAACCACGAGCAGCTCCAGCGCACTATCGTCAATGTCCTTGGCCCCAACGCCACCATCCCCGGAACAACAGAAACCACTACTACAAATGGCATTGTGATGGAGGAGATGGGCGATGTGGACGCCGTCGAAGAGGTTCAACAGGCTTGGGAAGCTTTGCAAAATGTTGACCTCCTGGATGTCAGCGAGCAAGGCAAAGAGCGCTGGGTCCTGGCAGAAAACCTTTACAACGAGCGCACCACAAGAGTAGAAAACTCAATCATTGCGCGCCTTCGTGATCGCCTAGCGACTGCCAAGACGGCCAACGAAATGTTTCGCGTCTTCTCTAAGTTCAACGCACTTTTTGTGCGTCCCAAGATTCGCGGTGCCATTCAAGAGTACCAGAACCAGCTGATGGATCACGTCAAGCAGGCCATCAACGGTCTCCACGAAAGATTTAAGCAGCAATATGGCCACTCGGAAGCTCACGCAATGGCCCAACTGCGTGACTTGCCTCCCGTATCTGGCGCCATTATTTGGGCTCGCCAGATTGAATTTCAACTCGACGGTTACATGCGCAAGGTAGAGGCTGTTCTTGGTCCTGACTGGACTCTGCATGCTGAGGGCCACAAACTCCAAGAGGAAAGTGAACTGTTTAAGCACAAGCTCGATACTGCTCGTATTTACGAGGCTTGGCTTGCCGATGTCGGCCGCCGCAAGATTTCCATCTCTGGCCAACTTTTCGACATTGCTCGCGTCCGTTCTGCTGGTGGCATTCTGGAGCTCGCTGTCAACTTTGATCCCCAGATCATTACTCTTTTCAAGGAGACGCGTAATTTGACGTGGCAGTCCTACTCTGTGCCTCATGCCGTCACCACAGTGTCCAAAGATGCCAAGCGCGTGTATCCATATGCAGTAAGTCTGATGGAGAGTGTAAGAACCCTATCTCAAACGCTCCGTCAAATATCTACCATGGGCGAGGAGTCTGTTCTACTGAATGGTTATCGCAATGATGTCTACAAACTCATTGGTGATGGTGTGCCACTGCGATGGGAGTCTTTTATCAACTCGCATGAGCTCTTTTACACCGACCAGAGGCAGACAAGAGCATTACTACCCGGCGCCAACGACTATGGTCTAGCGAAGAACACGGAAAGCAAACATGGCATGTTCATTCGTGGATTCGCAGCGGCGGTGTCCGTGCTGCAAAGCAAAGCTGTTGCTTTGAGCTATATTCATGCTACAGTTGAACAGGCTCTCAAAGAGCTTGGCGCATGCGACTATGATCCTGCTGCCTTCCAGTCGAGACTCGACACTATTCAGGCTGCAGTTGATCAGCTGAATCTGGAACAATACGTCAACCTTGAATTCTGGGTCCGAGATCTAAACAAGAAGATCCAAGCTGCTCTGCTCGACCGTCTGCACAGTGCCATTCAGTCGTGGATCGCTGCGTTTGAAGACGAGACCTTCGAGGGCACCCGCCGCAAACCCATCGCTGAAGAGGAAGCCAAGCCTACAGCGCCCACCATGAAGCGCCTGATTCTGGAAGTAGCCATGCGCAACCAGGTCATCTATCTTGACCCACCTATGGAGTACGCCAGAGCCAGCTGGTTCTTACACTTACATGAGTGGCTAGGTATTGTCTGTAACTTGCGCAAGATCAAGGCCGCCCGTTACCAGATGAGCCTCAACACTTCCATTACTGACGAGGCTCGCTTCACCGATCTGCCCACTGAGTGTGCTGATACACTCCGACGAGTCTACGTGTCCGTCGAGAAGAAGCTACACGAAATCAGCGCCTACGTGGACAAGTGGCTGCAGTTCCAGTCCCTTTGGGATCTCCAATCCGAGCAAGTTTATGACATGCTTGGCGACCATCTACCGCGCTGGCTGGAGTGCTTACAAGATATCCGAAAGGTGCGCACCACATTCGATACCCAGGAAGTCAGCCGCTCCTTTGGCCATCTTACCGTTGATTACGACCAAGTCCAAACCAAGGTGAACGCCAAATACGACCAATGGCAGCAGGAGATACTCATCAAATTTGCTGGTCGCCTCGGAACTCGCATGCGCGAAGTCAACGCCGATATTGAAAAAGCTCGCAAGAGTCTTGAGGGCCAGAGTTCTGACACCTCGTCCACAGCCCAAGCTGTTCAGTTCATTACTGCTGTCCAGACCTGCAAGAAAAATGTGAAGCTGTGGGCTCCTGAGATTGACATGTTCCGCCAGGGCCAGTCTACGCTTGTCCGCCAACGGTATCACTTCCCAAATGACTGGCTACACATTGAACAAATCGACAGCCAGTGGGAGGCTCTCAAGGAGATTCTCGAGAAGAAGTCCCGTGTCATGGAAGAACAGTCGGACGCTATGCGAGCCAACATTATTGCCCAGGACAAACTTGTCAGCGGACGTATTGCGGAGATTGTGGTCCAATGGAACGAAGACAAGCCTGTCTCTGGTACAATTCAACCTGACATTGCGTCTGCGACGCTGAGCGGCTTCGAGACTCGTATTTCTGCCCTCCAGGAGGATTTGCAGCAAGTCATCAAGGCCAAGGAAGCACTTGACCTTCCCGGATCCGCAGACGATTCGCTTGAAGCTACGCTGGAGGAAGTCCGCGATTTCCAGTCTGTCTGGTCTAACCTCTCCACCATTTGGGCCAATTTGAACGAAACTCGAGACATCCTCTGGACAGCTGTTCAGCCTCGTAAGATCCGCTCCAAGGTGGACGATCTCATCAAGAGTACCAAGGAGATGCCCAGCAGAATGCGCCAGTATGCTGCATTTGAACATGTTCAGGGCATTCTGCGTGGGTTCCTCAAAGTCAACCCTACTCTGTCCGATCTCAAATCTGATGCTATCCGCGAGCGTCATTGGCACAAAATCTACAAGCAGATTAAACCGCAAAAACGCTTTTCTCCGAGCTCTATGACACTTGGTGATGTCTGGGATCTGAACTTAGTTGCCACCGAAGCCGTTGTCAAGGACATTATTGCCCAGGCCCAGGGTGAAATGGCCCTTGAAGAGTTCCTGAAGCAAGTCCGCGAGACCTGGCAAAATTACGCGCTCGAAATGGTCAATTACCAGAACAAATGCAGACTTATCCGTGGCTGGGACGATTTGTTTGCCAAGTGCAGTGAAAACCTGAACTCTCTGCAGGCCATGAAGCACTCGCCGTACTACAAGGAATTTGAAGAGGAAGCCGTTTCCTGGGAAGACAAGCTCAACCGAGTGCACGTGTTGTTTGACGTATGGATCGATGTGCAGCGGCAGTGGGTGTACCTCGAAGGTGTTTTTACCGGCAATGCCGACATCAAGCACCTCCTCCCCATCGAGTCTGGCCGCTTTCAAAATATTAACAGCGAATTCCTGGCCGTTATGAAAAAGGCAAACAAGACACCCTATGTGCTTGATGTTCTCAACATTCCCAACGCCCAAAAGTCTCTTGAGCGCCTAGCTGAAATGCTGAACAAGATCCAGAAAGCCCTTGGTGAATATCTCGAAAAGGAACGTGTTTCGTTCCCTCGATTCTACTTTGTTGGTGACGAAGATCTGCTTGAGATGATTGGCAACAGCAACGACACTCTCCGTATTGCCAAGCACTTCAAGAAGATGTTTGCAGGTCTTTGTGGCCTGGTTATGGACGACGAGACAATTATTTCCGGATTCACCTCGAAGGAGGGCGAAGTCGTCAAGTTGAACAAGCAAATTTCCTTGGCCCAGACGCCGCGCATCAACGACTGGCTGGCTTTGCTCGAGGGTGGTATGAAAACCAGCCTCGCTGACCTCCTTTCCGAGGCCGTGGAACTGTACAACCCCATATTCCAGTCTAGCACCATTGACAAAGCAGCACTGCGCGACTACATGGAAGTCTTCCCTAGCCAGATTGTGGTTCTTGCTTCCCAGGCTGTCTGGACCACTGCTGTTGAGGATTCCCTCATCAACGGCGGTCACAATCTCCAGGATCTGTTTGAGCGCGAAGTCCAGATTCTCCGTGTGCTTGCTGACACCGTTCTCGAGGAGCTGCCCATTATCCTCCGCAAGAAGTGCGAACAAATGATTACCGAATGCGTCCACCAGCGAGACGTGATTGACAAGCTCGTTGCCGCCAAGGCGGATTCCCCTACGCACTACTTCTGGCAGCTGCAGATGCGCTACGTCTACTCATCTCAAGGCCCTGCCCTTGACCGTCTGCATATCAAGATGGCTAATGCTAAGCTAAACTACGGCTTCGAATATCTTGGTGTTCCAGACCGTCTTGTGCGCACACCGCTCACAGATCGATGCTTCTTGACCCTCACCCAAGCTTTGTGTCAACGCCTTGGTGGCTCTCCTTACGGACCTGCCGGTACTGGTAAAACTGAGTCGGTCAAGGCGCTTGGTGTGCAGCTCGGTAGATTTACCCTCGTTTTTTGCTGTGATGACACTTTTGATTTCCAGGCAATGGGTCGTATCTTCCTTGGTATCTGCCAGGTCGGTGCTTGGGGCTGTTTCGACGAGTTCAACCGTCTCGAGGAGCGTATCCTCTCTGCCGTTTCACAGCAGATTCAGAACATCCAGCTCGGCTTGAAGCGCGGCGGCGAGGGCGATGACTCCCAGATTGACCTTATTGGGCGTCAGCTGCGCGTTAACGAGAATACGGGCATCTTCATCACCATGAACCCGGGCTATGCAGGCCGCTCCAACCTGCCCGACAACTTGAAGAAGCTCTTCCGCAGTGTCGCCATGTCCAAGCCCGATAAGGAGCTTATTGCCGAGGTCATGCTGTACTCTCAGGGTTTCAACCAAGCCAAAAAACTCTCCAAGCAGGCTGTTCCATTCTTCGACATGTGCTCCAAGCAACTCTCCAAGCAAGCGCATTACGATTTTGGTCTGCGTGCGCTGAAGAGTGTTTTGGTCAGCTCCGGTGGCCTCAAGCGAGCCCGTATCACTAACACCGAGCTCGGTACCGGGGTAGTTATGGAGCCCGAAATTATTGTGCAGAGTATCCGCGAGACTATTGCGCCGAAGCTCATCAAATCTGATGTCGATATCATGACAAATATTGAGGGCGAATGCTTCCCCGGCGTCAAATATGTGCCAGCCAATCTGCATGCCCTCGAGGAGGCTATTCGTGCCATTGCGGCGGAGAGACAGTTGGTCGTTACCGATATTTGGATGACGAAGGTCCTCCAGCTCTATCAAATTCAAAATATTCACCATGGTGTTATGATGGTCGGAAATTCTGGTAGCGGAAAGTCGGCTGCTTGGAAATTGCTGCTTGACGCTCTCCAACGCGTTGAGGGCATCGAAGGAATTTCTCACGTCATTGACTCCAAGGTTATGTCCAAGGAAGCTCTCTATGGTAACCTCGACTCTACAACCCGCGAGTGGACCGACGGTCTCTTTACGAGCATTCTGCGAAAAATCGTTGACAACTTGCGTGGTGAGGACTCTAAGCGTCACTGGATCGTCTTTGATGGTGATGTCGACCCCGAATGGGTCGAAAACTTGAACAGTGTTCTAGACGACAACAAGCTGCTCACCCTGCCTAATGGTGAACGTCTGAACCTGCCTTCCAATGTTCGCATTATGTTTGAAGTTGAAACGCTCAAGTATGCCACCTTGGCTACAGTATCTCGTTGTGGTATGGTCTGGTTCAGCGAGGAAACTGTAACACCCAAGATGGTCATCAGCAACTACCTCGAGTCGCTGCGCAATGTGCCCTTTGAGGATCTTGATGAGGACAGTGTCGCCACGGGCCAGAGCGCCGCCAAAACACTCGCCGTACAGAGCCAGGCTGCAGACCTTCTCCAGAGCTATCTCGAAGGCGATGACTTTGTTATGCAAGCCCTCGAAAAGTCGGAAAAGTACAACCATATCATGGAGTTTACCATTGCTCGTGTACTCACCACCATGTTCTCCCTCCTCAACAAGGCCGTTCGCGACATTATTGAGTACAATGGCCAGCACAGCGACTTTCCTCTCGAGCTGGAGCAGGTTGAGGCATTCCTCCCCAAGAGACTACTACTTGCTCTTGTGTGGGCCTTTACCGGCGACTGTCCTCTCGATGATCGCAAAGCCTTTGGTGATGAGATTTGTGCCTTTGCCAACTTTGGCTCCCCGCCTCTTGACGGTTCCAGCTCGCTAATCGACTTTGACGTGAACCTACCCAAGGCTGAGTGGACCTCTTGGCAGACCCAAGTGCCAACCATTGAGGTCAACACGCATTCCATCATTCAGACCGACGTTGTGATTCCTACGCTGGACACTGTACGCCACGAAGACGTCCTGTACTCTTGGCTGGCTGAGCATAAGCCGCTCCTGCTTTGCGGTCCTCCTGGTTCCGGTAAAACGATGACACTGTTCAGTGCCCTTCGCAAGCTGCCCAACATGGAAGTCGTCGGCCTCAACTTTTCTAGTGCCACTACCCCCGACCTTCTGATCAAGACTTTTGAGCAGTACTGCGAGTACAAGAAGACACTGAACGGCGTGATGCTATCGCCCACGCAGATTGGACGCTGGCTTGTTGTCTTTTGCGATGAAATAAACTTGCCCGCGCCCGACAAGTACGGAACTCAGCGCGCCATTTCCTTCCTTCGCCAGCTTGTTGAGCACAATGGTTTCTGGCGCACATCGGATAAGTCATGGGTGACGCTTGATCGTATCCAGTTTGTTGGTGCCTGTAACCCGCCCACCGATGCTGGAAGAACGCCCATGGGCGCCAGATTCCTCCGCCACGCTCCTCTCATTATGGTTGACTACCCCGGTGAGCTGTCTCTCAACCAGATTTACGGCACATTCAACTCGGCCGTGCTCAAGATCATCCCCGCTCTTCGTGGATACGCCGAGCCGCTCACGCAATCCATGGTACGCTTTTACCTCGAGTCACAGAAGCGCTTTACGCCCAAGATCCAGCCGCACTACGTATACAGTCCCCGTGAACTCACCCGCTGGGTGCGTGGTATCTATGAAGCTATCAAACCGCTCGAGACACTATCAATCGAAGGCCTGGTCCGTATCTGGTCCCACGAAGCTCTGCGTCTATTCCAAGATCGTCTGGTGGCGGAAGACGAGCGTAAGTGGACAGAGGATTCCGTTCACAAGATTGCGCTGCAGTACTTCCCGACAATTGACGAGGAAAAGGCTCTCGGAGGGCCGATCCTCTTCTCCAATTGGCTGTCAAAGAATTATATTCCCGTCGATCGTGAGCAGCTGCGCGACTTTGTTAAAGCTCGCCTCAAGACTTTCTGCGAAGAAGAGGTGGACGTACCTCTTATCCTCTTCAACGACGTGCTGGAGCATGTTTTGCGGATCGATCGTGTGTTCCGCCAGCCTCAGGGCCATTTGATTCTCATTGGTGTCAGTGGCTCCGGAAAGACAACGCTCTCGCGCTTCGTCGCCTGGATGAACGGCCTCAAAGTGTTCCAGATCAAGGTGCACGGCAAGTACTCTGCCGAGGACTTTGACGACGACTTGCGCGAGGTCTTGCGCCGCTGTGGCTGCAAGGGCGAAAAGATCTGCTTCATCATGGATGAAGCCAACGTTCTGGACTCCGGTTTCCTGGAGCGCATGAACACCTTGCTGGCCAACGCAGAAGTCCCCGGTCTGTTTGAAGGTGACGAGTATGCAGCTCTCATGACTGCTTGCAAGGAAGGTTCACAGCGCCAGAACTTGCACTTGGACTCTCCGGAAGAATTGTACAAATGGTTCACTCAACAGATTGTCAATAACCTCCACGTTGTTTTTACCATGAACCCGCCTGAGGATGGTCTCACTTCCAAGACTGCGACAAGCCCTGCGCTTTTCAACCGTTGCGTGCTTAACTGGTTTGGAGACTGGTCCGACCAGGCACTATTCCAGGTCGGCCACGAACTTACACAGTCTATTGATCTGGATAAGAGCAGTTGGTCTGCACCTGATACTGTGCCCGTTGCCTATCGTGGCCTCACCCTGCCACCTTCTCACCGCGAGACTATTGTCAACTCGATGGTGTATATTCACTACTCGCTCGCGCGATATAACGAGAAGCTGTACAAGCAACAGAAAAAGATCACCTTCCTTACCCCACGTCATTTCCTGGACTTTGTGGGCCAGTATGTCAAGTTGTACACGGAAAAGCGCGAGGATCTCGAGGAACAGCAGCGTCATTTGAATGTCGGTCTCGAGAAGCTGAGAGACACTGTTGACAAGGTGCGCGATCTTCGCGTCAGCCTGGCCGAGAAGAAGGGACAGCTTGAACAGAAGGATGCGGAGGCGAACGAGAAACTGCAGCGCATGGTTGCAGACCAGCGCGAAGCAGAGCAGAGGAAGAACACATCGTTGGAGATTCAAGCTTCTCTGGAGAAGCAGGAGGCGGAAGTGGCCACGCGAAGGAAGGTCGTGTTAGAGGATCTCGACAAGGCTGAACCCGCCGTCGAAGAGGCCAGGGCTAGTGTCAGCAACATCAAGCGTCAACACCTGACTGAAGTCCGATCAATGGGTAGCCCGCCGCAGGGTGTCAGACTTGCGCTGGAAGCCGTCTGCACGCTGCTCGGGCACCGAATCAATGACTGGAAAAGTGTGCTGGCCATTGTGCGCAAGGACGACTTTATTGCGAGCATTCTTATGTTTGACAATGCCAAGCAGATGACGAGATCGCTGCGAAACAAAATGCGCAACGATTTCTTTTCCATTCCCGAATTTACCTTTGAAAAGGTTAACCGAGCTTCCAAGGCGTGCGGTCCCCTCGTCCAATGGGTCTCGGCTCAGGTCAACTACTCCGACATTCTTGATCGTGTAGGACCCCTGAAGGAAGAAGTTACGCAACTTGAGGAGCAGGCTCTACAAACCAAAGCCAACGCCAAGGCCGTCGAGAACAACATTGCAGAGCTCGAGTCCAGTATCAACACGTACAAGACTGAATATGCTGCGCTCATCAGCGAGACCCAAGCAATCAAGGCGGAAATGTCAAAGGTTCAGTTCAAGGTCGATCGCAGTGTCCGCCTGCTGGATAGTCTCTCCTCTGAACGCGCCCGATGGGAGGAAGGCAGCAAGTCGTTTGAGACGCAAATCAGCACTCTTGTCGGCGACGTCCTGGTTGCTGCCGCCTTTCTCGCGTATAGCGGTTTGTACGACCAGCAGTTCAGAAAGTCCATGATGGATGACTGGTTGCACCAGCTATACCTCTCTGGCATCCAGTATAAAACACCGAACCCGGTTACCGAGTACCTTTCAAGTGCGGATGAACGCTTGGGCTGGCAAGAGAACTCGCTGCCAGTGGATGACCTTTGCACTGAAAATGCAATTATCCTCAAGCGCTTCAACCGTTACCCATTGATTATCGACCCCTCTGGCAGAGTCACCGAATTCTTACAAAAGGAGTGCAAGGATCGTCGCTTGACCGTGACCAGCTTTCTGGATGACACGTTTACGAAGCAACTTGAGTCCTCGCTCCGTTTCGGCAACCCCATCTTGATCCAGGATGCGGAGCATCTCGACCCGATCCTGAACCATGTTCTCAACAAAGAATACCAGCGCACTGGTGGTCGTGTCCTGATCCAGCTTGGCAAGCAGGAGATTGATTTCTCGCCAGCCTTTAAGCTGTATCTTTCTACGAGAGATCCGTCGGCCACTTTTGCTCCCGATATTTGCAGTCGTACCACGTTTGTCAACTTTACCGTCACGCAAAGCAGTTTACAGACGCAGTCGCTCAACGACGTTCTCAAGTCGGAGCGTCCCGACGTAGATGAGAGGCGTTCCAACCTCATTAAGCTGCAGGGCGAGTTTAAGGTCCATCTACGACAGCTGGAAAAGCAACTTTTGCAGGCCCTCAACGAATCTCGTGGCAACATTTTGGATGACGACAACGTCATTGAGACTCTGGAGACACTCAAGCGAGAGGCGGCCGAGATTTCTGCCAAGATGAGCAACACGGAAGGTGTCATGGCGGAGGTGGAAGAAATTACGCAACAATACGCTGTCATTGCCCGAGCATGCAGCGCCGTTTTCGCTGTGCTTGAGAACCTTCATTACCTCAACCACTTTTACCAGTTCTCGCTACAATACTTCTTGGACATATTCCAGTCCGTGCTGCACAACAACCAGAGTCTGGCCAACGTGACGAATCACAACGAGCGCCGTGACATTATTGTCAAGGAATTGTTTATCAACACGTTCAAACGAACAGCGCTCGGTCTACTACAGAAAGATCGCGTCGCACTGGCACTCCTGCTGGCACAGGCAACACCGTACAAGATGGACAAGTCTCTGCTCGACCATGTTTTGGACAAGCGATTTGAAGGACGTGATCTATCGTCCAACCCTGAGGCGCGAGACGAAGCCTTTATCGAAGCGAGGAAGATTGGCGCGCTGAAGGAGCTTCTCGACGGAGTGGCCACGTCGGACTGGGACAAGTTCTTTACCGAGGAGCTTGGCGAGAATGCTGTGCCCAAGGTTTGGAGTGAGAATGCGAATGCCATGGACCAAGCCCTTTTTGCGCTCCTGCTGGTCAAGTGCTTCAGGATGGACCGTTTCGTGCCTGCCGCCGAGAGGTTTGTGGCGCAAGTCTTTGGAGCTGAAACATTTGATATTGTGGAAGATTTAAAGGGCACGGCGGTGCAAGTATCTGCTACGCTGCCCATTGCGCTTGTTTCTACGCCTGGTTTCGATGCTAGCTACAAGGTGGACAATCTGGTGGAGAGAGTCAAGGTCGGGTGCACCAATATTGCCATGGGTTCCAACGAAGGACTGGCGAGCGCGGACAAGGCCATCACGAGTGCGGCCGAGACGGGATCGTGGGTTCTTGTCAAGAATGTTCACTTGGCGCCGACGTGGCTGCAAAGCTTGGAGAAGCGGATGGAGTCGCTGAACCCGCACAAGGACTTTCGCCTGTTCCTCTCTATGGAATCGAGCCCAAAGATTCCTGTCAATTTGCTGCGTGCTTCGCGCGTGCTCATGTACGAACAGCCGGCGGGTGTTCGTGCCAACATGAAGGACTCGATGTCGTCGCTGTCAACGCGGGCGACCAAGCGACCAGTCGAGCGCGCGCGGCTGTACATGCTCATTTCGTTTTTGCACGCCGTTGTGCAGGAGAGATTGCGGTATGCGCCGACTCTTGGTTGGAATGGGTTCTGGGAATTCAACGACAGCGACTACGAATGCTCTGCTTTCATCATTGACACTTGGCTGGACAATGTGGCGGGCAACCGTACCAACATTGCGCCGCAAAACATCCCATGGGACATGATTCGCTACCTGGTGACGGAGACATATGGCGGCAAGGTGGATGACGAGGGTGACTTTGACCTGCTGCGGCAGCTGGTGCACCAGATGCTAACACCGGCGGCGTACGAGGCGGACCACAAGCTGGTGGAGGGGCCGGATGGGGGGCTGACGGTGCCGTCAGGGACAAGCCTGGATGAGTTTATGGCGTGGGTGCACAACCTGCCGGAGCGTGAGCCGCCGACGTACCTGGGTCTGCCGGCGAACGCGGAGAAGCTTCTGCTGGGCGGACTGGGACGCAGCCTGGTTGAGAATGTGAGAAGCGTGACGGAGATTTTGGATGAGGGAGAGCAGCTGATGGCTGACGCATGATGGCCGAGGGAACGAAGGAGGCGAGGTATAATTATTGTATAAAATTGGCATGTGGTTATATTGTGACTTGAGATTTGTTTTATAGAATACAAGAAGATTTTGACGATACGACTGATGGGTGAGTATTCATCATGAAGTAAGTGTGGCGTAGGTACAGTGAGTGGGTGTATGTACTCGGTGAGGTGCAAAGGACGGGCTGAGCGAGTGGAGAAGATCGGACGGACCCGGTGCAACCCCACACGTTGCGGAAGGCGCTGCGGCATTGCGGGTAGACTAAAGGGCGGAATAGAGTGGCCGCCGGAGAATAGGGATGATTTAAGATGGATAGGAATGAGACAATGGTAGACCTAATGTTGTGATATTAAAGTATAAGTTGAAATATTTACTTGTACTTTATAAAATATGTTTCCAAGTTTCTTTCTTTTCTTTTGTTTTTATAAGTATTGAAAATGAATATATAAATTTATAAATATATAAATATAATACTATAATATCACAATACTAAAAATTCTAGTATAATTAGAAAAATGATAATTTGTACTCCAAGTATATTCTCGTGACTACATCAGCCTCAACCTGGTGCGGCGTCGTTGTATCGGCTAAGCCGAGGAACTATTAGGGTCGACTTTGAAAACACATTTCTCTCAGTTCTGTAAAAAGATGGAAATTGGGCAGTTCTGGTGGGGAAATAGAGCTTGACCTGTCATGACTGGTGATCTAACTGAGCCACGAGCAGCTATCGTGCGGTGTAGTTTGTTTGTGGGGATGGCGAATGGCTGGGCTGCATCTTCGGACAGGGCTGAGGAGGTTAACTACTACAGAGGTTGGACCGGCTACTGTTTGGCTATTTTACTAGTTAATTTTGGCACCGGGTTTAGTGTGGGGAGGAGCCAACGTCAACCTGACGTGGGAAATGATGATGGTGGCGACGAAAGAAAGTGGATGGGAGCGCGGCCGGCCTGGGAGGGCAAAGGGTGGTTTGTCAGACTCAGAATAATAACTGACTGATAAACACGGTGCAACCGCATTGCATCGGCGATACGATGGATCGAGCCAGAGGCGGAAGAGCGAGGGAGCGGGAGGGGACGGCGAGGGAATGCGTACGCGTGGTCGCCGGGAGAGAATACAATGATTCAAGTACGTACCCCGTAATTTGTACATAATAAATAGTTCATAAAGAGGACAAAAAACAAAAAGGTGCATCGATGATGGAAGCAAGCACGACAGGCAATGAATGTGGCTTGAAACATGGCCTGCTCTAGGCTTAACTCTTAACTACTAGTCGATGGGCAGTTTGCGTTGCGCGGCCCCCCTCCTTGTGCGTTGTACATGTCATGCGGCGAGAGGCCTCTTTTCCCATGGTGGAGGTTCTCGTCCGGTATCTGGAAAGAAAGGAAGAAGAAGAGAGAAAATAACATAACAAATCGAGATGGATGCCGTAATCCCTGTCGCCGGGTCAGTTCAGAGTGAGGAAAAATAAGGACACCCCGCCTTTTAGAGGCTGGGCCTTGGTTTTTTTTTCAACTAGCGTGTGACATTTGCCGGCGGGAGTCGTCGGTACCAGCCAGTGGTGCAGTGGTTGAAAAGTACCAGTACTCAATTACCCTACGGAGTACCAGTAGAGCTGGCTCGGATAACGAGCAGGTATCGGTCTGCAGCAGCTGAATGGCTGAATACGTCTAGGTGCATACCTGGGTAGGTACCTAGGAAGCTACCCTGGTAGTCCAAAGCTGGGGGACAATATTGCTTTGTTTGATGTTGATGAGGGCATCAACTGAATACTGGTAGGTACCTAGGTAGTGAGTTGCAGCAACTATAATTCTGAAATGAGAAAAAAAAAACTACAAAAAAAGAAAAAAGGATGAAACAATATCCAGAAAAAAACAAACCCCCCCAAGGTCCCTCCCGTCACTCGTCACTCGTCATCGCCGGGCTGCAACAGTGACGATCCAAACTCGCGGGCTCGACGTCATCCAACAGGTTTCCAGCCAGGCAATCCTCATCCGGCTCCCTCCCTCCCTCTCCCTCCCACACCACCACCAAAAACTTGGCTAATATTAACACCAGTCCATCTTCTGCACCACCTCCTCACTCTCTTGTCCTTCCCCCTCCTTTTCTTCCCGCCCATTCTTTTTGCCCCTTTCCCTCCTACATCTTACCTTTTTTTCATCTTGCTTGACAGACATCAATAAACGAGGTCAAATCAGAGGCCATCAACGGGCATCGCTGCGCAGACAAACAAAAACCACCAGCTTCCCTTCTTACACGCCACACCGAGCTTGAAGCTACCACGACGCCCACAATGGCCAACCTGAACCGCTGTATGTCAAATTGAGCCTGTGCAGAAAAACGAAGATCAAATAGAAATACATGGGACAAATCAAACTGACCATGAATAGTCAACCCCTTTGGCCGGCGCGAGTCGCACTCGGCCGCTGCCATCACCACCTACAAGGTCCTCACCCTCCTCACCTGGCTCCTCTCCGTCGTCGTCTCCGTCTACTTTGTCGTTCGCGGCCATCTCTGGGACATCAACTACCATCACCGAAGCGCCTTTACCCTCAACTCCATCATTACTTCCATCTTCTGGTGCGATCTGCCATCCCTCTTCATCGACGGTCGCTCACTAACACACTGCGCAGGATCGTCCTCTTTGCCCTCCAGCTTGGGTACGTCGGCCACCTCTTCTCCAAGACGCCCGAGGTTGCCCACGCCGCCTCGAGCGTCGGCAGCCACTTCATCCTCAACAACCTGCTTCACGCCCTCTTCGTCTACCTCTTCACCCGCCCGCACTTTCACTGGGCCGAGGTCGTCCTCGTCGTCAACTTTGTCAACCTCGTCTCTCTCTACTTTCGTCACAACACTTACCCGCGCTTTATCCACGCCCCCGTCGTCTCCGGCCCTCTCGCTTGGACCTTTGTCGCCATTTACTGGAACGGCGCCATCATGGTGCCGCATCAGAACAGCCTGGTCGCCCGCGTCTTTGCCAACATTTTCATCTGGTCCCTGCTCGCCTTTGGCCTGTTTTTCCTCGGCGTCTACAATGTACGTAATAAGTCGCCCTAAGTCCCCCTTCTTCCTCGCGAAGCTTCCAAAGCTATGGAAACAGCCGTAGGCTAACATGTTGCAGGACTACACCATGAGCTTCTCCCTCTCCGTCCTCGCCGCCGCCATTGGTGTGGCTCAGTTCACCCACCATATTGTCGCCCTCCAGTGGATCTTTGCCTTTACCATCATGGGCCTCTTGTTCCTTGCCACCCTGGGCGTCGCCGTGCCCGTCTGGACCGGCCGCGACATTCGCTGGAGGAAGCGCACCGATGTGACGGACGCCGAGCGCGCCCCTCTTCTCAACGAGTAAACGCCCGACCGCCAAGGCTCGCCAATATCGAATTGCAATGTCGAATGGCAAATTTGCTGCAAAATTTCATGTACCCGCCGGTCTGAACTTGGAACCATAATAGTCGCTATAGTCGTCAAGTGTCACTTGATTGGCCCGCTCGAGTTCGGATTTATGTTACGATTGTCGAATAGTAGGAAAAAAACGAGAAATGATGTTATGCATGTTATTGGGCTCATTTCACTGTTTTGAATATTTTTTGTTTTACTACGCAACACTATTCCCATAAGTAATGGTTACTCTATCCGTACAGTTAAATTGATTTACTTTTTTACTCGAGGAGCATGGCATGGGGTTCGATACAAGTGGGTCGGTGCATCCATCATGCCGGCGCTAAAAAATATGCAGGCAAATCATCCAACCAATTTTCTGATGTTGTGTCTGCATCTCGAGATTGAGAAGAGTGAGCCGGATGGCAAGTTACACGGCCACAAATCTTGACAGTGGCTGCCCCATTGCATCCAAGGGTCAACACTTGCCAATGAATCTAGTTACAGAAACACTCGACAACATGAAGCCGTTACGCGCCTTCCCGCTGCCCCTCAACGTGGGCACCGATATCTGCCAAATCTCCCGCGTCTACGGCATCCTTACAGGGCCGCGGGCGACGCGCTTCGTCGAGCGCATCCTGACGCGCGAGGAGCGACCGCGTTTCGGCAAATTGGCCGGTACGCTGCCGCTCAGGATGCCCGCCGCGCGGGACGCGCAACATGACCACACGGCGGCGGCGGCGTCGGCGCGGGACCCGGAGGGATGGAAGGCAGCGGCGTTTATGGCCGGCCGGTACGGCTTTGCTCTTTTTCCTTTCCTTTTTTTGCTTCTTCTTCCTTCTTCCTTGACGTGTGCCACAAAAAGAAATGATTTGGCTTCTGACTTTATACTTGGGGGCCAGGTTCGCCGCAAAGGAAGCCGCCATCAAGGCGCACGCGCACAGGCAGCTCACCTTTCATGACGTCGTCATTGAGAGGCGCGCAGCCGGGGCCCGCACGGAGACGCTGGGCAGTGGCCCGCCAGTGGCGAGGATCAGGGCGGTGGCCGAGGCGGATGAGGACGAGAGCGCCTTGATTTCCATTAGCCATGACGGCGACTACGCAACGGCCGTTTGCCTGGCTCATGACTCGAGCGTGACGGGATAAGGGGGGTGTCGGGTGCGGTAGAATTATGAAGAAAATAGTACAGCAATAATTAAGAGAAAAGAAGAAAAGAAGAAAGAAAAAAGAAGAAAGAAAAAAGAAGACAGATAATGCTGCCTTTTCTAAGGGTCTATAACTACCAGCAGTTAGCTCTTTTCTTCTAGATGGAGAGTTCCGCCATGTATTTTGCCTCCCTGGTAGTATGTATTCACTACCTAGGTATCTATGTATCAGTGAAGCGGTATAATTGTGAGGTGCAACGCAGCCCGGATAGAGTACCCCAGGATGGGCTGACGTGCGGAGGGCACTTTTGTCAGCTCCTCTTGGTTGGCGGCATGGGCGGCAGTGGCGGACCTACAATGTGCATCTGGGTACAGAGTAATTCGTAACTATCTGGGTACGCTTCCCACCAGGCTGGATGAGCGATGAGCATGGCAGGCAGGTATGGACGGATCCCCGCCCCCGCCACTAGTTAAGTGATAAGTGTATTCAAACATATCCGCCGTGGGGTCTGCAGGCCGGCTGCTGCATCCGTCCAGTTCCAGTGGACTTGCGGGCTTGGACTGGAGATACCTGCAGCGGGTGCAGTGGGTGTAGGTACCGCCTGTAGTCATCTTGTTTCAGGGACCCGTGGCCGCTCCATGTCGTTCGTTCAGCGCCTCGACCCACTGATGTGCCTGCAGGTTGGTTGCTCTTTCCTCCCTCGTTATCCTCGTTATACCTGGTTATAGCTGCCCCGAATTTTCCTTGCGTCGCCCCCGTTTGTCATAACTAACAGGTACTAACTAACCTACCTACCTAATGTCATGCTCTCATCTCCGTTTCCCTCTCACGAGCCTCACCTCTCTGTCTCTTTCCCTCCTTCTCCCCAAGGGAATAATTCCTGCCCGCCAAGTTACCCAGTGCGGCCGCTTCCCCAAGCTTGGGTGAGACACGTCCCTTGCCCGCGCCATGGACGTCGTCAGGGAGCCCTTCGCCGTCCTCGGCCTGTACACCTTTTCGCCCTTTGCCCCCGTCGTCTTCAGGCCCCATCCACACGAGGCCCTGCCCAGGTGAGCGAGCTTTCACCCACATCCTCGCTGTGTCTGCGCCGTCCGATGCTCGTCGTCCGCATGCTGGCGCATTCATCATCAATCCTGATTTCTAACCTCGTTTGCCCGGTCTTCTCAATTACAGTGACATCGAGACGTATCCCCCCCGCCCGCTTCTGCAATGGATCAAGCAAGTGAGCGACTACGCCCGCTCCGGCCGCCTCCAAGCCGCCGTCCTCGTCCTCTCGCTCTTGATCCTCGCTCTCAACGTTTTGCTGCGGCGCAAACAGCGCCCTGTTCCTTGCACCAACCCAGCGTCTGCCATCAAGTGGCCCTACGAGATTGTGTCCCAGCTCTGCCGAGCCGCCGCCGTCGCCTTTCTAATACAGGCCTACACCAACAACCACGCCCACCTGCCCATTGCTGTCCTCGCCGCCTATGTATGCGGTCTGGGCCTCGTCCGCCTCAGCTGCACTCTCCAATGGCGTCGCCACATCATCTATCACGTCAACTTGGCCCTGATCGCCACCCTCGCTCTCCTAGCTGCCTCCGAGTACTTGCCTTGCGCCCAGCTTCGCTACGACTGCTCCTCCGATCATGGTATCCACGCCGCCCTCGTCTCGCTCCTCGCCGCCCTTGTTGCCGCCGCCGCCACACCCACCGAATGGCTACCGCCCCGGCTCCCCTACGACATCCCCGACTACGACCCCGACGCGGAGCCCGCCCCCGAAGAGACAGTTAGCTGGTTCAACTACTTTTGCTCTTACGACTGGCTGACCCCAGTCATCTGGAAAGGCACCCGCGGCCGTCTCGATGCCTCCGCCGTCCCCAAGCTGGCTTGGTACGATGAGCCGCTTTACCTGCTGCGCAAGATTCAGCACGCCCGCGCCCTCAGCAAATCCACCATGTGGACTTCGCTTCGCTTTCAACGCTCCGAGCTCGCCCTCATGGCTTTCTGGACCGGCTCTGCCTTTGCCGTCGAGAACGTTGCCCCCTTTGGCATGTTTAAGCTTCTCGAATACCTAGATGTTCCCACCATTGCCACATACCGCCCCTGGGTCTGGCTCGCCATGGTCTTTCTTGGCCCCCTCACCCGTTCCTTGCTCTTCCAGCAGTACGTCTTCACCTCTACCCGCCTCATTGTTCGCATCAAGTCGGCCATGACCCAGGAGCTCTACCACAAGGCCCTCGAATCCATGGAACTCGAAGACGACCCTTTCCAGAGCGCAAAACGTGGCGGCGATTCCAAAAAGGAAAGCTCTGCCAAGACTCAAAAGAGTACGTCAGCTGGCCGCCTCGCCAACTTGATGGCTGCCGACGTCGACGCCATCTTCCGTGCCAGAGATGTCATGATGGTTTTCGTCGGCGTGCCGGCTGGAACAATCATTTCCCTTGTTGGTCTCTACCAGATGCTCGGATGGGTCTCCCTCGTAGGCACCGCAGTCCTCATCCTCGCCACCCCCATTTCCTTTTGGCTCTCAAGAACCATGTACAAGACGCAAATTGTTGTGCGAAAGACACAGGATGCCCGAATTTCCCTCGTCACCGAATATCTCGCTTCCATTCGTGCCATTAAATTCTTCGCCTGGGAAGACGCCATTACCAGCAAGATCATTGCCGCCCGAGCCAGGGAGCAAAAGGGACTATGGAACATTGCTGTGCTGCAGACTGTCATCAACCAAGTAACCCAAGCGTTTCCCTTCTTTTCACTCCTCGTCATGTTTGGCCTCTACGTTGGTGTTGGAGATCGTCGCCTTGACGCCTCGACTGCGTTTACCACCGTCTTCCTGGTCAAGAACATTCGCCGAAACATTATGATGGCGAGCTCCCTCAGTCGCTCGTTTGCCGGGGCCATTGTTGCTTTTGGCCGTCTCGACAAGTTTTTCGGCACCGCTGTACCTCTGGTAGAATACCCCGTCGGGCCACTTCGCATCATCAATGCTTCCTTCCGCCGCAACAAGAAGGCCGTTTTTAGTCTCGAAAAAATCTCGCTTAATTTTGTCGAAGGTGGCCTGAATGTCATCACAGGCCAGAGTGGCAGCGGAAAGTCGACTCTGCTCCTGGCCATATTGGGTGAAACATATCTCGAGACTGGTGCCGTCACGGCCCCGTCGGATATTGCGTATGCTTCACAGACCGCCTGGCTCCAGAATGACTCCATACAGAACAACGTGCTATTCGGCAGCCCCATGGATCGCATCAGATATAACCGTATCCTTGAGGCTTGTTGCCTGCTTACTGATCTCCACGAGCTTCCGCTCAAGGACCAGACTACAGTTGGCGAAAATGGCACCTCGCTATCTGGCGGCCAAAAGGCCCGTGTAGCCTTGGCACGCGCTCTTTACTCTGGTGCTTCCCTCATCCTCCTCGACGACATCTTTTCTGCTCTCGACGCCAAGACCTCCGCCGGTGTTTGGAAGCGAGCCTTTTGCTCCAACCTGCTGAAAGGCAGGACCACAGTCTTGGTTACCCAGATTCCCTGGATCTCGTCTCAGGCCGATTACGCCATCTCTCTCGACAAGGGCCGCGTTGTCCGTGCCGAAGCCAATATTGGTGCCGTCAGGCGCCCAATCACCATTGCCCAAGTTCTTGGGGGTGACGGCGATGAAGATGGCGACACGGAGACCCCCATGGAAGCCGAGTTAGAGGAAGACGTTGCGGACACTCGCCGCAAACTTCTCAATGGCTCTGGCACTAAAGACGTCGTCAATCAAGAAATGAGAGCCTCCGGTAAGGTCGGCAGACTGACCTTTGTGGAGTACATGGGCTACTTTGGCAGCCCCATCTTTGGCATTTCGTGCATTGTCGGTCTTTTCCTGAGCAACATATTCTTCTTTGGAGGCACATTTTGGCTGTCTGTGTGGGTCGAAGCCTATAATAAGAAGGGCTACGTTGACATTGCCTTCTATATGGGCATCTACGCTGCCTTTACTTTCCTGGAGCTTCTCAGCTTCGGCTTCATCATCGTCATGTTTGAGTGGGGTGCATGGCGTGCCGCCCGTAAGCTGCACAACGATTTCATTCGCGCCGTTATGAGCGTTCCCCTCTCGTGGTTCAGAACCGTTCCCGTCGGCCGCATCACGAATCGCTTTTCTGGCGATATGGCCTCCATTGACGGCATGCTCAGCTCACTCCTCCGATCAGCACTCGATGCCATCATGATGCTATTCTTCCGCATTGCCGCTATTAGCTCCATCATGCCTGTTTTCATGATCCCGGCACTCTTCACCTGCCTTTTTGGCGTCGTCATCGGTGAAATGTACACGCGTACTGCTGTCGTCCTGAAGCGACTCACATCGTCATCGCAGTCTCCTGTCTTCTCCCAATTTGCGGATACACTCTCGGGACTGGCCGTCATCCGTGCCCGAGAAGGCAAGAGCAAGGAGTTCGGTAAGGAGCTCGCTGCCAAGCTGAGAGTATGGTCGGCGGCGTCCGAGACCAACTACAACTGTAACCGTTGGGTGGCCGTGCGAGTTGATTTTGTAACGTCTCTGGTCGCTCTATCGGCTGGTATTATTGCCATTAATCAGGCCGGACTGGTTGGGGCAGGCTTGGTTGGTTTCTCCCTCACCAATGCCAACGGCCTGAACCAGACCATCTTGATGCTAGTCCGCGCCATGAACGACCTTGAGGTCGAGATCCAGAGCTTCCACCGTGTCAAGGAGTACGTCAAGCTGGAGCCTGAAGATGCTCATGATACCCCATATCCCGACGAGGAAGACTATGCGGATGACGAAACAAAGATTGTCCCGAAGAACTGGCCTCGCGGTGGTGACATTGAGTTCCGGGGTGTGACTATCCGATATGATCCCGATGGTCCCAACATTTTGACCGACGTCAACCTCAAGTTCAAGGCTGGAGAACGGGTAGCTGTCGTCGGCCGCACCGGCTCTGGCAAGAGCACTCTAGTGCTCTCTCTACTTCGCTTCACACATATCGTCTCTGGACAAATCTTTTACGACGGCGTCGACATAACCCACGTGCCCCGCGACCGTCTGCGCAAGGGCCTGACCATTATTCCCCAGGAAGCAGTGCTGTTCAACGGCACCGTGGCGTCCAACCTCGACCCCACGGGGCTCATTCCCCACGAGCGTCTGGAAAAGGCCCTAGAGAACTGCCGCGGCATCGCCTCCTTTTCCGGCAGCGACTACTCATCCGACACGGATGCGGATAGTGGTCGCCACAACCACGGCATCTCGCTCGAGACAGACGTGGACGCGCAGGGCGAGAACTTTTCTCACGGCCAGCGGCAAGTTCTGTCGCTGTGCCGCGCGCTCATACGTGAGAGCAAGCTGATGCTTCTCGACGAGGCGACGGCGAGCATGGACTATGAGACGGATCGCGGCATCCAGCAGGTGCTGCGGGACGAGCTGGCCAGCGCGGGTGGCGCGCGCACACTCGTCACCATTGCGCACCGTCTGCGCACGATTATTGACTACGACAGCGTCGTTGTCATGAGCGCGGGCCGAGTCGTCGAGTTTGGCTCCCCGCGGGACCTCTTTGCCGCGCGGGGGCTCTTTTATGACATGATCTACCACAGCGGTGAAATGGACGAGCTCAAGACGATCCTCAAAGTGGTGGACGACAAGGATGCCGCTTCGATGCAATCGTCGAGCACGCAGGTCGAGCCGGTAGAGTAAAGGCTTACTTGTGAGTATGGTACCTAATTATTTTGCATATGCATAGACAAATATGCTGGCCAAAGTAAACCTTGTATGGCTTTTGGCTTGGCTTATAGAATTTCTTTTCTTGGATTTATCGGTTTTGGTTATTTGTACCAGTGGATTTGCATATATGGACACTGGAGCACGACTGGTCTGTGTTGGGCTGGTCTGTGTTGGGCTGGTGATACCCCGTTAAAAGCATAGTGGCAATTTATTATCAAGTTCAAGTTCTGCTCAATCCTCGTTCAGCCCTTTGTTATATAAAGTTGTGAAGGCGTATATCCTTCCTGGGAAGCCTGGCGTGTACGAAACCAAGGCATGTATTGCCAACTATCCTTTGACATCGGTCCGTCCCAGAATCTTGCGGGCCTTTATAGGCTCCGCTCATGTTTTGCTCTTTACTTGGAAGCAAACGTCCGTGACAGCCGTCAGACGGCCGAGCACCTCTCCAAACGCGCTTGTTGCGAGTCGGTCGGCCTTGTCCAGGCCCACGTTCACCGGTCATCTCCAAAGACTTTTGACATGACCTCATTTCAACATGCAACATCACAGACCAGTACAGACTCTAACAGCAGCATTATCTATGACTACCATGGCCTGGCTTCGTATATTCGACCAACCTGTATGCGCAGAAAACAAACCTTACAATAATGTCTTAACAAAACCCCAACGAGTCCCCAACGCCGTATACTGTTGTCAAGCAGCTGAGCACCGAAGCCCACACTGTTGTACATGAATCCGTCAATAGCCCTGACAGCCACCGTCGCGCATCGTAGCTGGTTGCCACGTACTCTCCCACAAAGTCCCCGTATCCAACAAGCACAGGTCCACCCACTCGACTTCCTTGTCTTGAAGTACTTCTATTGTGTTGGAACGGCGCCCTCTTCCAGACCGGAAGCACCGCCTTCCACATTATGGTAGTCGAGAATCTCCGAGTACCTGTCGCCTAAGTTAGTATCTCTCTAGTCGCAGAGGAGTGTTGCTCGTACATCATGATCTTCCATGTGTCCACAGGAAGGTCGGCATCGTTGAAACTCCAGTCAAATTTTTCCTCGGCCACGGGCTCGTCGGTAGGGTCGTGGTAGGGGGCAAGGTACTCGTCGGAAAGCGCTTCGGCGGCCGTGATTCTCTTCTTGGGGTCGAAGACAAGCATGCGCTCCATCAGTTCGATGGCTGTTTGTGGTTAGCAAAAACGAGTTGTTGAATCAACGCGACTATATACCTGAATCGTCCGCGTTCTTGAACTTGTTACGTAGAGGTTGGCGTGCGCGCTGAGGGAGTGATTTGACAAATCGTAGAGTCTGTACCATGTAAGCTCATGCATTGAAGCAGCGCAGTGGGTTACTTACATTTTCGCTGGCAATTGTGTTGATGACATCATCGGGTGGTGTTCCAAGGAGCTCGGTGATGATGGAGAACTGGTTGACGTGATCCTTGCCTGGGAACAGGGGCTTGCCGTCGAGCATTTCGGCAAAGATGCAGCCTGCGCTCCAAATGTCGACCTCGACGTCGTATTTTTGCCATGTGAGCATAATCTCGGGGGCGCGGTAGTATCGGGTGGAAACGTAGCCCGTCATCTGGGGGTCCTGAATGCGGGCGAGGCCAAAATCGCAAATCTTGAGGTCGCAGTTTTCGTTGACAAGAATGTTGCTGGGTTTCAGGTCACGATGAACGACACCGGCCGAGTGGACGTACTTGAGGCCGCGCTGGTAGGAGGGCGTGTTAGCTTGCGGGCAGGCGTGATTTTTCGCGCATGTCGACATACCATGATCTGGTACAAGAAATATTGAATAAATTGCTTCTCGAGCGGTCTCGATGTGAGAAGTCTGTGAAGATCGGTGCCTAGGAGCTCTGTGACAAAATAGCTGGGGTCGGGTCAGCCTGGTGGGTAGTATTGAGCAGGGAGTGTTTGAAGCTGCATACATGTCTTCGAGGGGAGAAATGAAGATGTCGCTCAGAGAAATGACCTGGAGGGCATGTCGATTAGCCGTGGAAAGGGCAGCGGGAGGTCGAGGGGGTAGCCTACATTTTCGTGGCGGAGATGCTTGAGCAGTTTCAGCTCACGGTAGGTTCGCTTGGCAAGGACGGGAGTGCTGAAAGGCTTCATAATCTTCTTGACGGCGACATTTTGGTTCGTGAGCTGATCTCTGGCGGAGCTGGATTGGTGTTAGCAGGGCGATGTGATGGGTGCTATTGTATGCAAGGCTGTGTGGTGCTGGATATACAGCGGGCACAGCGGGCACTTACCAGACGAGGCCAAAAGCTCCCATGCCAACAGGCTGGAGATCGGAATATCTGGAATTCGGGTTAGAATGGACAGAAGGGCAGAAAGGGCGGAATAATGGCGGGCGGGTATGGAATTGGAAATACGCACCTCGACGTTATCTCGAACGTCGTTCCAAAGATCTGCGCGCGAACAAATTCGGCCATGGTGAGGGGCAACTGGAGGAAGAAATACGCGGCTTAAATATGGGTGGTGAGAGAGCGGAGTTCAGCGGCGGTCAGGGGCGCGGGGCAGCGTCCTGAAGAGGTCGATTGGGCCAAAATGAATGCAGAAGAGCAATGCAGAGGGTCGATGAGGACGAGTCCAGGTCGAAAAGGCGAAAAGCGAGAAGGGTGTAGCGATGGAGTGCGGTGAGGAGGAAAGGATGCGAGGACGATGCGGCACGTAAGTGGGATTGCCAGGTGATGGAGGGGAGCTTGACTTTTGCGGCTGTGGGCAAAGGCGGGGCAGCAGCGTGGGAGGAGCGGCGGCGGCGGCGGCGGCGCACAACAGTGCAGGGCAGGGCGTGGGCGTGGCGGGCGGCGACAAAGCTCCAGCGCCGTTCTCAAGATTTGACGAAGGCGGGGTTTTATTAGTATGAACTGGAAGCCGGTCCGGGCCAGTCTAGAGGTTGCAGTTGAGACCGAGATGGGGGCGGGATCAATGCGAGTTTGTCCTTTGGAGATGGCCGGGGGGGCCTAAAGTTGCGCGCATTCGGTTAGCCATGTTGACGGCCATGAGCGCTTTGCGACAATGAAAAGTTTTGAAAAGAAAAAAACATTGGTCGAGTAAATTAATAAAAGAGAAATCTGATCAAGAGTAAAACGACATGCTGGAACAAGCTTTGTAGCGCTGCCCGCACCAGGCAACCGGGTGCTGCAACGGGCCCGCTGTCGGTACCAGGTGCCGCTGTAATACCCTGCCTCATGGCACTCTAGGCCAGCAAATATCTCCATCTTGTCGGTTGCCAGCACCAGCAAGGACAGACAAGTCCTCCAAACTTCAAAAAAAAAAGGCAAAACAAGAAACGCGACGAACCTTTGTTTCAAAGTTTCAAACACGCAAAGGCGTATAGCGATGATCAAACGAGTCGTACCGAGAGGACGGGCGGGAATCTAGAGTCTAGTCTATTTGGGCCATGTGCGGGTCTTTTTCTTCACTATAGAGTACGAGCAATGTTGTTAGTAAAAGTTATTCACGTCGAGGGTGCAGAACAATGCGCGGAGAGGAAGAGATTGAAATTAAAGATTGAAAAAAAAGGAAAAAAGGAAAAAAAAAAAGGAAAAAAGGAAAAGAAAAAAAAAAGAAGAAAAGGAGGAAAGAAAAAAAGGACATCATTTGGCATCATTTGGTGCAGCACAAATGTTCGGCGTGGGGCAACTTTGCCTGTTGCAGAAAGCTGCTGCGGGTGGCGTTTCTGGCTGGGGCGGGCAGACGACGAGGGCATGGAGAGGACGAGACACCAACGTACCGAAAACACACAAGAACTGCGCAAGGGCAAGGAGAATGAAAGAAATGAATAAATTAAAAGCAGGAGGGGAAAAGGCTGGTAGAAAATGGTAGGGAATGGAAAACGAGACCGAGTGGACTTGCTGTAATTATTACTTGCAACGGAAGCACAAGCGGCCGAGAAATGTCCACTTGGCACTTGCCCTCGACATCGAGATCTCCAGCACCATGGCCCCAACATGGTAGGCCATGGGGTTGCATGGCTTTTACGCAGTCATGCCAATCATCGTCGTCTCTTCCTCATTCGCCTCGGCTCTGGTTCTCTTGCTCACTTTTCTTGCCAAGTCGTCAACATACACCCGCATGTCTTTCTTTGCATTCTCGGAAGCCATTCTCATATCCATTGGCGGCCGCTGTTCCCGTCCTATGCAACTACATATGCCGTGCATATGCCAGCCATGTTGGGCTTCAAATACATGCCGCCTCAAAAAACACCATTTTCTTCTTCACATTGCCAGACAGGATGCGTCATTACCCCTCCTCAAAGGCCCCTCTATAAAGCAAACACCTTCCCCTCTCCTCAATGTGATGCGCAATTGCTAATTGCTGGCATCGTCATACATAGACCGCACCGTCGACATGGCATTTGTACCACCCCAGCCCAGAATTCCATCAATCACACCCTGCATTTTACTACTCTTTTTTTCGCGCTGAAAAAAAGGCAGTCTTTGCCGTACCTTGCGCTGGGGCCTCCATGGTGCCACGGAGTGAACACCTACCTACCTGCACAACCGTTTTTTCCATCTTCAGCCTCGACATGACATGCGCCGCCATGGTAGGCAGCGCGCGTCTCTGTAGTTACTTGTACTCATATCGCAAAACAAGCGCGTCGTATTGTCATCACTACCTATCAGTGCATGCGCATAACTGGAATAACCCGTGCCATGTTGCCTGAAAAATCCAGCACCATCTTTATCCCACCATTACTCCCTGATAGGAAGTGGCTCGATATTCCAGATGCTCTCCGCATACTCATTGATACAACGATCACTGCTGAAGAATCCCATCCGGGCAACAGCCGTGATGCACTTGGAAACCCATTCGTCCTGGTTGCGGTACGACTCATCCACGAGTCGCTGTGTCTCGATGTAGCTGTGGAAATCGTCCGACACCAGGTAGTAGTCACCATGCTGGCGAACGGCAGCAACCAGTGCCCCGAAATCGTGTGGTGTTCCAAAGGTGCCCTTTTCAATCTCCTCGAACACAGCGTCCAGGTCAGAATCAATGGCGTGCGAACCATATGTGTGAGCATGGCGCAAGTCTTCCACGTCCTCCGACAAGTTACCAAACAAGAAGATGTTGTTCTCGCCAACCTCTCTTGTGATTTCGATATTGGCCCCATCGCAGGTGCCAATGATGAGGCCGCCATTGAGAACAAACTTCATGTTACTCGTGCCCGACGCCTCAGTCCCCGCCGTCGAGATGTGCTCGCTGATATCAGAAGCAGGGCAAATAATTTCAGCCTTGCTGACGTTGTAGTCTTCCAAGAAGATGACTTTGAGCAGGTCGCCAATGTCGCCGTCATTATTCACCACCGACCCAACCGAGTTGATGAGATGAATAATTTGCTTAGCCATCCAGTATCCGGGAGCGGCCTTGCCACCAAAGATGGAGACGCGAGGGAGCTGCTTCTTGCGTTCCGTGGGAGACATCTTCTTGAGCGTCAAGTACCGGTGAATGACGCCGAAAATATTCATCTGCTGGCGCTTGTATTCGTGGATCCGTTTCACTTGAATATCAAAGAGCGACGCTGGATTGACCGTCACACCAAGAGTCTTCTTGATGTGCTTGGCCAAGCGAACCTTGTTGGCGTACTTGATTTCGGCCCATTCCTTGCGGAAACCCTTGTCACCAACAAACTGCTCAAGCTTGCTCAGATTGGTCAGATCAGTAAGGAAACCGTTGCCGCCACACTTGCTAGCAATCAGCTCCGATAGGCGAGGGTTGGCCTGGTGAAGCCATCTGCGAGGCGTCACGCCGTTGGTGACATTGGTAAACTTGTCTGGGCCGTAAATGGCGACAAAATCTTTGAAAATTGTCGTCTGAATCAGATCGGAGTGAAGCTCAGCTACACCGTTGACCTTGTGGGAGCCGACAATGGCAAGGTAGGCCATGCGAATCATCTTGGGCTGCGACTCCTCAACAATGGAAACGCGACGAAGCATATCACGGTCATCTGGGAACTTCTTCTCAACCTGCTGCAAGAAGAACAGATTAATGTCAAAGATGATTTGCAGATGCCTGGGCAACAGGTTCTGCATGAGGCCAACATGCCACTTCTCGAGTGCTTCAGGAAGAACAGTGTGGTTGGTGTAGCCAAACTAGACGACAGGTTAGTGCTATTCTCTAAGCTTCTGCTCTTATTACACTCACAGTGTTGGTGACAATGTCCCATGCCTGGTTCCACTCGAGGCCTTCAACGTCGATGAGAATGCGCTGCAGCTCAACAATGGCAAGCGTGGGGTGAGTGTCATTCAGCTGAATGGCAACCTGCTCCGGAAACTCGGCCCAGGCTCGATTCGTCTTTTTGAAGCGCCGAACAATGTCGTAGAGCGATGCCGCGACCCAAAAGTACTGCTGCTTCAGACGCAACTCTTTGCCTCTCTCAAGGTTGTCGTTGGGATACAGCACAGCGCTGATGGTCTCGGCGCGCTGCTGATCGGCAACGGAACTTTCATAGTCGCCATTGTTAAACTTTTGGAAGTCAAACTCGCCCCCAGAAGCCTTGCTGGACCAAAGGCGCAGGTTATTGGTGGTGGGTGTGGCGTAGCCCGGAATGGGGACGTCGTAGGCAACGGCCTGAACGACCTCGCCGCCATCCCAGACAGAGACGGTCTTACCTTTGGCGTCGGTCGATTTTCGGACGGTTCCGTAGAATTGGATCTGACATCCGTGTTAGCTGTGGGGGGACTCCAACTGGTGTGGAGAGTACTTGCATCAACAGTTACATCGTGGCGAGGAAACTCCCAGGGGTTAAAGTCCAGCCAGTAGTCGGGAACTTCAACCTGGTAGCCATCGATGATTTCCTGCTTGAAGATGCCGTAGCGGTAGCGAAGACCGTAGCCCCATGCGGGGTAATTGAGCGAGGCCAGGCTGTCGAGGAAGCAGGCGGCGAGACGACCGAGGCCACCATTACCAAGGGCGGCATCGTTTTCTTGAGTAATAATGTCTTCTATTCTGAATCCAAGGTCGGCAAGGCCAGCTATGATGTATGCACTGTCAGCACAGTGTAAAATACGGGCAATTGGTGTAGGAGCTCACCCTTGGCGATGTCTTTGTGGCCCACGTTAAGCATGGCGTTGTCAAGAGCACGGCCCATGAGGAACTCGAGACTGAGATAGTAGACGCGTTTGGTGTCGCTAAAAGTTTGCTGCTGTTGAGTCTTGTTCCAATCGGTAATGAGGCGGTCGCGGAAAGCTAAGCTGGTGGCGGCATAGGCAGCCTTTTCGTCGCAGTTGAACAAGCTCCGGGCCAGGGTCGTCTCGACATGGCGAACGACCTCGCGCTCAAAGCCATCCTTGTCCTCGAAGCTTTTGATAGCATGCTTTTCCCAGGCGGCGCGCTGGGGCTCGGGGATAGACGCTATCAAGTATCAAGACGGCGCATTAGTGGAACGAGCGTTGGAATCAAGTCGTCGCGTCAGAGGTGGTGGGCAACTACCCCGCCCCCGCCTTACACTGCAGATGTGGGCAGTTTCAATAAAGGCAAGGAGCCAACGGCACCCTGACTTGGGCAACTAGATGAAGAGTTGGTAGATCAAAGACTTGCCTTGGACACTTTTGATCTCGCCCGCGCCAAAGCCAGTAAAGGTTCTCTTGTGCTTGGGGCGCGAGACGCCGGCGGGCCCAACGGAACCCTGGATGTCGACAATTGGAGCAGAGGTCGAGGGCCGACGCTGGCGGATGGGCAATGGTCGCTCAGACGCCATGGTTGGTTGATGGGATGGGTAAGGATGTTGTAAATGTTGTTTGGGAGATAATGCAGACAAGAAAACAAGAAGGGGAGAGGGAAGGCGATGTAGATATGCTAGAGGATGGAGGAGGGGAGGAGGGGTCGAGAGCTTGAGGAGGAAGTACCGGCAAGCTCTGGCTCTTGGGGGTGGCTCAAAGGTAAAATGGCACTGGCCAGGGTTCCTTGAACTACCTTGACAGTCAGCCCATCGAACCACTTACAAACCTAACTGGCGCAGCAGGAGTAGGCATAGGCATGGGGTGGCCGTCGATTTACCTGACCGCTCATGCGCATCTACACTGCTACGCTCCTATGGACGTGGCTGCATGGCGCCATCAACATGCTTCTCGCTGGTTATCCGGTGGCGAACTGCTCATCTGGGGAGCTATTTTGGCAGTGATGCAACGGCGTCCAACGAGCGTCTGGACTCAAGTCTCTGGTGGGGGGAGCGCTAGAGAGGAGCTACTGCGGAGCACTCCCAGCTCGATGGCTTGACGGAATCGGCCCTGAATTTCGTTGGGACGCTTTCAACCCAGATTCTCCATCGGCTTGTCCGGTATCTTTGAGCAATTAAAGAGAAATAATTGCCATATGCTGTGCCCAGCTAAATCTCATCCGCTGCTCCATCTTTCCGTTCTTACTGAATATCAGAGCAACCCCACTTGCCCAGCCGCCTTGCTCCTCACACACCTTGCTGGGCAAAAGGCTAGGTACCTGCCTAGTTAATGTGCTTGCAACATGGAATACAACACAGGGGCATACTTTTATACAGGACCTATATTACTCCATCTCATTTTTCTTCCCAGACGATTGCTTTCTATACTTGACAATTCCTTTCCTATCCATGAGCCTATCTATCGTCAGCAGCACCTCATCAGAGATGTGCTACTTCATCCTGATCCGGCGGCAAGAAGACACAATGCAAAGACAATATCACGCACATGCACACGCACACGCACATCCGCATGAATACGCTTTTCACACAAAGAAATCATCAAATTCGACAGAAACAAGACGACCCATGCTTGCTGCGCCGGGCTATAGTAAAGAAGAGACAAAAGGGAATAGGAAAATGGCAGACAGAAAAGCAACCAACGCCATTCCATGAGGATAGCCCTCCCCAACTGCAGCGATCCATCCAACTCGGTCGCGGTAATTCGTCGTCGTAACATGTCGGATTATGTAGAAAGCCTCCCGTCATAGCAATATGTCATCAAAGGAAATTCGGAGGAAACAAACAGTCCATGCGCAAAGCGCGGCCCAGCAAGTGCTCCAAACTCCGCGGTAGGTGTCTCGCGCGCAGCGCCGAACCACACAGCCAGCCATGACTATCATGGCGGCGGATATACACGCGCCATCCAACTCCTCATATGATGCCGGTATCTTTAAGCGCGTTGCTGAGGATAGTCTCCTTGACCGCAGCAAAGACCAGCCTAATGTTTGAGGTATCCGTGGCTTGTGTCAAACTACGGGCTAGTCAGCGAATGTAAATGGCAGGGTGGCTCGAATGTCGACATACTGAGGATAGAGATTAAGGTGCGCTCGGTTGACCTGATTAAACCTCCATAATAGGTACTTGGCGGCTTTGTTGACGTCGTTGCCGCCGGAATAGTCGGGGAAGTAATTGGCTAGTGGCGATCGAGTGAGCTTTTGCTTAAAAATATCGACTTTGTTGAGAAACAGAATGATGCTCGTTCGCATGAACCATCGCGAGTTGACGACCGAATCAAAGAGGAGGAGGCTCTCCATCATGCGATTCTTGTAGCTGTCAGTTGACATTCTATTAGTCTAGATACCGGGGCTTGCATACCTGACTGCTCTCTTCCAAGAGCACCTGATCATATTCAGAGAGGGCGACGCAAAAGATAATTGACGTCACATTCTCGAAACAGTGAATCCATTTCTTTCTCTCGCTGCGCTGTCCGCCGACATCGAACATGCTGCGTGGGGTTAGTCAAGTCATGTATCCATGAACCGGTCGCAACGTACTGAATGCTGAGGGCACCCATTTGGAAACGGGTTTCGTAGATACCAGTTGTCTTGGTTCGAGCACGCAGGACATCCATTTCTTTTGGGAGGTAGCCTGGTGCGACGATGCGCATCGCTTCCTGGAAAAAGCTAGAAACAGGAATTAGCACAGCCTCAACTACACGTGCTGCTCACAAGTCAGTGCTCACTATTCGGCCGAGTCCATTAGATAGAATTCGGTCTGGTGCTCCATCAGCCGATCTTTGGCGGGATCTGACCAGAGCGACTGCACAGCTGTGCCGACTTGTGGATCGATCTGAGCCTGAGGGCCTGACTCTGCTTGGTAGTCCATCAAAAAGGCCATGTATTGGCGATTTTCATCTATTTGAGGCTCAATGCCAAACTGTTGCATGGCGGTAATGATGGCCTTGGCGCATTCGACCAAGTTCTTGAAGACTGTCGGTCTGTAGTTGTAGAGCTCCTCATCGGAGTAGCCCTTGAGATGAATAATCTTCATCTGCTTGACAATGGTCGACTTTCCGCTCTCGCCGGAGCCTGGGGGGGATGAGGTTAGTGACGGCATGGAAATGGTGGAAATAGAGTTAGTAATCAGTACCTAGTAGTAAGATCTTGCATTCTTTCTTCAGTCTCTTGGAATCCTCCTCGATTATACGATCAATGGCCTGGCTCTTTTTCTTCTTTTCCGCTTCCTCGCTGGTAGAACTGAGGCAATTGCCCATCATGAGCAGGCAGACGGGGGGCGTTGCGGCGCCCTTGAGCGTGTTGGTAAACGGGTTGTCGAAATCAAAGGCGGTATATTGGGTTCGAGTAACGTTGAGCGAAGCGAATCAAAAGCGGCGCATGATCGAGCAGACGGGGGCAGAATCGGCGGTGGGTATCAAAGCAGGTCGGACAGTGCGGCGTGAAGCTCGAGGAAGGAGCAGTGTTGGGAGCAAATGTCGAAAAGGGTGTGTTGTGAGACGGGAGGCAATCTGAGGCGACACGAGGATCGCAAGAAAGCGCCAGAGTAGGGAAGCAAACGGCAGCGTGGCAATGGAGCTGGGGGAGCACAGGACCACAGCAGCAAAATGCCAGATGATGAGGAGCGCGTCCGGGGCGGCTGGAGAGATGGCGGATGACGGATGACGGATGCGGGACAGCAGCGAGAAGACGATGGCGATAGCTTGATGAGAGAAACGGGGCGATGAACAAGACAGGCGTGGTGGGAATTGATTGGGTGGGCCAATTGGGGGGGAAATCGGTGGGCGCTCGCTGGGTGACGGAGGTGCGGAGCGTAGGCGAAAGCTTTGAGTGGTTGAGCACTACCTAGCAAATGGTACAGCTATAAACGGGTAGCAATGCGCAGCCAGGAGAGAGAAATAATGTTTGAATAGACGTAGAATTATGGCGTTGATGTATGGGAGGAAGCAGGGTCGACAGACGGCGGAATCACGGCTGGGCGATGCGAGATGGAAGAGAAGGGTTTTGCCCCGATGGGAGCCGTGAGGAGACGAGGATGGATGGATGTGATGAATGGGGTTTGCAGTCTGGAGGCGCCGTGGTGGAGAGACCAGAGGCGAGAGGCTTCACGGCAGCTGGAGGAGTGGGCTGGGTTGTTGGCAGGTCGCAAGGTATAAGTACCTACCCAGGTTGCCAGGTACATACCTACCTACCAGGTACTGACCTAGGTACGGAATCTTTATGGAATCCCTACCCGTCACTGAGTTGGCAGGTACAGGTACTGGTAAGTGGGAGAAAACTTAGGGCACCTAATGTAAATACCTGCAAGGGACCTATCCAGGTATCTAATTCGGACAATTTGACTCTTTGACTTTTTTCCTTGATTTTTTACACCAATTAATAACAATACGTGACCTAGGTACAAACTGGACTGGTAAATGAGGGGCCTGTCAGTTACTGCAGGGATACTCCCAGAATCACCAGGCCTACTTACCCTGAAGGACAATGTCGCCCTGTATTTCCTTCCGCCTCACTGCTTGGCGGGCGGCTCCTCGCTGCGCCGATGGGATCGAGAGCCTTTTCCCACATGTTGGCGAGCCTAGTTATTGCCGTCGCTATATATTAAGAGGTCGGCAGGGCATAAGGTTGGGCCGATGTACCCGGGCGTCGACAAGACTCTAACAGTTTTAGTTTGGTTTCTCCGCGACAGTATCCGTTTCTTATCGACGCTCAGGTACCTCAAACCACACCACCTGCCATCAGGGCCCGGGCCCATGTGTCTGTCTCCGCGGGTTGTCTTGCGCACAAGCCATCGCGGCCACAGCCTCACTATACATCTATACCTAAATACGGAGTAATAGTAGGCATCTCCCAGTATGTTGGTAGTTGCGTGTTGGTACCCGGGTCCCGTCCTGTACTCAGGTACAGTTTGTAATACCCTCTTGGCCTCTCCCGCTAAAAATTTGATGCAAACCACCACCGAACCCATTCATCGTTCCTCTCCTCTTCCGCAGTAGTTAGGCATCCTGCATCCTGTATCCTGCCTCCTGCCTCCTGCATCTCTGAAACATACCCATAAGACCTCCAGCCTCGGTCGAGATCGAGTGCATTGTCCTGTCTGTATGCCGTACCTTTTTCCTCGCCAACATCCTCATCACCATCGCCCGGCGGCATTGTCCTTCCTCCTCCTTGTCCATCGATAACAACGTTGGCCTTGCATCACTACCTAATAATGCATCATAGTTAGAGCCAGCGCACCAGCCTCATGCATCCTGCCGCCCGCCTGTCTCAACCGTTGCCAGTGATGACAGACGGCCCGGAAGCCGGAAGAACGATCTCCCGTCACCTAGTATATCTAGCACTTATCCATACTATATAACTAGATAGAAGATATATAATATAGAAACTTTACCTCTTACCCTATATATACCCTATATATACCCTATTAGTCTTAATAGATTATAAGCCTAATAATACTTATATTATAAAAGCTATTAATAAAATAAAGAAAAGTATTAATTTCTTACTATTTTTATTTTATCTTTATAAGTAGATACTAGGCCTAACCTACCCTATACCTACCTATAAACTAAAATATAAAAAATAAGTTTAGTAAGTATATAATAGTTAGGTTAGATTAGGTAGAAAAGTAGGAAGGGAAAAAGGTAGGTTATATTACTTATTAAGACTAAAGCTTATCCCTTTTTTCCTTCTAGGAAATATCCCCCTTATTTTATAATAACTAAAAGGAGAATAACCTATCCTTTTAATTAGAGTTTAAATACTATTTAAATACTAATTAAAACTTATATAAAATAGTCTTATTCCTATAAGTCTACTTAGGGTCTTAATTTAGGCTTAACTTATATATAAGTCTTACTAATTTTATAATTAATTCCTTTTTAGGTTAACTTTAAATACTTTTCTATTTTATAGCTAATTAATTATCTTATATAATTTATATTTATTATAGATCCTTAGCTACTATATATTTAATATTAGTAGTATTAGCTTTATTAGTAGTATATAGTCTCTTAATTACTAAGGTTTTTTATAATTATAAGTATTAAATTAAGTTTAATTTAAATTATATATATTAAAGTATTATAATTACCTCCCCTTTTAAAAGGTACTTCTTTAAGTATTATTTTCTTAACCTCTATATTATTTTCTTATTTATTATAAATTATATTTATACTTTAATAATAGATTTATTTTATAAATATAATATATTTAATTTATATAGGTATTATAATTATTAGCTAATAACTACTAACTAATAAATAATTAATAGAATAATATAAATATTTCTTAAGTTATTTTTAAAATAGGTTCTTTTCTTATTATCTTTTATATTCTCTATTTATACTATCTTTATCTTTATATTCTTCTTAGCTTATTATATCTTCTTTTTAAAATAAATATACTTAGGATAAGGTATTTCTAGACTATATAATATTACTTATAGTTATTATTAAGTAATAGTATTAGTCTCTTATTCCTTTTAAATTATTAATAAGCCTTTATTAAATATTATAAAGCCTATAATAAGTTATTATAACTAAACTAACTACTCTAACTTAAATAGCTTATTAGCCTATATTCTTATTATTATTAAGTTAGGTTAATATAATAGCTATTTTACTAAACTAGATATTTTTAATCCTATCTTAGCTAAGTTTATTATATAGTTAATTTAAAAACCTTATAAACTACCTAGCTTAGAATAATATTATAATTAAAATATATAGGTATAGTTTTATACTATTATAATAGTTTAATTTCTATTTATTTTCTTATTTTAATAGATATTATTAACCTATTTCCTTTTTTCTCTAGCCTAAAAACTCTAAGACTATACTATAAGTTTATTTTATAGAAGATTTCTTAAGCTCTTAATTAATACTACCTACCTTAAGTCTAGCTCTTAGAGTAAGTATAACTTAGGTAGTAATCTACTAACTTAAATAAGATAAAGAGGTATTTTAGCTTTATAATAAGGCTATATATATTATAAGATAAAGTAATAATACTAACTTTTCTACTTTTCCTATATATACTTTTAGAATAGGCTATATTCTATACTTTAGTATTTAAAAAGGATATTATACTTATCCTATTTAAGGTTTAATCTTAACTTATAGTTAAGGCTTTAGCTATAATACCTTTAGTTATATTCTTTAAGCTCCTATTCTTAGCTATATTCTATAAGCTTTTATACTTATATCTTTTTTAACTTATCTTATTATATTCTTTAAGATAAAGAATCTTATAATTATAAAGTTATATTATATTTTCTTTAATAATTATAACTTTATACTTTATTTATAACTTTTTTAGCTAATTATTTTAACTATCTTTATTATTAATCTTAATAAATTAAATATAAATATTAAAAATACTATTATTAAAGATAATAATAATAATAATATAGACTATATTAATACTTATAACTAATCTTTTAAAAAGAAGTAAGTAAATAATATAAATAGTAAAGAAGGTATATTTAATTTATTTAATAAACTAATTAATACTATACCTAATACTTATATAACTAATACTTTCTATATATATTATATTCTTTATTCTTTAATAAAATATTAATATAAATTTATTTTAAGCTATCTTCCTAAATAATATTTTTTTATAAAATACTACTAATCTATAGCTAAAATATCCTAATATATATACTATAGTATTATATATATTAGTTATTAACCTATATATTAGTAGTTTAATATTTAAATCTATTATAATATTAATATCTTTTCTTTTTCTTAGAATCCCTATTATTAGGATCGCTATCCTAAGTAGGTAATAGTTATAAGATTATAGGTATAGAGTACCTATAAAGGTGCTCTATAGGAATAGTTATATAATAATAATTCTTAATTAACTAATAAAATAAACTATAAAAGGGAGAGGCTATAGTTAAATATATAAATAGGTAGTACCTTAGGCACTACTAGGAAATTATAGAAATAAAGGGATAATTAGTAGTTATATATATTAGTAGTTAATAGCTTATAGGTAGTTACTTTACTTACCTATAGGAAGTAATAATGCCTTTATAGTAGTCTAGCTTTATTAGCTTAGTTACCTATTATAGTAACCCCTATAGCACCCTATATTAAGGTTATAAGTATTAAGACTTCTTTATATACTATTATATAGTATAATTACTATATATATATACTATATAGTATAACTAGCTACTATATATAACTATATATAGTATAAATCTATTTACTATATACCTCTATATATAGTATATCTTACT